GTTGCTTCCCTTGGCAAAGTCGCCAGCCTGAAAGACCACACTGATCGAACAACGCTTTTGGAAGCCGCGCGATCCCTGGTCTATGCACTGGAGACCCCGCGTGAGGCTATGATCAGATACTGTTGGTCCCAGGTAAGTTCCCATGCTTCTAAAGTTTCGACTTTGTGCCGCTGACGGCAACTGATGTTGGCTTCATAGGCTACTCTTTATGCTTCTGTGGAGACAGGTGTTGATCTGGGACTTTTTGCTATTTTGTCCAAGGATGAGAAGCCCAAGTCTGCTGTCGAGCTGGCTAAGGCCACAGGTGCTGACCCAGTCCTTCTTGGTATGTAACTTACCATCTCTCCCTGTGCCTTGTCCGTACACCTAACTAAACATATATCTGATCAGCTCGCATCCTGAAGCACCTGTGCGCAATGGGAGTCATCCTCGAGACAGGTCCCAATGAATACCGCCGCACTGGAATTTCCATTTCGTTGAGCTTGCAACGATACAGCGATGCGTACCCTTGCATGTAAGTCTGAGCCCGTGAACTTGGAATTTGGAATCAAAAAGCGTGATACTAACTCCTCGTTAGGACTAACTGCATCACCTCCGGTATACTTGCTCTGCCTGCCCAGCTCAAGAAGGACGGCTATACCAACCCATCAAACGGCAAGCAGTGTGCCTTCCAGCGCGGATTCCGAACCGATCTTCACTTCTTCGAGTTCATGAAGGAGAACCCAGAAGCTGCTAGCCAGTTCAACAACCATATGTCTGTCTACCACCAAGGACGTCCTAGCTGGATGGATGTTGGTTTCTACGACGTGCCCAGCCTATTCTCCAATGTCACACAGGACGATGTTCTCCTCGTTGATGTCGGCGGCAGCATGGGCCACGATCTCTCGGAGTTTAGACGCAAGTGGTCTGACGCTCCTGGACGTCTAGTGCTCCAGGATCTTCCCGAGGTGGTCGCCCAAGCCAAGACAGGGCAACTGCACCCCTCGATCGAGGCAATGGAGCATGATTTCTTCACTGAGCAGCCTATCAAGGGTATAGTCTCCCCTTCTATAACTCGCTCTCAACTCAGATCAAAGCTAATATTTTCTTCTATAGGTGCCCGCGCTTACTATATGCACTCTGTCCTCCACGACTGGACAGATGACAACTGCCGCAGAATCTTGAAGGGCCTCGTCGATGTCATGAAGCGCGGACACAGCAAGGTGTTGATTAACGAGAATGTTATCCCTGATACCAACGCGTACTGGGAGACAACCAGTCTGGATATTATCATGATGGCTGATTTTGCTTCGACTGAGCGGACTGAAGCTCACTGGCACCAACTCGTGGGATCAGCTGGGTTGAAGATCACGAAGATTTGGAGTGCCCAGAAAGGAGTCGAGAGTCTTATCGAGTGTGAATTGGCATAGGGGTTATTGGGAGGTTTGGCAGTCAGAACCATAGAATGTATAGTGTTTAACTTAAATTAATACGTAACTGAGGCTCTAAGCATAACCTATTTTATACGGAGTACGGATTATTACCTGATACCTGATTCACACTGTCAAATATAGGAGACAAAAGGTATTAAGCGTAGAAGGGTGTTCAATCGAGGAGTTTCAAAAACATCTTCAAGACTTACATAGAACACCCCGTACTATGATAACCCTACAGAGTTCTAACGAGTGTGATCTTTCATTGATTCACAGATTACCGAAGAACCTAGCCATTTCGAGGACGAGTTGTCTGTCTTGAAGAAAACCTATTGACAGGCCATTTGCTCGATACGTGGTTTGGCTTCTCGATCATTGGCCATGGCTTGCTTGGGTTATCAGAGACCCCGGGGAAGTGATATCCAGAGCCAATGATAGCAATTGGTTCAACCATAGTGATTTGTGGTGAGATGTGAAGCCCTGTATCAACAGTTGGAAGCAATTGGAGATTGGGATATTCTATAGATATAAAAGAGGTCTGGCGTGATTGTAGGGTGTAGGGATCATAACTTCGCTATGACCATGGTTGCCCTGGCATATTCATCACCATCCAACCGTCAGCTGGACTCTCCAATGCGTTGAAATTTGGTCCGAATTGTTGGCCTTGCTGGTTGGACGAAGTCAACATTTCAAAGGAGCCTGTCGTGAGGAAATGATCGGCTATAGCTTAGTTAGACCAGGTAAGAGAGAAAGCTCGACCAGAAACTCACGCTCGAATAAACCCATATTATCTGGTAGTAGCAGCCCTTCGTCCAGGGGTTGACCGGTTACTTTGGCGGAATTTTCGAGTAAAGCGTTCGTTTGATAATTGTCTTGTAAGTCGCGGGAGACATCTTGGTCAAGAGAGACGTTGGACTTGTGACTATCGCTGACCTTCGCGAGGACGAAACTAACAGTTTCGGCGGCTTTTGTTGCTTCTTTGGAAGTGGAACTCTTTCGCATCCAAATGGACCTGGAGATTTGAAGGGCTGCCCGAATCTCCTGTTCCCGCTGTAATGTTTTCCCCCGATACAGCATGGAACATAGTACCATAGTAGCAGTGAGGAATTGATGGTTCATAATGGAAGTCACACGGAACCTCATGGTATAAAGTTGGCCGCCTGGACATGTTTCCTCATCAAGCATGTGTTGGATGTTTAGCATGCCCAGCGAAGCATCCAAGCAGGCTTTTCGCGAGTAGCTCATTGGATCATCATCTGGATTAGCCGAGCTTGTATACAGAAACCGGCGATGAAGAATGATCTGCCCCTTGCAGACCATATGACCCAAGAACAATCGCGACATGATGACCTGCGGGGAGTCCGTCATACTCGTCGCCAAGGGCTTCATCTGCAAAAGGGGCGGAATACTGGCTGCGGCTTCTTGCAGTATGCCGTCGACGCGCATCACATCTGCATAACTACATGGCTTAACTGCATCTATGAGGTCGGCCACTGTGCCCAGTGCTGCCAAGATACGTCGTCGAGCGATCAGTCCGAGGGAATTGGTGTATTCAGTCAAGGGACGCGACGGAGGAAGGTCTATTGACTGTTCATCAAAGTCCGTGTCGTTCAAATTTCGCGGTTCTTTTGTGTCCCATTTCCAGTCGGATATCATGCGTGGCATGCCCATTTGTTTCGACACAAGTGTGTCGCCCATCAAGACCGTCGCCCACAAACGGCGACGCATCTCTCCTTCAAAGGGAGAAATTCCTGGGAAATGACTGGGATCGCGGTGGTAGCCCATCCGCATGGCCAGATTTATTTCCAAGGCCAGCAAATACCACGTATCTTGATCAGCGTCCGTGCGAAGGCAAAATTCAATATAGACGTAGTTGATCACCGTTTGAAGAACATACGGCCCTGTTCTAGTGTATTCGCCCAACATTAGGCACTGGACAATCTTTTCTCGATAGAGATCAATCCGAAGCGACAGATATTCCACTTCGGCGTCGAACGTATCCGTTGTCAAACAGGCAAGGCAGATCATGCTGAACAGAAGACCGATCCACATGATTGGAACGCTGGATGGATTCGTCCAAAATGCCTCATACTACTGCCGTCAGCGAAAATTTTCAATGCTCACGATGGAGAAACTTGCTTCTCTTAGAAAGCTTGGACCATGAACGGCTGCTGCAAGGATAGTCAATACCAGATACACAGACCCCAATGGAGCACAAAGGGGAGTACGAACAAGCAGAAACTAGATCTAGATAATTAAAGAACCGAGATATGTAGCGATCAACAGCAGTCTTGGGGGGCAACGCTTCCAAAATCTCGCCACGAGAAGCGATATTGCGGCACCCGTACAGGAGTAGCGCATACCCAGATTTTGGCCGGGACGGGTCAAGCGCAGGCTCGTCTGGCAGTTGGTCTGGGGTATTAGCTAGTCGTAATTGCTCATCGCGATCAAAGTGGTCCTTTAAATCCGCGATGCCATCGAGAATCGCCGCCCAGTGATCACCACCTACATACCGCAGCTCAGACTCACCGATGCGCATGCTACCACATTCCGAATGCCCATCGATCGGCGCTTCCATGACAGTATCCATGGTAGGGGTCCCATGAGCCACCGAGCGAGCAGAGTCTGGTACTAGCACAGAGGTAGCATGGCCTCTGTTCGCCGAGTCGCCCATCAGCGACACAACCAGTCGTTCTAGTTGTACCAGTCGGTCGTGGACCGCTGGTGCCGCAGCGGCAGACTGACGCTTTGAAATGCCAGTGAAACCCGAGTTATCGGCATATGTGCAGATTTGCCCTCGAGAAGAACAGCACGAGCAAGGGTTTTGACGATCACATCGCGATCTGCGCAACAAGAAGGGAACAGATCGTCTTGTGAGTGCTGGTCACAGACGGGTTCATGGAATGCCATTCTTACTTACGGCGGCGGCACGGGTTACATGACAGTTGCGGCTTGTCCCGTTGCCGACTTGGCTTTGGTCGAGGATGTGATATAGAATCGGCCTCGGGAAGTACTGCCTCTGGTTCCATTGAAGGTGTTTCACAATAATCCCCGAGTGGCTCTATTATACTGTCGGATGATCTCTTCAGGTCCAATATACTGCACTTTCGTAGGCGACGGTCACGATCACGCAAATTCAATGGCCCAAGCCAACGTTGTCAAACACGAAGCTTGTCTAACGGAAAACCGAACAAAGTCCGGGAAGTCAGCTGATCTCCGATGATCCGACCCTCCGATCGTCCGATCGTCCGGTCCGGTCCGTGCGTCTGAGATCTATGTAGATCCATGGAGGCATCTCTCTCTCGATATGTCTTCGCGTTTCGGGTTGTCTCTCCGTTTCTTCCGTTTCAAATCCCCTGCTAGCATCGGAGCACCATTACCGGACCCGACGAATCGACACATGCATCTTTCTTTCATTTTGAAGCTGCTCGGTCAGCCCACTGATCCCTATTTCCGTGATCCACCTGAAAGAAAGCCCACAGGGAGAATCAATCAGTCTGCTCAAAATGAATTTAAATGGCAGACCAACGCTGGAGAAGCTGACAGAGAGCATTTGGCTTTGACATTACTTCACACCTTGCCGTAAGGATGTCTTCCATCGCAAACTCCACCAACATCGCCCCAAGCCAACTGGAGGCTGGCCCAGAGAAGGACGACTCTATGATCGTCGACTGGGACGGACCTGAGGACCGCGAGAATCCTCGAAGCTGGTCACCGCGCAAAAGATGGGGGCACGTTGTTATCATTTCGATATTGGCCTTGATTACGTATGTTTTAGTACTCCGAGCTTACTTCCTCGTTGATCTAAGCAACCGCATGTCGTGCTTTGTACCCTTGTCTCTTATCCCCTGTATCCACCAGTTGTTATTTGCCCTTTGTGACAATCGCTTACGTATTCTTGAAAAGCAACATGGCCCCCACAATGTGTGCACCCGGGGCGAAGGATATCGCCGCCGATCTCCACATCACTTCTACGGTTGTCAGAACGCTCACTGTAACGATCTATGTTCTCGGCATTTCCATTGGGCCCATGCTCATGTCACCATTGAGTGAGATGTACGGTCGGGTGCCCGTTTACCACGCTGCCACGACCATATTTGTCGCCTTCATCGTTGGTAACGCTTTGAGTAAGACCACCGCCCAATTCATGGTCTTTCGATTTATCTCGGGATGTGCAGGTGGCACTCCAATGGCATTGGGCGGGGGAACCATTGCGGATATTACCAGCGTGCAGCAACGGGCGGTAGCAATGGCATTGTTTAGCATGGGTCCACTTGCGGGGCCAGTGAGTGTCATCTTCTGTCTGCCAGGTCTAAAGCGAAACTAATTTCGCTTATTCAGGTGCTCGGTCCCGTCATTGGGGGCTTTGTGGCGGCCGGTAAGGGCTGGCGTTGGATATTTTGGCTTCTTGCCATTCTAGGTGCATTTTTCGGGTTCACTGCTGTGCTTGTTCTGCGGGAAACACACCCCAAAGTACTACTAGAGCGGAAGGCCGCTTATTTGCGGGCTAGTACGGGGAATTCCAATTGGCGCTCGAAATTAGACAGCACCTTGTCGCCCCGTCAAGTCCCCCTGCAGGTACTGGTCCGTCCGGTAATGCTTCTTATGCGGTCGCCCATTCTCTTCGTGATCTCCCTTTACGTGGCACTGGTGTTTGGTGTGATGTATCTGCTCTTCACCACATTCACCAGTGTCTTCGAGGGCCAGTATGGATTCTCGACCTCCATTTCGGGGCTCACCTATCTCGGACTAGGTGTGGCGCTAGTGATTAGCATGGTGCTTTTCAACTTGCTGAACGGTCCCGTTCAGGCGGCACGCATGACAGCTGACGGCGTGCAACAACCCCGCCCTGAGTATCGTCTTCTTCTCATGATCTGGTTTAGTCCGTTCGTGGCCGGAGGCTTGTTCCTCTATGGCTGGACGGCATACTACAAAGTCCATTGGTTTGTTCCCATTCTTGGCACAAGCTTGATGGGCTTTGGTGCTTTCTTCGTTATTGTAAGCTTTCTCTACTTGATGGTCACAGCCTCGATATTTGTTGCTAATATGTTTCAATTTAGACACCTGCACAACTGTACCTGATCGATGTCTTCGGGTCTGAGGCCGCGGCATCAGCCTTGGGAGCCAACAACCTACTTCGGTACATTTCCAGCACATTCTTGCCCCTTGCCGGGCCCGCAATGTACAGCAGTCTGGACTATGGGTGGGGAAATTCTTTGTTGGGGTTCATAGCGTTGGCGTTCCTTCCCGCGCCTGTGCTCTTTTACAAGTACGGAGAGCAGCTCCGTACGAAGGCGAGCGCGTAGATTAAATTAACCTGACGGATTTCAACCGATATTTTTGCCTTCGCTTCGGAGATAAGAAGGATAATATCATTTAATATTTGCTTTGAGACTGCGTTTAGGAACAAGTGAAACTTCCCGATGGACCAATTAACTAGAGTGGATTGAATAATCAAGCTAGACCCGAGGCTCACGATATAACCATATGCAACCTGCAAGCCCAGCCTAGTCCCTATTCGAAGAATGCAGACGTTTTACGGAGGGTCCTTTCGTATATGCGAAGGCTACCTAAGCATCGCCAGTCCACAAAACCGCCTAGACCGACGAAGTTGGATTGGGGTAAGCGGGAAGCCCTCGACTTGTTGGATGCCACAAAGAGCTGAGAAATTCAATTGGTACACTTTGCTTCGCAAACATTCTTCTGGAAATAAAACCGTACAGAGTACAAACTTGGATACAGATAGCCTGATCTGATCTAGCTCCAGTGCTTTCCAACACAGTCTTGTAACCCCGAATGTAATCTTCCTGTACTCGGGGATCAGACAGGTCAGCAACGGGCAGTCATTGAGCCATGGACTTGATCCCCAAAAGTCTCCACATGATGAGGCACTTTCAACTTGTTTTCAAATTGCTTGACATCTTCAGCTGGATCTTCCCCCGACGCCAGTAAGATGTACGGCACTGGGATCTTCTCCGCCCCAGATGGGTCGACCATGGCCGGGTGGCAGGCGGCAGCAGTCTTGAATGGGTTGTCCTCTCCAGACGTCACAATTTCAGCGACTTTACCTCCCCAGCAGTACTATTCCAGTCAGCATTGAGAAGCTGACATAGTCTAAAAAGGAGCCAGCTCACCCCGGTGAGTCGCAAGGAGGTAATAGATGGATTCGCAGCCTTAAGGGCGGCAATATAAGCAGGGAAAGCAGCCGCAGGACCTTGTGGCATCTTCTTACCGAACCACTCACCGAAGTCCTTCTGCTTTTCTTCGGTGTTAGGGGTGTCCCTAATTCCGGCTTGGTTAGCGGTCGCTCCGCTAAGTGGGGCAGCACGTTTTACCATTCAGCAGGGCATGGGCTACCGTTGAACCAGTCAGGCATGAAGACCTTGTATTTCTGGTGGTGATCACTAGCTGCCAGGATATCGGCGCCTTGAAGAGTCTGATCGAAGTAGCCGAAGATGTCGAAAACAGCAACAATTCCTCTGGTAGCTTCTTCTGGGCCGGTCACATCTGCATGGGGCTTTGTTAGCCCGAGTCATAGCAAAACCTGAGGAGTGCCATTGGCATTTACAGCTTTTCTTTCCACCAAGCTCCTTATACAAGCCTTTGGGGACATAGCCCTCCGAGACAACAGGTGAGATGTTGCAGCAGGCCTGGCTGTGGCCAAGAGTTGCCTGCATTGTAGACATGGGTGCGAGTTGAATTCAACTTGGAGGTAAAGGGATGTTTCGGGATGAACAGCTGGAAATACCGGATGAACATGCAGGGCGAGATGTCGGCCTTATACACGTCTGTGATGCGATGGCATGCCCTCGCGAGCTAGTCAAGCTAGTTCTCGGCGCCTTCAAAGCCGCGACCGAAGCGCGGTGCCGGAGTCGAAGTGGGGGGAACCATTGCATGAGAATATACCAGGGTATGAAAGATAGAATGGCCACTTCCGATTGAATGCAATATTCGGTCGTCTTATATCGATTTCCAGATGCGGCAACGGACGAGTCGGAGGAAACGGGGCATCTGAGAGCCCCTGTTGACTATCACAACCTCTCCCCGACAACGGAATCGATGAGTACCGAACAGCTTCGGTGTGTTTCGTCTTCAAATTGCGATTAGTGCAATAATTGACTACCCATAGACTAAAATGAAAAGTGCCATGATCTCAACTAAAGAGCATTCTCAAGTGTTTACTGCCCTGCCATTCTAGAACAACTCAAATCTTCCTATACTATCCAAAATGACATCCGGAGAAGTCGGTCCATTGAGTTGCACCTATCTGTCCAGCACAACAGTCAACTTGAGGAAAGCTCTTGTTCCCATTCCACTCCTGGAAGGTGGCAAACACATCGTCGAGCCTATTACCGGAGGAACCATCTACGGGCCCGGAGTTAACGCAACCATCGATGGCGGAGTCGCTGCTCCGATTGTCGTCACGAACAATGGGACGTCCAAAGTTACGGGTGGAAAGGCAGCCGTTTCTGGCCTCAAAAGCGGTCATTTTCGGCGTCAGTTCCACAGGCCCTGATATTCTAGGTGTAAGGAATACTTATTTAGGAGTTCAGCACCAGTAAATCTACCCCCACACCAAACGTGCCACCTGGATCGTGTCGACCATTGCAGTTATTAAAGAGATATTGCACAAATGCTTTAGGCGTCGGTGTCGATTGGTACATGTAGCTGATCAAAGTTAGTGATAGTGGATCGGAATAAAAACACATACTACTTACTAGCAGGGAGACAAAGTTTAGGTGATATCCACAGGAGAGCCCTGATGTAGAAGGTCAAAAATGACGTGTGTTCAGTCCAAAAGTGCTATTACAGCTATAGAGTGTGCATTGGACTGAAGATATGGACAGTAGGCTTCTATTTATACCTCATACAATCAGTGCTACCACCCCTGCTAAGGATGCACAATACAATTTCAACATGAAACGACACAGATCTACATATCAAAGGCCTAATCTCAACGTTGGAACCATCGGCAGAAACCGGGACCGGGCCGGTAAAGGCCCCGCGAAATTCGTTTAACCAATTTACTGGCCTTTTTTTTTTCTAATTCTCTTTTTAATTCTTTCGCTATTATGATGTCGAGACAATTCCAAAAATCGCATTGTTCCCTGCGGAGAGGAGGAATCACAGAATGTGTCGGCATATGCCCGGATGATATCGTCACATCCACGGGCTATCCTTGGTGCCGAGGGGTTTAAGCTGCCTCGGGTGCGTTCCCCCGCATCTGGTTTTCGTTCGACTTGTGTTTTCTCCTCCTTCCTTTCACTGAAGGCCTCTTTCAAGAGGATCATTCAAGTTTGAATCGCGTATGGGATTTGGAGCAGCTACTCTATGTATGCATTGGCATGCATATGCGAGATCTACTGTGTCCGAGTGCATCTTCCGACACGCGACAGATCGAGTCTACAAGGACTCAAGCATAAAATACCAGTCTCAAGTCTATTCAATTTCAATTGTCTAGTCTTTACTAACCCGCTAACTTGACCGGAAAGCATTAAATTCGTTTCATTTACATGAGCAATGTATTAACCACCAGCGCAGAACAAACTTGGCTCTGAAAAAAAAAGGCGAGAACAAAAAGGAAAAAGAAAGATGTATGTATCCCATCCGCACACCGGCGGTAAAAAAATCATATTGGACCGTCGAGCATCAAAAGCTTACCATCTGATGAGTTTACAGAAGGTTTACTCCATGGTCAGACCGAGGTTCTCATCGGCGGGCACCACACGAACGGTGTTGGTGTGGCCCATACCGCCACGCCATCCCTGGACACAGACGATAGGGTCGCCCTTGTTGATGATTCCGAGCTTGAGACCGTGGTTGATACCCCACTTGAGGCGACGGTCGACATCCTCCTGCCAGATCTTGACGTTGAAGTCAGGCTTGGTCTCGGGGAAGTAGAACGGCCAGACACCGCGGTACAGGTGGGAGTACTGGAAACTGTTGTCAGCAAAGAACGACATTCGAACGATCGAATTGGACTTACCCGGGCAGCAGTGTCATTGCGAGTGACCATCAGGATGGGGCAGACGGGACGATACTTCGACACAAGGCGGGCGGTTTTACCACTATGGACTCATTAGTATGATCGTCATCCAAACGACAGACACGTATTTCCTGCACACACCTGGTGGTCAGAACGATGATGGCACCGGCGTTCAGCTCCAAACTGGCGCTGACAGCGGCCATGGCAACGGACTCAGAGGTTTCAGTGGGGCGAGGGGCAAGGTTGCGCAGCTCGTCAAACACGTTGAAGTGAGGAATGGCGACCTCAGCCAGCAAGCAAGTCTCAGACATCATCTTAACGGCCTCGCAAGGGTAGTTACCCTTCGCGGTCTCACCAGACAGCATGACACAGTCGGCACCGTCAAGAACGGCGTTGGCAACATCGGAAACCTCAGCACGAGTGGGGCGGGGGTTGTATGTCATGGACTCAAGCATCTGGGTGGCACAGATGACGGGCTTACCCTTGATGTTGCACTTCGCGATCATCATCTTCTGGGCAAGGAAAACCTTGGGGGCGGGGATCTCGATACCGAGGTCACCACGAGCAACCATAACACCGTCGGTCTCCTCGAGAATCTCATCGAAGTTGTTGACACCCTGCTGGTTCTCAATCTTGGCGATAATCTGAATCTCCTTGCCGTCCTCACCCAGGACGGAACGGATGTGCTTGATGTCACTGCCGCGACGGATAAATGAGGCGAAGACCATATCGACCTTGTTTTTGACACCGAATCGCAAATCGGCAATATCCTTCTCCGAGAGAGCGGGCAGGTCTACATCAGTGCCGGGCAGGTTGACACCCTTGCGGGATGAGATGTTGCCGTCGTTCAGGCACTTGGCCTTAAGGTTCTGCTCATCAACAACCTCAAGCACCTCGAAGGACAGAATGCCATCATCAACATAAATGAGCTTGCCAGGAGTGATCACATTGGTGATGTTCTTGTAGTCCAGGTACCTATCGTCATACACTTGTCAGTCCACGTCACATGTCAAGCTCGTCCAGCCACGCAAATACACAGAGCGAATGTTGAAACAATTCACCCTTCGGCCATTAGGAATGATCTTACATGTTCTTATCATCAGAAGCAGTGGCATATGCCTCATCAGTGGTGATATTGAGCACGGTGCCCTGCTTGATGGGGAAGTCCTTGTCACCGACGGTGTTACCGGTACGGATCTCGGGGCCCTTAGTGTCGAGGGCAATGGCAAGAGGGCGACCAGTCTGGATACGGGCGGCCTCGCGAGCGTTGTCAATGACAGATTGGTGGTACTGCAGACAAAGTCAGTCAAGGTCTTCATCAGACGTTGATTGGAGATACTGACCTCATATGATCCGTGGGAGAAGTTCATGCGAACGACGTTAAGACCGACTATTGCAATGTCAATCTAACTACCCAACAAAGTTGCCCATTTCCATCGGAAACTTTATTGCCATACCTGTGCGGAGAGCATTGATCTTCTCAGCGGAGTTCGTCTTGGGACCTGATCAATTGCCTGTTAGTAACCGGTTTATTTTTTCTTCCGTCGCAACTTCTTTGACAGTTTCTTGTTATTGGTTTGACATACCAATGGTACAAATGATGGAGGTGCGGCGGAAGTTCTTTGCAGGGACCATCTCGGTGTTGAGCTTGGAGTGCCACTCCAGCTTCATGCGGTTGCTCAGGTGGTCGAGGGAGTTAGTGGCCGCCATTTTTGATATGATCAACAATTGTTGAATTAATGTAGAGAGGATAAGGAGAATCAGAGAGGATGGTAGAAGAGAAAGGATGAGAGATGGAGGGGAAAGAGAAAACGGATGGGTGCGGGGCGGGGGGGAAAATGTTGGCCGCCGGTGTGAGTATTGGTTTGCATCCGAAGACACTGTTTTTGTTAGTAGTATTGACACTGGACAATATCTATACCAAATTAATCTGTGAATTCTCCGGAATATGACATTTCCATTTCACTGGTCTTGATTCTTTTCTCTTTGTCTAGCTATATTTTTTATTTACTGAAAGCTGGAGGTGTCACCAGAAGCGGCATAAATTGACCAGGCAGAAAAAAATTATATATCAACTCCAGACTGGGTTGACCGCAAAAAAGCGGAGGATTGCCCCGTGCTGGCCTACGCGCTGTAGATTGGAGTCCTTCTATCAAATAAATGTGACAAATACAGACACCCAATTGATCGAAGCCCCAGTAAGAGGCCAAGGGCGAAAGGGGATTCCGGTGGGATCAACGCTTATCGATAGACCGAATCCGGACTAGGGACAACTGGACAACCTTGGCCCGATCCCCAGCCTCACTGTGGATTATGTCAGGTACCCAGTTTAACCAGCCTCATCTCCAGCCACTTCTATAGACGTCATGTGAATTCCCACGTGACCGCTCTTTAGGCTGTGTTCATGACAGCTTCGGGCTCCTCTTACTTTTGCCTCTCAAGCTTTTTGGTGACTTGTCGGTTATTCAATATCCACAGTGTTGACATCTTCTACTTGCACCATGGTAAGAGGCCTTTGCTGGTCGATCCTGGAGAACCGAGGTCCCGGAACATAGAGCATGCCATGACTGACTTGCATGATCGCTGCGATCTAGTTCGGCCGTCTTACCCACTACGCATTTGATGCGGTCCTCTGTGAGTCCTCCGAGTCTACATTTTACCTCGGAATACAAACTAACCGGTGCCTTCAACCTCAGTTTCCGCCTTCCTGGCAGGGGTCAAGCGCTCCACGGGCCTCACGTAAATACACCCTACCCCTCACGATCCTCTTTTCCAAGCTATCATTCATTATGCCTGTTACTCGCCTTGGATGCTCTCGATATACACGGTAGAACTGTTGGCTAACTCTGTTACTCCCGCGCACCCCGTTCGCTGGGTCGTGTGTGCGTGGGACCTTCATAGCCCCAGCCTCAATTCAGACAAGATCACAGACAACAAAGACATCAAGAAATGGGTTGACAGCTACCTTGGTGTTGGCGAATGGATGATGGACCAGTCAGTGGCCGTCATGGGCTCGTCTGCCTGGTTCGAACGACGCCGGTGATTGGCGCCGCCATACTCAACTCAGGGAGACAAGCGGCGATCCCTTTCTCACGACTTGACTTTCGGCCATTTTATGTGTGTAGGATTGCGGACTCTGAATTGTGATACATGGCAACTCAAGGGATTGCATAAATTGCCGCGGGACGGGACTGGCGGCACAAATCTGGGCCTTGGTCTTGACGCTTGGCCTTATGGCAATGTGATACAATATCAGTATGTACAGATTGAGTCTGTGCTGTGGCGGTGTGGCTTTTAAAATCATCCGAACACCACAAGTATATGCTTCAATGCTGGATTGACGAGTGACGACCAATTCTTATCTGCGCCCCAGCCTCCATTTTTGACCGATGCTTTTAAGGTCATGGCGTCTTCACTGCTTTTCGATACCTTTTATCTTTCTGTCTGTCCTATATCATCGCACAATTCCAGCCACTAGCTCACCGGACAATTCTTGGAATATTCTCGTAGATATGAACAGAAGTCACAGGCATATCAAGAAGTCTGTCACCAATGTGCTGCAATCCGGATAACCCGAAATCATTCTCTTGGAGCACACCTAGGCTTGGGACTCTATTGAATGCTTGAAGCTGGGGACATTGATCTGTTAGCTCTCCGTTGAAAATTCCGCAGCTGGCGAGCTTTGGTCGAGACATCGTTGTACACTTAAGAGTGTGCCAAGCACACCATCATGGTAATCGAAAATACCTCCTGAACATTGCCCGATACTACACCCTGGCACTTCCTTGTCGTAAGGTAATCTTATAAAAGGGTAAGGAAATATATGGCAAAATAAGAATATATAAAATTTTTATTTTATGACTACCTCGTGCTATGGGAAAGATAACGAATGAAGAGTAGACTTCAGATGAAAAAGAAACGCATTCGCACGACTCCATCTCTCGCCAATAACCACCGAAAACTCCTGCAACCTTGTAAGGTCGACTCAGGACATCTGTTGCTCTTCGTGGACATCCGTCAGCGTATCGATGTATTGGCAATCTCGGACCGCACGTTCAGCTATGGCCAGGTATCTTTCCTCAATCTTGCTCCAATCCCATGTCTTCATAAACCGGACTCCTTCTTCAACTCTTTTCTGATAGTCCTTGTCGATCTCCTGTTCATCAAGATGGGTCCACAGAGCCGTGTTAGCCGGTCCTCTGAGGATGTAAGCAGAGATAAACCTCATAAGATCCTTCTCAACTCGAATTCGGCTATCGTGATCAATTGGGAGTTTCAAGAGATGACGTATTAAGGATAACATGTAATGAGGAGGCTTGGGGGTGCGGAGGTGGAGCTCGTGGGCAAATATCGAGGGAACCTCGACAGTCTCTTCAAGAGTAAAACCAGCCAATGACATAGGGATAAGATGGACACGCATCCGGCCCTGATCATCAAGGGCGTGCATCAGGTATTGACTTTCCCAGTATTCATCGATTTTAGGGTCTCCAATCCAATCTCTCTCATGATAAAGAAGGCGGGGCCAGTTGTGTTCAAGCAACATCTGAGAAGCAAACAGCATCTGTTCATCGGGCACAACCCACTCTATGATCTTGTAAATGCTGTTAGCTGGGTGTCTTGTTTGAGGGAGTGGAGACGGCGTTTTCATTACTGACAATCAGAACCTCTGCATGCCCACATCTGCATAGAACCTGGTTCCCGTACTCCACGACTGAGATGCTGTTGTCGATAAGTGCTTTCAGTGCTTCCTTTATTACAGTATCAGGAAATTCTTGGTGAGGTGTCACGTCGCCAACCTGTGCGTCTGATTTCTTGGTCTGTTCACTTGGTTCTTCCAAGGAGCCTGGGTTAGGTAGAGACAATGATATCGGCTCGATGACAGGCGAGATAGAAAGGGGGACTGATAGTCCTTCAATCTTCTCGGCAGAAGCTGGCGTTGCCTCGATAAAGGGCGAAGCAAGAGGAGGGACTGCGAGCCCTTTGGTCTCTTCAGTCACTTCAGTCTCCATTAGTAATGATTAATAAATGCAAAAGCTTTCAATATGGGACAAAATGGCAATTGAGAGGATTGACGAAGGGTGTTGCTTTTTATCACAAGCAAAGACCGAGGACGTAGTGGGAAGGGACAGATAGAGTGACAGGCAGAGGTAACGAACTCTCTTTTCTTTCTCTCTTCTAACCGAAGAACAATCATTTTTATTTGTTTGTCTTCCGCAGCTTCCTCTTCCTCGCTCCTTTAAATATCAAAACACTTCTCCTCTCCCCCGCTTTCTTCTCTTCCTCCCCAACAATCGCTAATATGCCTTCGCAAAGCAACTTCAGCCATTTGGACGCAGCAGCAACAAATTTGACAAATAGTTTGCGCAATGAAAGGATTTGCCACATCATCATTGGCAGATATGCCGCAGGTCTCCTTGGAGGAGCCCGTGTGACAGAGGTACCACCTTCTACTTCCCCTGGTAAAGATACCTCCTGATCTGACAAACCGATAAGCCATCGACCTTCTCGTAGACAGAAATTGCCGCAGCCTTTTGCTACAATACCAAAACATCACAGAGAGCGAGGATAACCGATTGGTCTACTATGGCACTAAAGGTCACATCGAGATGGAGATCATGGGAACTGCACCATGGGCCCCGAATCCTAAGACTACCAGGGTTTACACTGTGGCTCTGGCGGACTGTCCACAGCGTCCGTTGAACTCTATAGGTGCGCTTTCTTGCTCAGCGAATTTAGAGTCCTCGCTAATCTTAGATTATAGTGTCTATCTTTACACCCGTCAATTCTCTTGTCGACAAAGCTCTTGCCCTGGAAAGAGCCCGATCAGGCTCCATGAGTCGCCCGACATATGAGGACACGAACGGAATTGATGGACATCCGAACCATCCTGCAAGGGCTTATGGAAAAGAATTCAAGAATGCGACAAAATAAGAACATACCTCCAGTATGGTAAAGGGCAACTAGCAAGCAACACACCAACTGGCTATGCCGTAGGACTTATCGGGGGCGACAGTCACCGAGGTACACATTTTCCCTAATCTCGCTCAGCCTTAAAGTGCCTCACGATCTGATAAGTGCACAGGATGTTGATGTTGTCAGCGACACCCACTGCCGCAAACTCCTATTGAAAAGACCAGGTTCCACCCGCCGTGGTGATGGCAACCTTGCTTATTACTACCGCGGAACAAAGGTCTATGTGGGCGTCATGAGCCCGCACAACCGGTCATGGCACATCCCAGACCCCAGGACAAGAGAAGAGAAAAGAAAATGAAACGAAAGTGAGACGAAAGTCATCTGTGACTTCGAATCGTCAAAAGCGAGCGAAAATCTCAGGCCTTCTTTGCTGGTTATAATTAGTCCTAGTACTAACCTCTCCCATTTCATATAGGGTCGAGCCAAGGGAAATTTACAATACGGGCCACCAGGTGAATTCCTCCAGTAAGTTCTTGCTCAGCTTCGCTAATACTCTTCAAGCTTTTGCCCTAAGGTTTCTTAATTTTTCAAAGGTGCATTTGAGCTGCGGGCACCTCCTCTTCCATAGTGCCGTCCTCGGCACGCAATTGGAAGTTTGGATCATAGCCTAATAAGGCTTGGAATGGAGAGAGCCCAATTACGGCATTTCTTGCATTGTCGCTTGCATACTGTGCAAGCTTTATCGTTGACGGATAAAGAATTCCGGACCCTTTACAACTCTCGCTTCCAGTAGGGCTCTGTGGAGTTGGGGAGCGGGGGCGCCAGAGGAAAGCATTACGGTTCTTGCAAGACTCGGTTCAGAGGACGACTCTTCGAGTCCGGGACTACATAGTTACTTGAATAGCTGGACCCAGTATATATGCGAAAATTCAACAGCAAATCCATCATTTTGTAAAGGTTAGACTGACCTTTTAGATTAAAAGGTCTCTCTGGCCTACCTAGAAGATCATATTGCCTGTTTGACAATGATATGTACACAGTATCTTGATTCCTTAATACCTCAGACGTAATTGCTGGACAATCCAGAGATTTGCCAGGGCCCAAGGTCCATGAAGTGGATATATAACAAATACACATATGCACTGCAGGAACTTTTCACCTCGAGATACTGAAGTGTGGTGATGTGATCGAGAAAGTGAAGACCTTGCTGGATGCTCAGATTTTCTCCCAAAAGATCAGAGCTAAAGCCAGTCCACAATAATCAATAGCACAACATGGAAACAGGGGGTATGTAACAAATAAAAAATGAACGAAGTAGAACAAAAACCACAAAAGGTGCCAGTTGACTATGAACTATGTAGTAGAGCGTCAATGTCAACACGGCGGAAATAGGAGACATGGCCCATTTCCTTCCAGTAATGAGCCATGTGGTCAGGAGAAATAAGGATCAGTTGGGAGTCAATGTAGGTATCTGGCAAATTACAGGTTAGAAATGATTGCTTTGAATTATTTAGTAAGGCCGCTTACCGTCACGGAACCCAAGTCCAGCTACATGGCCACGACAATGCACAATTCGGGCGCCGACAAAAGGCTCCTCCATCTCGACACTAATCAAGCCTCTGGAACCAATGTCTTCGGCGATAAACGAGAACTGGCCACGAGGAACATTGGGATCACCTGTCAGCTTGATAGCTTGCAACGAACCTCGCTGTCCAATATCCTCCTGGACGTCGGTTATCTCCGACTGTCTTTCATTGCCTTGTGCTTCGGCCTCTATCTCTTTCTGCAGAACAAGCAGAAATTCACACCCATGGGCTGAGTAGTCTCCAACCCAAATTCCCTGGTATGGTTTCTCTGCAGTGGGAGTGTAAAGGACAGGATCGAGAGTTGAGTAAGTTAGACTCGCTTCGTTTGGTGCCAGTGACAACATAAGCCCAGGGTTTGCCCATTTCCTGATACGAAAAAAGGATTCCGACAATTCCCACAGACGTTTCGGTCTTGGCGGGGGTGAGTCCTTCAGATCACGAACTGTGCGTGCATTACTCGGGATGGTTCGTGGTGGCCAAAGCGCATTGGGTTCATCCCAAGCTCCTGGAGTGCTAAATTCAGAGCAAAGCGACAGCGGGGTATGCGAAGCCATGGGCATCCGTCGCTCCTCCGGCATTGATTGAAAGGATTGGTTTGGGGCTGTTTGGGAGGACGGATTTGGGTCGTTGAGAAACAAGACAGGATCATCCAAGGCCAGGCGTACACTGGGTTCAAAAGACTGAATCATAACTTCTGGGTGTGATATCCATATTTGAAACTGAGGAGTGCCACGTTCTGCAATGACACGGTATGCTTCGATCGCACCCCAGCGATTATCATATCGAGCTATGATCAGCATCCCCGTGTGTTCATGGTCTGCGAACCAGATCTTGTGCTGAGGAATGAACCAACAAGGGTAATGTGCAAGATACAGACGACGAAATGACCCAAAGGGACCTGGGTCTCGGATAGGAGCAGGTAGTCTCTCGTTCACCAGGTTAGCCCATAACAAGTCATTCGATGCATGATCGACGAGGACCCGGCAAGTGGCGCCGAGGCAAGCGAGATCTGGCGCTGAGAGATAAGACGCAATATCTTGGATGATCTCAGCAGGTAATTTCTCAAGCAACGACGATTGATCTGCGGGTGGAGACTGCCCGTCATTAACTGGCTGGTCGCTAGGACCATCGTCAGTTTGTTCCTGTCACATCAAAATGTGAGTCCAGGGCCGTTCACGGTAATTTTTATCAGCAATAACTAGACATACACTGGTGGTGCTCACCATCTTTACTTCGATGCACTGAAATTTGCAAGAGATAGTTGTTATGGGTTGAGCCTCTTCAGGGTATCGTAAATGACATCACTGGGAGACACAGGAGGGGGGAAATGCATGAAGTCACACGGAGATAAGGGGAATCGGTCCAAGCAGGGAAGATGTTTGGTGTGCCTAATATTGCCAATATTGCCGGGTTTAGATTGGAGAAAGCTGCCCGGCTTTCCAATTTCGTATCTGGAGCTAATTTGCCCAGGTGGAAGCTATCGATAAGGTGCATGTTGTGGCAGTGCGGAGTAGTTCTGATCTATACAATCCATGGATATATAATTTCGAATCTCCTTCCACTTAGCTAATTATCGGCCTGTAAAGACACAATTAGATTGAACACACATTATTTTCCATACAGCTCAATGAGTATAGACATAACAGGGTATATCACGTGTGCTAATATGTAGATATCACGTGGAACCTTGTCTTCTGATGTCACCTGATTGCCCAAAGAAGCATCTTGTTTACCATTGCCGGAATAGGAAATACGCTCCCAGGCACGCGTCTGAGGCCTGCTGCCTATAGAGCCCCACTTTGTTTATTTACATCTTAACTTGTGATCTATAGAATTCTTTTTATGAGCCTATCCCTGTGTACGGTTTTATTTTGGTGAAAACATTTCTTTGTTTTGGCTTTAATTATTCCAATATACTCCCCTTTCCAATATGGATATCACTCGGTCAGGAAGGAAACGGAAGGGCTCTCTCTCAAGTTCAAGAACCCAATCACCAGTCTCAGGCCGGACCAGACAGAGCTTGGCAGCGGTGCCAGAAGATGCCAGCCTCAATCAACAGCAAAGAACAGTATCTGTTACACCCAAGAAGTCAAGAAAGAGAGTGCGGTTTTCCGACCCAGGCCCTCGGCTATTGCATGATGAAGATACTGGCTCGACCGGCTTAACTCCAGCGATGCGTCGAACATCGTTCGAGACAGGATCTGGGGATTGCACACCTAGCCGCAAATCCCGACGAAGGTCTGCCCCAACACCACGCTTCCAGCAGTCATACGACCCGGAGGAGCCGTTTGGTGAAACATGCACCGAGCGAAGGATCCAATTTACTCCGCTGCGCCAAATCTTGGACACACGAACCCAGAGAAGAATTAGGCGAATCGGCCTGAGTGATGAAATCAATCACATTGAGCGCGAAAAGCGCGAGACGCGCAAAATGGAAAAGACCTTGCGAGCTTTGCTTCAAGAGCGAGATTCCCTGAAAGATGAACTCAGGGCCGTGAGACGAGGTGGAATAGGCTTTGAGGACCAGAATTCGGTGGCGGAGTCACATTGGATGACACCAGACACACCCAGATCTTGCGAGGAAGTTTCAGTGGTTTCGAATCGCAGTCTGGATGACGCGGCTCCATTTTCGAACAGTGAAGGGGAGACGTTCATGTTCAGTGACAGTGCTGTCATTATGTCCAGCTCCCCTGATTTCCGTGGTATTCGGAGTTATAGTCCACCCGTCACTGATAGCTTGATGTTATCCGGCAAACACCAAACACCCATTCGCGCCACCCAAACGCAGAAATCAATCAATACAAAGGCATTTGGCATTCACTCCCTGGCTCTTGATCTTGAAGCTGCCAGGCAAGAAAAGAAAGACTTATTCGAGGCATGTCGATCACGAATCTCAGGTTTCAATGACCCTACGATCAGTAGCCTTTTCCGCCAGTCATCTCCACCGTCGGATTTCTTCGAGAATATCATGAAGATCTTGGAAAATGCTCTGTCTCGTGCATCTGATGCTGCCGAGGCTCTTGAAGGAGTCACCCGAGAATGCTCCGGCTTAGGATTCTCCGGGGACGGCGTGGACGATGTCATATCCGACATGCGGAACCACTTCCGCTCAGCTCGTCTCGAGCTTGAGCGCACGCTGCCTGGTGAAACCGCCAACGTCAGTCTTGAGGACGGCAAGGCAACTCTAAGTGCGCTGGTGAGACGCGTTGAGTCACTGGCACAAGATCTGGGAGCCGAGCGCCATTATCATAACGGCTCCCTTGGTCGGGAAAAGGCTCTCCGAGGACAATTTGACGCTTTACTACACCAATATGAGACAGCCGCAAGCAAAATTGACAGTCTCGAGAATTCAATCGCATCTTCCGCGAGCGATATGCTCCACACGCGGATGCGAATGCAAGACCTCGAGCGTGAAGGCCAGGACAAGGCCGTTGGGATTGACAGATTAACTACAGCCCTCGATAAGTATCATGATGAAGCGAAGGGCCTCGAAAGCCTTATCGACAATCTCGAAAAGGAGAACACAGCTACAAAGGAGGACTACACCCGGCAGATATCTAAGCTCAAGAGACAAGTAGCTCATGAACGCTCAAAACGCTGTTCGGCTGAGGCTACCGTTTCTGAGTCCGAGTCCCGCATTAGAGAATTGGAGGAAACAGTCGAACACAATAGAATTCGGGCTTGCGACTTGATGGCTCAGGTGAAGCTCCTTGAAAAGGAATATCAAACAGCCATCGAGAGCCTCGAGCAAAACGCCAGTGAACTTCAAACGCACGAAGCAGAGACTGGGACTCTCAATGTTCGCATCTCAGACCTCACCACATCATTGCATGGGGCAAAATGTGAAATGCAGCGTCTTCAAAATGTCAACGCCGGCCTTGAAGAACAGCTTCAGCTAGAAGTCGAAGCTCGAAATGAGCTTTTGGATAAGTGGGCCGCAGATCAAGTGCGATCATTCGCCCACATGAAGGAGACTATCAACTCAGAACGTCGCAGAGCTAAGGTTCGTGCGGCTAATTGGGAGTTGAAATCGGACGATCTCATGTCAGATGGAACAACAACTGGCGGTGGGAGCGAACCGATTACCCCTGTTAGCGTCCGATCTGTTGATGTCGAAGTCGGTCGTGGCAAGGACCGGCGACGTATGGATAGTGTCGAGATTTTGGCCGAGGGACTGGAGAATGATATTCCAAATGTCGGCAGCGGTATCGGATCCGATATCTATCTTCGCGCGTTGGATTTGCCTTAGTTTTGTAACAATCTTGGTCTTTTTGTTTATTTATTTTCATCTTTGTTTTGGCTCTACTAAAGGCTTGTACACATCTTCACATTTTCTTTTTATGTTCTTGAAACATCCAACTACCTCCAGATGTCATAACTGGTAAATCTTTCGATTTTGCGGGGACGTTTATGCCCCTGTCGGACAATGCGGAGATACGATTGTTAAACGGGTTATATGTGGAGAAAGGTTACTCTGCTGAGTTGCATTCAATCTAGAGGCTATCTCCAGATAACAAGAAGTGAGCTCCTATATATTTGCAGGCTCTAGTGGAAGCCACCGAAAACTCCTATGCTCCCCGTACCATTCTCACTCCACGATGAGACTCAAATCTTCAGTCATTTGCCTCATTGTAAGCTGCGGCTCGCTTTGTAGTGCCACAGACCGCATCCTCAAGCATGGTTCTCCTGAATCAGTGGGGCTTCTCGCCGAGCCTCTTCAACAGCTGCCGCTGAACTTAAGCCAGTACACTCTTCCTGCCAATTATGGAACACCTACGCACAATGTGATTCGGCCGGTTCAGCCGGGAGGCTCCATTGTCATTGGCTGCAAGTCCACCATTGTGAGCGCCTTCGCTTTCGGAAATACGAGTGAGTACGCAGACTCCAATGGTACATTGCTTCCTCCCACAGAATGGACCCCGGCCAGGATGGACACAATATACGATATGGCCAGTCTTACCAAAGTGTTCACTGCGGTAGCCGCATTGCGCGCCATCGACGAAGGCAAGCTAAGCTTGGATAAGACCGTCGCGTCCTACCTCCCCGATTTCGCCGCCAATGGGAAGAGCAATATCACTGTCTTGATGTTGTTGACCCATACAAGTGGCTTCGCTCCAGACCCTCTGCCCGGACTGTATGAAGCACCTTACAAGACCATGCGTCAGCGCGTCCGTGCTATCATCGAGCATGAGCTCGAAAATGCTCCTGGATCTACGTACACCTACTCAGATCTGAATTTTATGAATCTGCGCTTCTTGTTGGAGAAGGTCACTAAGACACCATTTGAGGAGTATGTTCATTCATTTACCCGGGAGCTCGGCATGACCAGCACCTTTTTCAACAAAGGGAACAACCAGTCCTCTTTATTCCACCACTACGCGCGAATGGCGCCGACAGAGTACCAGATCGAAGTTCTGGGAGACGCCGAGCCCAAACGTCCCCAGCCAGTGCGAGGAACCGTGCACGACGAGAATGCCTGGGCTCTTGGAGGTGTCAGCGGACACGCCGGTCTCTTTTCGACCGCTGGGGACGTGGCAATCTTCTGCCAAATGATCCTGAACAACGGCACATATGGCGGTAAGCAGATACTGAAGCCAAAGACTGTGGACTTGATGTTCAGGAATTTCAATGCCGCATTCCCTGGTAATGAGCACAGTATCGGGTTCGAGCTCAATCAGAGCTATTTCTCAGGACCCATGGCCAATATGCTGGCTGGAGGTCACACGGGTTTCACTGGTACTACGCTCGTTGTCGATCGGGCGTCGGATACCTTTATGGTCATGCTGGCCCATCGTGTGTATCCTAATCGGAACTGGGCGAGTAACAATATTGTTCGGGAGGCGATAGGCTATTGGGTCGCCCGCTCGCTTGGTCGGGATGTTTCCTTTCCATGATGTTTTGGTCGGGAGATACCTTGTTTGACAACTGTCTAGATAGACTAACCGTAATGTACCATGGAATAGTATGCTCAATGACTATGTGTACTAAACATTGCGAATCAAATAGTGTATCTCTCTATCCGCAAAACAAAGATAGACTCCCAAGCAACCCAGACAAATTAAGCAAATTGCGCCTACTCGTTGGTCATGGCTTTGGGCTGAGGCTCAATATGCTGTTTGTGCCCCGGTCGAGCAATAATAGCCCCAAAGAGATTAAAAATGTTGTTACAGCGAAGCATCATGCAATAGAACAAGGTGATTCCCGTGACCATAATCTCCTCTTGTGCAGCTCTGTCATCTGCCTTGGGGCCAACGAACTCAATCTTGCCAATTTTGGTGATACCCCAGCAACTGGCAGTGAATTTTGCCACGGGCATCTGCTGCTCATTGACACAGATAAAGTCCCAGGTCTTGAACCCGACATCGCTGGTCCATGTCATTGTGACTGGAGATTCGGTGTCAGAGAAGTTGAGCGAGCGGTGGGTGTACAGTGTCCGCCAGCGTTTCTGGGCTAGAAGGTGGGCCTTCTGTCCACGTAGTTCGTAGTCGGCGTTGATAGAGACCGCGTTGAGCTTGCCATTGCCGATGACTTCATCGTTGGGTGCTTTTTTGAAAACCATGTTGGCTGTGAGACTGAATGGGGAATAATGGATAGTGTATAAGGGGTCTGCTCCGGGATTGTTGACGTCGGAGACAATGGCCTTCCACTTCTTCCATGTGAAGTCTACTTTAAAGGCAGAGCTCTTGGAGGAAGTCTGGGTATATTTGGGAGTATCGGATGAAGCCATTGTGTTTGTTTAATAGTAGTTGAGAGTTGAGTCTTGTATTGATCTCTTCTTTGATCTGGAATGAATAGAGCCCTTTAGAAGGATGATTTAGACTACTTATATACTTCATCTCACCAGCCCACCTGGAGGCGCAAGTCTTGGGATCTCCACTCATTTAGGTTTCATCGAACTAACTGAACTAACCTTTTTTGGTGCGACGTCCCGCTCCAGCCAATCAAATTCGGTTTTGGGACTTTTCCGGCTGTGATGTCATTCCCAACTTGGATTTGGAGGCTGAGCAGGGCTGAGTGTTTGCATCTACAGAGTAGAAGTACTTGGATAGATCAAATAGAATCCTTGTGAATATAGCATCCATATGCGTACAGCACGGTGTTGGCTGTTTTAAACAGTTCTCCTGATTTGTGGAAGATGCATGCTATCTTACCTGGATCAACGCACTTGAAAACCTCGGAACAATTAGTAGATCACATCACTGATAATGCTGGCAAAGTATTATCCAGAGGGTTTCAGTAGGAAAGAGGTCTTTGGTTATTGCCATTTGGGCATAGTTGTGGTGAGAACGACACCAACCCAGGAATTGTCACTGCCTATCAATACTTGATTTGTCTTCAAGAACGATGACGTTGTTGGGCGTCAAACCTATAAAATTACATTCATCGGCTACGCTTCAAATAAATTTCCAGTAAAAGCTTGCTAAACAGTATCATTCTTTCGCACAAATCTCATCAAGCCACTCTACTATCCATCACAAGCATGGTCAGCCAGGACACCACCGCACACAAGTACCGCTTGAAGGTAACGGCAGGCGCAGACTACGACCTCAAGACTCATCAAGTGGTACCTGTAAATGGCGGGACAGTACGAATCGAAAATGAGCATGCTATTGTGAGTCTTTGCGTACGGATCCAAAATTACAGAGGTAATACCCGGGCTCTCATCTATTCAGTCAAAGAACGGAGCTCATCTGTCAAATAGGCTATCCCGAGAATTCACCATCCACAAGCCCATATTTCGACCACGATCTGCATAAAAAGGACTTATATTCCATTTGCTTCGCAATACTCTTCAAAGAGCCAGTGAACGGCAACAACCTCGTCTTTGGCAATGACTTCGATCACCCAGTCCGCGATATCCTACCTGCAGGATTTAATGCAGCGCTGCGGATTGTTCAGTGGACGCTGGACCCTGGCCTAGACGGCGATGTCTACGCTGATAAGCCGTATCTGTACAGCCCGGCATTGGCATCGTGGGACCTGTTCCGCATCGGAGATAAAATGCGGAAATCAGACGAGGTGCCAACACTCCATGATGAGGTTATCGAAGAAGGTTCCTATAGCGAAGATGCTGCCAATGTGCGTCAGCAATTTCATATCCCCGAAACAGCCGTGGGGCGCAGAAAGCATTTCCAGAATGAGGCGAATAGAAAGGAGTTCGACTTTGAACCTGGGAGGATGTATGTTGCTGATTTTGGAAACCCTTATTTGGCATTTGAGGGTCAGTGAAATGCAGAGTTGCTCTTTTTATTGGGATTATCGGCTCACCTATCATAATAGATTTCTCTGTCCGACTTCCTGGATTCAATCTACATATCATGAAGTACGTGGATGAGAGCAACCATGAGCTGCGGTATACGCTCAAGGATATTTCAACCGGACGGGTATACCTTGCTGTGGTGTTCTCAGTTGTCCTAGGCGAAACGGAAGATGAGAAAGGCTATAGCAAGAGTGAGCAACGTGACGATAGTCTAGGGAAGTTTGACTGGGAGCCGGAGCCATCGTCTGACGATATCGAGTCATAGATTTCTCGATTTGGCAGATGGATACGGGTTTCATACAATTCGATTATTGTCAATGCATGCAAGGGAAAACAATAAATTCATCGAAGTATCATCTGCAAGCTTTGACTTATATACAAGTTTACTTTTACAGTCTCTTCAGGACATCGTCCAACACCTGCTGAGTGGTGGCCTTTCCGCCCATATCGGGGGTAAGGAACTGAGCAGCATCCAGATTACCATCAACAGCAGCGTAGATTTGAGCAGCGGCCTTCTCCTCGCCCAGGAACTCGAGCATCAGAGCAACACTGCGGATCGTAGCAATGGGGTTGGAGATACCCTGGCCCTCAATGTCAGGGGCACTGCCGTGGCAGGGCTCACCGATGGCGAAGCCATCACCAACATTGGCACTGGGAACGAGACCCAAGCTGCCAACAAGGGCGGCAGCACCGTCAGAGAGGATGTCACCGTAGAGGTTAGGGGCAACAATGACATCGTAGAACTCGGGTTGGCGGAAGAGCTTGTAGACCATGGAGTCGACGATCTGCTCCTCAACGAAGACGGAGGAGAACTTCTCGGCGGCAAGAGCACGGCGCGCGGTCTCACGGAAGAGGCCGTCGGTCTGCGACAGCACGTTCGACTTGTGGGTGATGGTGACCATGGGCTGGTCGCGGGTAGAGCTGGGGGAAGCGGCGCGGATGTTCTGGCGGCGGAGAGCAATCTCACCGGCGATGTTGGAGATGCGGAACGAGGCGTTTTCGGAGATACGCTTGATGGCCTCGGCGACCTTGCCGTTAGGGCCCTCGATGGTGCGCTCTTCCTTCACGTACAGGTCCTCAGTGTTCTCGCGGACGATCACCAAGTCAATGGGCTTGCCATTGCTGTTGCCGGCGGTAGTCTTGACAGGGCGGACGTTGGCGTACAGGTCGAGCTTCTTGCGGAGAGCGACAATGGGCGATGAGTAGCCGGCGACCTTGGTGCTAGGGGAGCTTCGAGTTGGTAGCAATTGTCAGCTGGAATGGCGCATGCTGAAACAAGGACATCGTGGCTTACCTGACAGCTCCAAAGAGAGCACCGTCACACTCCTTCTTCAGGGTGTCGACAGTCTTGTCGGGGAGAGCGGTTCCAGTCTTCTGGAAAGTCTCGTAGCCAGCATCGAGGTCGACGAAGCTGAACTTGAGGTTCAGGGACGAAGGGAGCGACTCGAGGATCCGACGGCCGGCCTATATTTCATCAAGCAACATTCAGTCAGTGAATTGGCTCGCATATCAAATGTTGAGAGAGCTACCCACCGGGATGACCTCCCGTCCGATACCGTCTCCGGGGATGAGACCTATAAGATTCCGGTCATGTCAATCAATTGCCGAGCCACGAGATTCCAAAACAGGGGCGGTTGTACCAATGCGAAGTGTCCGGGCAGCAGCCATTTTGATAGACTTTTTTGCAGAGTTGCTTTCGTGAAATCGACAATCGCCGTCATCGGAGCTTTGCACTTTGTATACGGGACCGGATTATTGTCGACCCGATCTACTACTCCCGGGGTCCGGAGGAGAGTGCGTTGTTATAGACTTACCCACGCTACGGGTTAAATAGTTAGTTAGCTGAGCATGCACTTCTCTTTACAAATCACACCCGTTTTATCATTGAATCGTCTACCTGTACGGTTGTGGTATCAGTTCACCTCAGTGCCTATCGTCCAACACATTCCACCTAGGTATGGAATGCAGATGATGAAACAAGATCGTCTACTACTTATAGGCGAGGCTATCTTAGGTCTCTAGGCTATCGCGTAGTAAAGGTTCTTAGGCTCTTATCGTGTCTATTTCTATCGAGATAAAAGGTCTATATTCATCTTAAGGTATCAAATTTTTATAACTCCTAAAGCTATACTCACTTACTATATGACGTTCGCATAGATCGGAATGATTTTACAATATGGTGAACTAAGAAGACGATGGTGTTATATGTGTAGGTTAGTTCGTCGAGGAAGTGAGAGTAACCTCGACTTTGATACCGGCAAGTTAAGCACTGTTTGTCTTACTGCAGTTCGATATTATAACACTATACCTACGGCTATAGAATTTCATCTTATACTCGGTATAAATGGACTTATTACAGCTTAAGGAATAGGTGTATGTTCCGACCTCGGGCCTCGCCCGGATAGGATAGATACATCCATCCATATATAGTAATTACATAACTCGGCCTTGTGCCCAAAGCACAAAGTCTCTGGATCTCAGATTGAGAAGATCACTGACAGCACAGTAATAAGCACTGGTCATAGGAAAATTCAGAAGATCAAGGCAGCCAAGGTGAACAAGCGATCCGTGATAGTGGTCAAACGCTCATTAATGCCCATAATTTCCTCCTCAATCTGTCATTTCTCGGTGGTTGCCACCGTAGGAATTGCTCATACTCCGCATTTTCTCTTCTCCTGCCCTCTTCTTATTTCTTCCCTTTTCATCTTTCTTCTGTCCGTCATTCTATGCTTGTTGTTCTGACTTCCTCTTTTTACTACTTGGGTCTTGAACGGCCATTCCACGGTACTGGCTCATCTTCCATACACGGTTCAAAGCCGACAACAAAAACGTCCGCGGTCAATGTTGATTAGTTAGATCCTCTCTCTCTTCTTTCTTTTCCTCCTCAGTCCATCAGTTAGCATCAATACAACTGTATTTGCTGCATCCTCCTCGCCTCCTCCGCTGACAAACCCCAACGAGCTCAAAGCTCTCCACAATCCCGTTTCCATAAGATATGACGAATGGCTGATTACGTCGCCGATCGACCTCTTCAAGAAACCTCCTCATGGCCCCTTTATCACGTATCGGAATCTCTCGAGGAGCACAGAATCAGACACTGTATCACTGGCGATGCCATCATTGGGACTCTCGGCTATCCCTCAGTCATTTGGCAATTTTATCTTGCGGTCGCAGACGAACAACTTGAAGATGCCCGCTCTGTCGTTCTGGCATATGGATCTCTCAGAATCGAGTCTATCGATGAACACATTCCTACATGATTCTTCGCGATTCCGATTTCCAAAGCGGCTGTTTTATTTGGATGGTAAGCGTCATGGCATGGATGCCTCTTTCAACTTTGTCTTCCTTGGCTTCGGTCTTTGTTAGTCCTGGTCGTGTACTGATATTCTCTTAAATTCCTAGCTCTGATCGATGTTATTGTCGAAAACGCAGTGAAACAGGGCGGCAACTAAAGCATATCGAGGTATTTTAAAATGCAGTATCACTATCTAGTCGGCTGCATCCCTCCGGATATTCTTCGCAGCCTGCCGCCGGAGGACAAATTCTTTGTGGACTTATATAGTAAACCGCTTCCGCCAAAAGCCCGGGAACGAGTCCTCTTAAATCGGCAGCGGATTCGACAGGGTCTGATGAATGTTGAAGAGGCATGGAAGTCAATCCCCAAAAAAGCTCTGCGGTTTGAAGAGATACACCGCAAAGCTCTGAATCATCGCTAGGGTGTCATCTAGGCTGGGGAATCTATTTCTTTTTTACAGATGTTCTTTCTTATCGGCCGAAGGCGTAGCATTTGTGGGCTACAGCAAAACCGCTTTATAACGAACTCGGATATAACTAACGAACGGTGCTTTAATTAATCCGCCATACAAAATTCGTTATATCCAGGACTTTATCCTCTCTTTTTGACCAGTTAGAATGCCTCGCCGATCTATTCCAACCTTGAGTTATTTCGTGTTCATGTGTACCTTTCATATGTCAAGTCCATACAGAAGATACTTAATTTGGTATCTGGTGAGGCCCGTGTGGGCATGATTATAGCATCCATTATTGTCCATCGTACGGAGTCCTACAATCCTGTCGTCTTCTCTTGGCATTCTTACCTCGACCATCACAAGCAATCAATTTCCTCCAGTCGCGGATATTTACATACGCACAGTCACACCTCATTAAAATCGACCCCACTGTTCTACACTAATTCTATAAGCGCTAAACCCAAATGGGTCACTTACCACGATGTAGATCCACCGGCATGGAGAATACAGTCGACAGAGATTGAGCCTACCCTCAGAGTAGATATTTAAAGTAGCCAAAATCGCATTCCATTTCTCATGATTGTATTCGATTCTCTATTCCACTGTCACCCAAAACTTATTGTCAACTCTTTCTTCGAAATCAGAGCTCACTATGGCATTGAATCTTCTGTCCCGTTCATCGGATTCTCCAATCTCAACTGCTAAGCGGAATATTGCGATCGCAGAGATTGTCATATATTCTCTCATCCACATTGCGCAGTTTAGCACAAGATGCATGCAAGAGTGGCGGTACTGGCACCATAACAAGAACAAGAGTGCCGGACGGTGTGTGTTCTATTCTTGGTGGAGTATGGTTGGTCTTCTGTCACAGAGTAAGTGGAAGACATTCTGCCAATTTTGAAGATATGGCTATTGAAATCCGTCATAGTTCGTATAGCGGGCTCGGCCCTGGTGTTCAGCTCACACCCGGGGAAGCCAATGCGTATTGCTGAATCCATTTTGCAAAGCGTCGGCCTTTCGCCCCTCTTGTTTGAAGTCAGCTTGGTCTTACTGCGATGGTATGTTGAAAATCCTCTAGGTTCGGGGGTCCTGCTTCTTTTTGGGGAGAAAAAAAGCCATATGCTGACGATGTTCCTCCGAATAGTGGACAATCCGGAGAAACTGGTCCTGGGAATTCGAAATGGACCAAGCTAACCCGGTTGGCTCTGCACTTCTTCCGTTTCCCGATTTTCATCGCCATCATGCTAGCAGTGGTGAGCGGATGTATCAACATGCGCGCATTGGGAGAGGCTGGATCTGTTGTTCTTGTTGTCACGTTCGCCTATGTATGCGGTCTTGTTGGTTGGCTTGCAATAAAATCGCGGTCGATCCTTTCCGAGTCCGGTCACCACGCCGTGCTTTTGACTGTGTTGACTCTTCCCTTTTTGTTGGTTCGGATCATTTATTTCCTATTGTTGGAGTATGGACCCCCCAAGTTCAACCCAGCCACTGGTGATATCCGCATCTTGGTTGGAATGGGGCTTCTCATGGAGATCATCATTGTCCTCTTGCTTTTGACGGCACGCGCTGTAGCCGAACCTGTTTGGCCGTCGATCGTCTCTAAGCGCATCGTACATGATGACTTGGAATCGACGCGGAATTGAGATAGTCACTTTGGAAATGTCCGAACCCAGTGGTGAAATGGCTTGGGAAATGGATCGTGGAATTGGCTTTGAGTCCATAATATTTTAATGCACATTTGGCTTGGATCACAAGACAGTCTGATGGTTCTTTCGCTGAGCGGCTGCGTAGATATTTGAAAATTGTTCAAGGCGGTTCAAGATCCAAGATCTTGTCACCGGATCCGCAACTTCGAATGCCACGTGGAGAGGAAACGCCATTCGGTATGGGCCCATTACTCCCACACTGTTGTATTCGACTGACTTGCATATTTGATCTCTGAAATAGGTAACCATGGCTTCATGCTCACCGGGGTAGCCACAGGTTTTCAAAATTTCATGAATGAGTACCATGTAGGAGTAGTAACCGCAGTAGATCGTTGCGTAGCTCACGTCTGTATATGTGAGGATAATCGGATATAGCTCATCCCCGGTCGAGGAGAGTGTTTCGGTTGGCGGTGGTACGATTTGAGAAAATCGCTCATACCATCTAGCCAGTTTCATCTGCATCTCGAGGGCTTCGCACAGGACCTCGGAGACTGTTTGTAGGGCTTCAGCACTGATGGCGTCGACTTGTATTAAAGCATAGAGCTTATGCACAAGACTCGGAGCATATGTGAAGTATGCAAAGAACAGTTCGATGTTGTTGTGCACTTCTGTGGGAAAGTCTGATGTGTATTGCGGTCGCATCGTATCATGCCACTCATCCGAGGCTAAAAAGCACTCTTCACCGGAGAACATTGAGTGCATCACCTATTCGAATATGAGCGGTTATTCCAAGTTTCGACTGATTTAATAATGCTTCTCAAGGAGATTAAAAGCAAAAGTCCATGTCCCAGACTTACAATCAACCCTCTGGCAGCCTTGAGTAACGTTATGTCAAGCTCAGCGTTGTACCTATCTGGCCCTCGAATCCGTACCAGCTGGCTGAGCCCTCTGGCATGCTTCATCCACGATTCTGGGGTCTCAGTATCTGTGAAAAGCTGCATATGGTCAGTCACTGACAAATGAACGATTTCGGAGTGGAAATTATTTACCTCATACATGCATAGCAGTACTACAGCACAAAATATATGGGAAGATAGACCTTGCGCAGGAGTTTCCAGCGATTTCCGGAGCCCACGCAACGCTTCTCCATAAGCTGATCGGGCGTACGACACCATTTGGGTATTTTTAGTAGTGCGCCCAAAATGATGTGCCGTGAAAGACCTTATGGTGGCATCCAATACCCGATTTTGGCCATAAATGGAGGGAAGAAACCCAAACCATCTAACCACAACATGTGTTGGGCTGGGGGTGTATGGTTGAGAGAAGTCATCAATGAGAACACAAAGATGTTGCACAACGTTCATATCCACAGAAATGAGAGAAGATGGTTTCTCTCTCTTGGCCAGAGTCTGGCAGGTCGGCTCAAGATCAATGTTAGAATACGAGGTTACAGTCTTAGAACGTGTTCCATCCTTTTTGTCGTTCCTGGAATTAGGTTGCCGCCGGTCCCGATATGGCTTTCCAGCAATAAACTTGAAGCCTCGGTCATATCCAGGGCAAGGTTGCCCATATTTGTCGCATTTGGCACAACCAGGAAGTCTTTGATCACACTGTAGCGTTCTCAATATGGCGTGGACTATTTGACCGGACTTCATGTAGATATTCCACTCACCTTGACTCGGCGTTTAACACATAGTAGACAACCATTGCTCCGAGGCACACCAACCATTGTGAATCATAAGTTCATATTAATTCAAAGAAGCCAAGGGAGTTGGAGAAGCCTCGTATAAGATCTGGTGCCGTCACGTGCTCTGATCGGGCATGTCCCGAGATCCTCTCATTGGCTAAAAGGCAGAGTATGTCTCCAGGGCTATATTGTATGTCCATGGACTCGTACAAAGTTCAAGGGTAATTGACCATTTACCTTGAGGAAATTGACGTGCGTGCCATAGGCTATCAAAGAGGCGACATATTCCAATCTGTCTTCCAACGTCGGTGAGAATTGTATTTGTTGACTATTATCACCTTCATATAATTTCTCCTAAAGCCAGGCGGCATACCCAGCATTGCGATACATGCCTTAGCTATTAGACATATATCTAGATACATATATAGGTACTGAAGCCACCGAAGTTTTGCAAATAGAGCCCAAATTGGGGAAATCCAGTTCCAATAGATGTGTTGGTATTCTGCCTCAGGCACCAGATGCCCCTTACTCGAGATCCACTTGGAAATGTGTCCAGATACTACTCCATAGTTATATGTTTCAGACCTCAAAAGGGGGTTCCAGTACTCTGTGCGGTAAATCTTAATTAAATAAGGATGAAATCACCTGTCACATCGAAATGAAAGCCCCTGAGACAAGGAGTCCTGTATGGAGTACGGAGTACGGAGTACAACGTAAGGCGTTGGCCTATTGGATACGCTAGCCTTAACTAGCGCGTATGTATGTAATAGTTTCTGGATCGGCCTTCTTCACACCTTGTGTCCTCTTGTCCCATACCAATTCTCTATCCGACTTTGACGCGTTGGACCTGAACCCTCCTGGGAACATGCGGTGGGATCTGCCTGTATCCGATTAGACGTCACAACAAACCCATTTTGACCTGATTTCAGGAGCACCCCTGTGCTCTGCATACGTGTTTCCAGATTCCCCTCGATTGCAGACACGCCCTTGTTCGGCTGACGTACCCTCAGCGATAATGTCCGATAACAATCCCCATCACCCCGGGGTGCGCAGCTTGCTAGCCAAGTTCGAAGGCCAAAGCCCCATCGCCTCTCCACCGCCTCGTGGCCGATCCCCAACTGCCTCAGACTCGTCAGGAACAGCTCGGCAGCTATCCAAGGTCCGGGCTAGCTTCATCACTGTGGATGGGGTCGTTCAGTCGAATCCTGCTTCGCCATTGAGGAAGACAAGTGGGCGAAGCGATAGTCCTGGAATGTTTGGACCGAAGATCAATTTGGCGGATGCGCAGTCAGGCCGGCAGGGTATGATCTCCCCCACCCCGGTCAGTCGCCTGGACCACACACAGAACACGGCTCTGGGACAGATAATGGCTGAAGGTCGACCGGAGGAAGCCTTTGGAACCAAGAATGAAGGGAACAAGACTGCCAAGGAGGAACCCGCAGCGCGTACCGAGACTGAATTTCGGTCGCGAAACACCCCACCAAATCAGACAGAGGAGCCCGCCTCCACGGATTCCAAGTTGACAAGCTCCGACACTCCCTCGGAGAAGTCAGATTCATCAGTAGTGATCAAGAAGAAGCCTTCTTCCGTTGGTTCTGCCCGCAATGCAACGAGCAAGTCCGTGCCAACTACTGCAGCTTCAACTGGTGCGAAGCCTGCTATTCACACTACAAGCTCCAAGCGCACAGCCGGCGAAGTGGCTAAAGAGCGCGCCAACTCTCTGGCCCACAAACCCAGTCGTGTCTCACTGAATCCCAAGACAACAGCACGGCCAACCCGCGGCTCAGCCCCGGCACAAGATACTTCAAAGCCACATGCCGTAGGTGTATCCAACAGACCAGGAGTGAAATCCCCACCCAAACCTGCCCGTGTACCCGGCTCGATGAATACGTCAACCCAAGCATCTGCTACTAAGCTAGGAGGCACAGGGGCTCCGAGCACGCGCACCACTACCAGTGCATCAACCCTCACAAGAAAACCTTCATCCCTCAAAAGCGCAACTGGCGGTCAGTCGCGTGCCACTACTCCTAGTACCAGCATCCGCAGACAATCTTCTCGCCCTTCGTTGCCCGCTCAAGCAGCTAATGATACAACCACTAAGCCCGTTAATGAAGGTTTCCTCGCAAGAATGATGCGGCCTACCGCTAGCTCTGCGAACAAGTCTCATCTCCAGGAAAAGACTGATGCAAAGCCTGTCACCAGGACAACCTCTGTTTCCAAGGCCCCCAGGGTGTCAACTGGGAGGGTGCCAGATCGTGGCGTCCACCAGGTGAAGCCTAAGAGCGCTGCCCTTCGACCTCAGAGTCAGAAATCCCAGGCTCTGAACAAGGAACCTGAGCTACAGAAAGATGGACATAAGCCTTCCCAAAAGAAGCAGGAAAGTGAGAAAGAGAACATCGTGGAGCCTGCGACAGTGGAGCCCGCTCCGTTGCGGGAGACCGCATCCCCTGCTCAGGTTGAGGAGCCTACCCCGGAAGTTGCCATCGCATCTGCTGAGGCAACGGAGAAGTCGATTGAAGTGCCCGAGCCAATCATCGAGGAGACAGTGACTGAGAGCTCATCTAACCCCGTCGCAATCCAAGATGCTACGGAGGTGGCGGCTGAGCCTATCGATTTTAACAAAGCCCAGGCTTCAGCCGAGGCTGAGGTGGATGCTCCTGTTGAGGCCTTTATTGAGCCCATCGCTGAGCATGCTGACGAGGAGAAGGCTGTTGAGACCACCACCACAACCGAAGAGAATGTTGCAGAGCCCGTGACAATCCCAACGGCTGGCGATCAAGTGAAGGTCGGCGAGAAGCAAGAGACCTCGGCGCCCGAGCCAGAGGTGCGCGAGACTCCGGAGTCAACAGAGGTCCAGGTCGAGGCTCCCGAAGAAAACGATGTGCCAGTGAAGGAGGTTACTATCCCTGAAAATTTGGCAGAGGCCATAGAGGAGAACCCCGCTGAGGCCAAGTCCACTGATGGGCCTGCCCCTGATGCGCAGCCCGCAACTGAGACTGAGTCGAGCAACGTCATCATCGATATTGCTAGTCTGGCATTGAACTAGGCGCTCGATATCAGAACTGCACTGCGTTTATCTGAAATGGATTTCGCTGGCCCATCTCCGCTTCTGGTAAATTTTGGAACCTCTTAATCTTCTCTGATCATAATCTTCACTATTGTCTTCTATCTCACCAAGTGAGCGCCTCTTTCCATTTATCAAGGCTTACCTTCAACCTTTTCACTGCCCATTCTTCCGTGTCTCTTTCCTACACTATACTAGCATCTTTTTACATCTATCAGTGTTTTGGTTGTCTTATTATTTGTTTATCTCCTGCATACTCTGTACCAATTTCGTGAGCATATTATTCTTAGCGCTTAGGGGCATTATCCAATTTAGCATCTTGGTTTATCAATATAGCGGGGCTCAAAGCTTTTATACTACCATTTTCTCGGTTCGTATCTAGTAAGCACTGCATTTTCCCGTCAAATTGAGAAGCTAAAAACGATATTCTGATCCAGATTCCCGTACTCATAGTACTGCTCAGCAGCCGGCCTAAATAGCAAGCACTCAAGGTGATCATGACCAGCAGAGATATCTGACAAGAAAGAAAGATGCAAAATATCAAACTCCCACCCACAAAAGAGGCTCAAAGTTTCCTCTCAAGCTTCTTCAGGAACCTATTCATACCACCTTCCAACCGCTCTGCTCTATCCTCCAATTTCCTCGGCCGCTGACCAGGGTTCTTCATTGCCTTCTGTGCATATTTCTGATAGTGAGAGCTAGCCTCCACTTCAGTAGGTCTATACAGCTGGCTATGAATATCATATTCAGAGCCAGCACGCTGGTGCTGCTGCTGGTGCTGCGCCTGAGTCTGGTCATACGAGTGGTTCGAGAACCCGCCTACCGGCACCGCCACCCCAGTCTGATACTGAGGCGGCGTCTGGGCCTGGGCAGCCCCATAGACCTGCTGGTCATATAGATGGGCATTCGGATCCTGCGGCGGCGGAGCGAAGGACATTGAACCTTGCCGGCTCGCACTGTACTGTTGGCCTCCCTGCCCGCCGACGAATGACTGCGGGTACGAAGGGACAGGCATTCCGGGGCTGTGGACTGAGGATCTGGCAGTGGAGAAAGAGTTTGAATGTTGTAGTCCCGCACTGGGTGGAGGGGAGGCAAATGTTGGCGGTGCTGCGATTGGAGGGCCCGCGTATTGCAACCCCGGAGTTGAGGGGGGCGGGGACGCAAATCCGCCTACGCCTCCTGCGCCCATCATTTGGTGCGGGGGCGTATATGGCATGCCGTTGTCGGCTGCCACTGCGGCTGCGAGGCCGGTGCCGCTCATCCCGTCCTCTGGCGGCGGAGTCTTCTCGCGGGGTTGGATTGGCTCTGGGGCGGCTGGTGCAGCTGGATTGTACGGGAGCGGGGCGAAGCTAGCTGCGTCTTTCTTTTCCTCGGCGGGAGTAGAACCAGCGCTTAATTGTTGATCAGCTGGAGGTCCGCTTGGTGGGGGCGGGGGAAAGCTGCTGGTTTGCGGGGGGGCCTGCACTGGTGCCGCTGTGCTTGTTGTCTCGGATCGTGAGTTGCGGGTTTGACCGTTCTGGTAGGCAGGGTCGGAAACTGCAACGGTCTCAAGTTGCTGGACTACAGAGCTCATGGTTTGCTGTTGTTGCGGCGCGGGCTCTCGGTCTGTCTCGACCTGAGCATTGGATAGAAGCCGGATGACAGTGTCCAGAAAGTCGGTTGCATCTTCTTGAGTCCAGAAGTAGATATCCAACGTATGCAGCCGAGGGAAATTGCGGATTTCCTTGGGGTCACCGCGTGGATCTCCGCTAGGCAGATGCCACTCGCATTGAAGGGTATCTTGTCCATATTGCTGTTGGGGTGAGGCCGTCTGTGCATCAACCGTTAATGTACAGAGTGTCGGGAATTGAGCTGAGTGTCGTATATGAACATTGCTCAAGCCTCCACAGAATGCGTCCTGCTCGGGAGATCCAGGATTATTGGCAATTTCCATCCGGGACTTGTTCTGAAAAGCATCATGGTAAATATAAACATAGGAGCCTTTATCAAAGCGGTGGTGATGTGGTGAAGGTCTTCGGGTTGGCTCCGCGAAGTAGTAGTGGATATCTGCAAAACTACACCGGCTATTAGACACAATCCAAGATCTGCTTCATATGGACCTGTGGAGAAGTCAGTTCAACTCACACAGTCACAAGGCGCTCTTCGCCCGCCGATGGTGGCATGTCTAATAATTTAAAGTATGAAATGCAAGTATATAACGATGGCAGAAAGTAGAGGGGGAAAAGAAAAACAGGAACCTACGTTTATTATTTATATCTTGGACTGAGGGGTATTCAACCTGTGAGACGCCAGCATCAACCGCCATGCAAGCTGGGCGCTTAAAAGATGTATGGATGTGATGTGATAATAGGACGGTACTAGTACCTGCTCATCACACAACTCCGCTACGGGCGCGAAAGTACCGGGTACCTGGAGAAGGTCGCGACCCGGAAGTACAATTTATCCGAAAATTTCCATCCCAAATCATCGCATCTTCATGTCGGCGCTACAACACCTCCTGCCGTGTCTTTGCATTCCCAGACAATTGCAGTCCATTGTGGTCCTTCTCGGTCTCCGCTTTTGTGTATCCCGGATCCCTGTCCTTCTTCCTCTTCCGAAATTGATCAATTCCACCACTCTCTTTCCTCTCCGAACGGCCGCCAGTAGAGCTTAATTGCTGCCGTCGCGAACTCAAGATGTCTCTCGTCAACCTTTCCGCCGTCTGCGCCCACCTGAACAATGCTACCAAGGCCCGTCTCGCTCTCACCTCTATCCCTAACAGCAACCTCCACCTGAAGCTCTCCCTCGCCCTCCAAAACTCCGGCTACATCTCCTCCGTGGCCCGCGGAGGCCCGACTCCTCCTCCAGCCCATAGCATCCTAGGTTACCCTGCAGTCAACGATGAAGCCGAAGGCATTGAGCCAATAACCCGCGATAACGTCGCGTCAAGGCGGCTGTGGCTGGGCCTGAAGTACTGGCAGAACGAATCGGTCTTGGGCAAGATCAAGATGGTCAGCAAGCCCACCCGACGGGTCAACATCGATGTGGAGGGACTGCGCCGAGTTGTACGTGGTGAGGAGTCCGGGTTTGTGGCCGGAATTCGCTCGCCGGGTGAGAGTCTGTACCTCTCTACAGACCGCGGGATTCTAGAAGCTCGCGAGTGTGTCGAGAAAAAGCTTGGTGGGCTGGTTTTGTGCCGTGTGCTATAAGTCTGCAATTGTCCTAGGGGCTTATCTCTGATTTGGGGAGCTACCGGGAAGATTGTTTTCTCCTCTTGCATTTACTTTGGAGTTTGTTATTGAGTCGCAGCGCTTTCTCTTTTCGAGACTAGTCTTTTTTGTGACTGTTGGGATAATACCTGGGTCAAGGATCTGTATATTAGATGTCTGCGTATCTCGCATTCTGTGCTCTGCTGCTGATTTTGCAGCTGTCCTCAATGTGACACAGTGTATAGATTATGACTTGAAATATGTCCGTGTACTCCCCTTCCATGGATGTGCTTACTACAACATAGTAGTGACACTTCTTAGGCTAATTCTATAGATGCCTCATTTCCCATACCCCAACGGCTAGGGGTATGGTGTAGGTAAACCTGGGCAAGACCTTGGCTTACCTAATTAGGAAGAAGACACCTAACTCGTTAACTAACTATTTTATATCACCTGTACAGCGCTATATTCTCTATTAGGGCCCTATTAGGATTAGAGATTCAGGGATTCTAGTTTTAAATAGGTAAGGTTCCAAGGTTGGAACGTTGGAACGATTATGTAAGCAACCCCTTTTGCCCAGGTGGGTATCCCGGAGCCTTTTTTGAGTATACCTGAGCTAGAACCAGGTTTACGAGTATCCCGGAACTACCAAGGTCTTTTTCGAGTTTAATAATGTTGGAATTTCGGCTCTCTCTGGGCTCAGGTTTTTGAGCACACCAGAACTGCAAGCTAGATGTTCCTCACGTAGCCACCCGTGGATTCCCAATGTTTCTGTTTGACCTCTCCGTTTGATCTCTCCATGTTTTGGACCATTTGTTTACGTTCTTCCACTTCCTTCTTCCTTCATAACCTCGTCTGCTCTTGATCTTGTCCTCTCCTGAAGGCCATCCAGTGATCGTGGGCATAGAACTACAAACCATGGCTGAACCTCAAATCGTTAAACGCGCGCGATCCAATACTATTGGCGATGTCCACATCAATACAACAGCCCCACGAATAGAAGAAATCTTCCAGCACGTCCAGCAGCTTGATCCACATAATATCGCCAGCATTCTCGCGTACGCAGCGCGAATCCATCCTGACGTCATGTACATGGTGTCCAACACCATTCACGTCACCCGGGAGATGGAGATAGAGCAAAATTCCATTCTCAGTTCCAATATTCGAGTGACGTCTGGGAATGATTAACGTCACACATCCCTTCAGAAGCAATGCAGCGCAGTCCCACATTGCTGACGCTGTGGCCGAGGATGTGCTCGATACCATCTCCTCAATCCTGGAACATTGTGGACCATTCGCAGACCCCCAGACACGGTTTAATGGGCTCTCCGTACTGCACAAAATTGGCAAGACGATGGCGCTTTCTACCGACGATACACTGGGCCGTAAGGTTCAGGGGCGGTTCGAATCCGATTCTTCTCTTGTAGATGGGATGAAAGAAATCATCAATTCTATGACACCGGATGCAGTCCGAGTGATCATAGAGGATAACTCGAGTCCAAATGCATTGTGGCCAAAATTACAGGAATTGTAAGAACTGGCCCAGAATGAAGGCATTCATCCTGGACTAGATGAAGTGTTGGATCTATTGCATCCTACTCGCGATGAGGATGAAGAATAACTGGACAAAGAGGAAGACGAGGACGAGGATGATGCTCATCAAGCACATCCATGGCAGTCATCTTTGAGATTGAACTAGACTGTGGTTTAGGCATCAAGAATATAAGAACGGACTTTTGGAAAGATTAACCAAAGAGACCTGACTGTTTGAGGTGTTCTCGAGGTGATGCAGTACTGTTTTATGTCCTATGTAGTTGTGATGTCGCACAGTTTTGTTTGCCCGGTCCGACCTTCCTCCACAAAACCCCAGATTGTTTACACTCAATCAACTCCCACAATGACCGAGACAGCGAAGAAGGTCCTCATATCCGGTGGCACGGGCTTTGTAGGCTCGGCAATAGTGCGGGCTCTTGCAGAAAAATACCCAAACTTTGTCATCGCCGTCATCGACCAAAGTCCCCCACGACCCGAGCATGTCCTGCCAGAGAGAACTACGTATATGCAGGCGGATATCACTTCAGCGAAAATGTTGAGTAAAGCATTTGAGGCTGTGAAACCAGATATCGTTGTCCACGCTGCTGGAGTCGTCCCAGATCTGGCCGAACGGTGGGGTCGCCGACTGGAACAGGAGGTATGGAAGATCAACTTCGAAGGCACACGGAATATGCTAGATGTATCCAAGCACAGCCGGGTTGAAGTCTTCATATACACGAGCACTTGCTGCGTGGTGATCGACGATACGCGTACCGATCATCTTAACATCAATGAAGACTGGCCCTTGGCATTCAGGTCAACCATTTATGGAGAGTCCAAGGTTTGAACTACTGATCCCCAATCAGCAGATTCTCAGCATTAGCAGCCAATAGGTTACTAACACGCTTTGATGGTATATAGGCTGCTGCAGAAGCACTCGTTCTAAAGGCCTCAAGCAGCAAGATGGTGACATGCGCCCTCCGGCCATCGGTGCTCTGCGGACCAGGAGACTACCAGCTAGTACCATCTATTCATGCATGCATCGCCAAATATGAAACCTCTTTTTTGATAGGAAATGGCTTCAACCTGTGGGATATTACCTACGTCGACAATGTCGCCGATGCTCACGTCCTGGCCATAGAGAATCTGTTGACGTCTCGCACCGCTGCAGGAGAGGCCTTTTTCATTCAGAATAACGAACCTATCGTCTTCCGTGATTTTTGCCTTGCAATCTGGGCGCATTTCGGGCACGTCCCACCTTTTGAAGTGCATATCCCAAAGAGTCTGGCTTACTTCGCCGGGCTGGCGTGCGAGACTGTCACCTGGTTGATGGGAACAACGACAACTTTGAGCCGTGGTAGTGTACAGGATGCACGTGCCACTCGATATGCTAGTGGCAAAAAGGCTAAGGAGATTCTGGGGTACGAGGCGCGCATTGGTATCGAAGAGGCCATCCGTTTGAGTTGCGAGGTAAGGAGATATCACAAGCCCAACTTTTTCTATTGTCGTACTCACCGGAGCCAACCCAGGATTATGCTTCTCGTCTCGGAGTCAAATTACCGACCCTCAATAGTGGAAGCCGGCGAAAACAGTAACATATCACGTTGATGGAGAATCATACAGAATCCCTGGCTCCCCAGCAAATGCTAATACCCGAGAAATACTCCGATAGTCATGATTTTCTGAGGTTTGAATAGTGCTCGTTAGCCTGAACTATTTTCTCATACATACTATGCTTTCACAGTGTTATTGATAACAATATTCCTAGGCGACGTCGACCTTGGAAGCATAGACATTGGGCTCCTTGTTGGGCTGCATGGGTAGATCGTATGCCATCGGAACAGCTGAGCTCTCCACATTTGAAAACTTTATGATATCGGATTTCCTCTTTGTTTCACCCGGATCTCCAGAAGAGTCTGCAAAAGAGAGACATGGCCCATGCAGCTTATTGCATTGGGCCTCAAAGTAGCCCGCCTGCCCAACGCAGGTTAACTACACGCGTCACGGGATTTACATGCTACACTACGGAGTACCTCAGCTCACCTTTACATTTCTTCCAGGACCTTCGAGGGCGCAGATCACATCTTCTATCTGCACATTTGGGTATCCATAGCTCAACTATTTCCAAGTCCAGAACCCCGGTCCTTGCGTTTCGTACCCAACACCAGCCTTGCTGCCCGAGGCATTGCCCCAATACAATTATCGAACCAGAATGAAGGTGACACGGCGATCAGCTTGCTGGTGCTCCTCCCTTAATTCATGAAGATTGAGGCTTTGGATGCAATGTTCGCCGTGCGGTATAATGCCATGCACCCACAGAGGCGTCTCTCGGCGCCTCGGCTGCCAACGAGCTTTACAGACTGGTCGTATTCTTGATCGATCGAGATCTTCAAACGTACACGGCACGGGCGGTTTAACTCCTGTTACAGAATTGGTTTTCTTGAAACCAACAATGCCCAGGCAACACAGGCCTCATCTCCATAAACTCCGTCTCCACCAACGCCACCGGCCTAGAGTCCTCTAGCGCGGCTCTCAATCCAGTTACACTGCCGTTGCATAAACACGGGTGGGCTCCGATTCCCGTTTGTCAGGCATACTTACCAATTTGTTTAACCTGGGTAGAGTGCCTTTCTAAAAAAAAAAGGACTATAATACCTGCCCTTTGCTCGGTTTTCGTGACTTCATTCGCTCGAGAACTTTTCCAATAGATATTTTCTTTCGCTCTCTGTTCTTCCGAACTTGTTCTCATTCATTATATTAGGCTCTGGTACTACTCCGGCCTTACTCTCTTAATGCTTCCTGTCCTTCCTCATCCAGTGGCGGCTGGACCAGTCTATCCGTTCTCTTTGCCAGCAAGTCTCGGTTCTTGTGCAGGCTCTATCAATTCTAAATTTGATACTCGGTCTCGCCATAGGTCAGCAGAATCAGCATCGCCATTCCCTCCTTTATTTCCGTGCAAAACCTCTTGGAATCCGAAACTCATTCCCCGTAGCAGCACCATGGCTCAGCACCATATGTATGGAACCCCAGCGATCTCTCCGCTGGTCTATCAACAAAGGTATTGTTTGGTCGTCGTTCACTTCATTGCAAACCTCCCAGGCTATCATCGACAAAAATCGTTTTCGTTCCTTTTGCTAAGCGGTAAAAGGTCACCATCTACTCCCCACGGGTATGGCTACAGAGACGACCGTCAAGTGCCTTTCGGTCCGATGGATTCTAACCATCAGGCTCATTATCATGGAGCTCCCGTCCCTCTGGATAGCCACAGCCACATGATAAACCCACCCACGGGACGTCTATCCTACCCTCCAGCCGGACAAACCCACCCACAAGCCCGGATCCATGAATGGAGCCAGCCGAACCACGTGCCTCGAGAACCCCTGAGGCGGGACCATGGAACAATGAACCCCCCAGAAAGCCCGGAGTATGTCATGGAGAGAAACAGCCAGCGAGCTGCCGAGAGATCCAGAGGAAGCCCACACTACCATTCCCAGAGACGGACATCTATCCGTGATGAATTTGATGGCCCGCATCAGTTCCTGGAGCCACCTTCTCCACAGGCTGTCGCAGCCCAGGATAAAGAGCTTCCCCAGCTCCCTACTAACCTCGATGCCGGCGAGCAAGACAGCATCCTACACAAGGTCAACGACCGCCTGTCCCAGTGTGCCTATGACTTCATCGCAAAGTACCAATTCCGTGTTCCTATCGAGCAGGACAAGAGGCCCGTCAAGGTCCCCTCAGACCGCGAGTGGACGGAGTGGGTACACCTTTTGAAGCGGCTGGCTACTACACGCCGCATCCCAGCTCATCTCTTGTACAACCGCCAAATCAAGCAGCTCATCACTGTCCTGGAGAACTCCCTGGAGATGCGCCACGCTGCCAAGCACCAGTCTAGGCCAGTCAAGGATGACCGCAATGTGTTGCAGCTCATTTCTGCGGGGACACAGGTGGCGAAGATCCTTAGGGATTCGAGCGCCATGCAGTTTCTCGATTGTCTTTATGCTGACACCGAGAAACTGATTCTGGAGCGACGTGGCCGTCGTGTTAGATTCGCACACCCTTGAATCCACTGGGTAGAAAATGGCCATCTTTAAAACGCCCGCTTGGATGCCACTGTTCTGTTTCTGTTGTCTGCCCGTCGAAGGCCCTTGGATTGCCCTGTTTTTCTTTGCTTTCTCTTCCATTTTTACAAGTCCATTTGGAAGAACCCACTGTCAAGTTTGAACCCCCTTGGAGGAAAGGTATCCTGCAGCCTGGTGATTTCTAATTCAGGACAAAAGCCCAGGCAGCTACCCAGCCCGGGTGAAGGATTGAAACAAAACCCATCGAGCTGGCAGGAAAATAATCGTTCAGCTCTCGCCACATGTCACAACGTTTACATCTCCCCCATGTCTAAGTGTCAGCCAGCGGTACGGAAGGAATCAGTAATAAGGCGTTGAAGTTCTTGGTTTTCTCGGTTTGATTTCTATTTTTATTCTGGCGTTTGGGTTGGCTGTCTTGATATGTTTATGCTTCATACGTTTTCCCTGTGCCACGCGACCATGTCATGATTTCGGTTTGTTTATGGACTATGTTTTTCTTTATGTTGTATGCAGTACGAGATTATGTTTGTGGATTATGTTATGTCTCTAATGTTATTCATTTGGGTGGTTCATTTCTGTTTTTTTTTTGTCCGCTGATATTTCATACATTCCAGGTTTTGGGCTTCATTGTTCCTCGATGTCCACAAGTATAGTCTCATGGCTCTGCTGGGCTCTACTACAAATCTGTGCACATCAATTGACTGGCACCTTTTACATCAAGGGCCAAAAAAAAAGACCAAAAAAATAGTTTCCCTGGGAATCGAACCCAGAACCTTTCCGGAACATCTGCTAATCGCATTTGTTAACGGAAAATCATAACCGCTAGACCAGGAAACTGCTCGGCCACTTGGGCCAATTGATGGAAGAGACCAGCAGCTTTGGATTTATTAAAGAAGTACATATAACTATACAATGGATGTCGACGCGAATTGACATTCAGCCTCAAATGATAACTAGATGGGCATTGGATAATTCAATATAGTATTAGTAATTAAGAAGTGGATCCATGTGAAGAGTTTGAGGCATCTATTCCAACATTGCCATTCAATCCCATCTATATATTTAGGACATCAACATCGACATGACCACAAGCTCTATTATTATATTTGAAGCAATCACCTGAATAGTTTCCTCGCCAAATCTCTCGACGACAACAGGACATATCTAGTCCTTTCCGTCAGAATTGATGACCACCTGCTGTGCCTCCAAGCTACTGCTGTCTGTTTGCTCCTCCACAAGCGTATCAGAAACATTCCAATTGCCAAACACCGCGAGGAGTGTGAACGGGATGGTGAAACCCCATAGTGAAAATCCCAGTGCCATCTGGTTCAAGTTGGGCCAGTGAGTTGCGCCGACCGCGTAGGCAATCGTGCTGCCGATGGACTCCCACGATCTCAAGATTCCAGTTGTTCTCGCGATGTCGCCATCTCCCTGTGCTCCCTTGATCTCGGCCATCAACCAATATATGTACGTCTGCAGCACCTCATAGAAGAAGCGGAAGAATATATAGACCGTGAACGCCGAGTTGAAGAAGGGACCATCGCCCAAGTCGAAGGCAGGTGGTTCGGCCATTTGGGAGAGTTTCGTCTGGACAATGGCGTTCCATGTCCAAGACCCCGTGACAAAGACAAGGACGAATATGTACACGACTTTGGACCTGGTTTCTCGAGATAGAAACTTCAGATCTAGAAATATGCCCGTCACCACATTGGCGGTGGCGCCGACCACTGCTGTTAGGAAAGACGCGAGGGCCCTGGAGCGGACGGTGAAATAAGCTAAGGTTCCCGTTAGTGACGCCGGTTATAATTGATAAAGGAGGACTGGAGATGCCACACTTGTCAAATAGTTCCCCTGGTAAGTTGTACCAAACTGCCCTGCGAGGAAGACCGGGATGAGCAGCAGCATGTACTTATTCGAAAGTTGCTTCCAGATAGCGCGAGCCTCGATAGCGAAGCTCGTTTTCTTCATGTAAGGGATCTTGGTGCCATTACTTCTAATGACATCTTGTGGCTGTGACAACAGCAACGCAAATGGAGCTCCGAGGGATGAGATGGCAACAAGCCCTAAGTATGTCGTGTAGGTGACCTTGCCAACATGTGCAGTGTTGACGTTGAGAGCGAGGGATATCGCACCGCCAACAAGCGGTCCCATCTGCCGGATACTCATCCAGATTGCAACGTAGCTAAACATAACGGTCAGTCGAATGACATCAAGCAGATGGTCTGGAGTTTCAACTTACCGTCCTCTTTTCTCCTCCTCCGGATATCCAACCGCAATGGCAGCCTCACTAGCCCATAGAAGAGACGCCCCAATTCCACAAAGAGCAGCCCCGAGCAAGAGAAACCACTCGTTGCCATACCGATTGTTGCAGTATAGACCAGCCGCATAGGGAGTATAGAACGCGGCTCCGATGAACAAGGTCCATTTCGCAGTGATCTTGTTGGTGACACCGCCGGCAAGGAAGCAGCCTACTGACATGAGTCCATACGTTAAGGCATTGGCGGCATTGTTGAGGTAAGGCTGCACAATATCCATGGATGTTAGTGGTTAATACGCGGATTCCCAACACACAGATGACTTACCTTGGCATTGCCCCCAGCTCCAAGATTATTGAGAGCAGTCCAAATTCCGGGTTCACAGAAGGCGACTAGTCCCACGATGATAATCTGCAGTAGACATGACCGGTAGAATCGGGCCACACGATCGAAAACCATGATGGATGTGGGAGGTTGCTGTACGGATTATCGCACCGGAAAGAGCCACTATTAGTACTACACTGGCGCGGGAGATGAGATATAAGGACATATAATTATTTGAACCCAGAGAACACAGCACGTCAGGACCCATCATAATCGCGATATCTTGGTTCTATCTTTCGGTAGAGCCACACGGCAGAGGGATAACTGGTGCTAGCTTGTATACTGGAGACAGTTGAAGAAGTCTCAGTTATAGTCAAATCCGATAAGGGGAATAATGGAAGGTAATCTTCAATATCTCGAGGATAACAATGGTGCGAAGTGAGCCATTGGTCTCCAAAAGCACGTAATACGAGAAGCCCCTAGGGCTGGGCCACGAAAGACTCATTTGCGAGGTATTTTCCGTTACAATAACAATATCTTGGGGAATTGAGGTGCTGCAAACTCCGCTATAGGACTGGTTAGTGGATGTTATATAGTTATAAGATGGGCTATTATGAAAGTCTAGGCCAGTACAGAGTACATATACAGAGCTCCGGTAGAAAACTGGAAAATCAGAAAATCAGACGCCTACTTCTTTGGAGTTAACCAAATTGTCACTGTACTAACCTGGATCAACTCCAACGTGCCGCTAAATTACAATAATGTACACCTAGGTGAATTTAGGAACCCTTTCTCAAGATCAAAAGCTAGCCATCTCAATCCAACTGGCCACAAACGCCAGTCGGCGTCCCCGATCAGCAGCCATACGGCGCGAGAATTCCTCAAAGTTGAGTTTCGCACCGTTGCCACGTTCCTTGTTTTCACGTTCTACCTGGTCTAAATAGACCCATCGGGCTAGAGTCCGGGGTGAAGGTCGGCGTGGGGCAGGAGCTTCACGAGGTTGGTCATTGACCCGGTGAGGGGGTGGAAGTGGCTGCATAGGAGAAGGAGGAAGCTTGGGGGCTGTGGCCTCGGCTTCTGGGGAGGAGTGGGGAGAAGATGGGGCGGGAAGAGAGGTGGTCCCAGGCTGGAGTCGGAACTGATCAGGGAGACCAGGGGTGTTGTTTGTAGTTGGTGATTCCTCTAGGTCGGAGTCTGATTCATCGATCACTTCCGGGGCCATCACGAATGGCTCGTCGGGACGATGCTGTGGGAGGGTTGGATCGTAGTAAAGTGTATCGTCTTCAACAGTCGGGCTGGATGGCCCCGCACCAGATGCTCGGGAGGCATCGTCATAATCAGACGAAGTGGCGGACGCTGTGTCGGATTCCTCGAGAGGCCGTTCTTGCCCAAATCCAGTGTCTCCTCCGGGATCGGCGAGATGAGTTGGTCGCACATCGTCATCGTCATCTTCATATTCATCTTCGTCACCATCATCATCTGAGGCGGTGGGCTCCGGCGATGAAGGAGGTAGCACCGGTCCGGTATTTTCAGGCGCCAGGACTGGGCTCTGAATTCCGTAACCAGCGCGCTGTAACAGATCATCAAGTGGCTGCTCGTTGATCATTTCCTCGAGTTCCTCCTCAGCTGGAGCATTCTCAGCTGGTGTGCGTTTTGATGGGTCCTCTTTCGCTGCGAGTTCAATCTCGCGGGCCCAGACCTTGCGATCAGCTCGGGTGCGATAGACCTCCATCATAAGGTCCTCTTTTGGCTTGAACAGAATATCTAGAAGCTCGTTGAATCCCTGCTGTGTGACTTGATACAATATTTCTTTCCCAACGTCCCTTTCGACCTCTGGGATTTCAAAGCCGCCCCATCGCTCACCAACAGGAATACTCCGTGACGAGGTTGATGGGTTAGACCGAATGTCGTACTCGTCGTCGTTGAGATCATCCTGGAATCGCACCTTGGACGAGGATCGTGAACGGAAAGAGGGTGGGCGCGATTCGAATTCATCTAGGTCTTCATCGCTGGAGTCATCGATGGCTGGATCCCTTTCGTAACCCGGAGGAACAGTAGCGCCATCTTCTTCGTCCGTGTAGAAAGCTCGGCGCCTCCAACGCTCGTCGATTCCACGCTGACGAGCGTCAAACACACGTCTCTGATCATCTTCGCGCATCCTGTGATAAACGGCATCCGCGACGCGAGCTCGATCAATTGGATCTGTGATTTCTCGAGCCGGAATATAGGTCCCGAGAGCCTCGATGATATCTTCTTCGAGGATGTGTTCAGCTGGGGGCCAGGTGCCACTGGCCACCGACGAGCTAGATTGGTCTGACTCGCTCTCACTTGCACCATCTTCATCCTCTTCGTCGTCGTCATTTTGCTCACGTTCTATGGCAGCACGCTCTATGGGATCCAACGGGTGAGGAGTAGTATCGGTGGGTGCCAGGCGTAGTGTAGATGGGAACAATGGCCTCATTCGACTAAACTGTGCTCTGACAGCAGCATCACCCACGACCAAATGTCGATCGCCAGTATCATCTCCGTCCTGTCGCAAGATTCCTTCATTGTCGATGATTTCCATGTCCCCCTCAGAATTCATGCGCTTGCCTTCGCCTGTGCGAGAACGTTCACCCGAAGGAATACTGCCAGGGAACGCAGAGCTGATAGGCTGGCTGCCGAGAACCACATCACGGGCTCCGCCTTCTAAGAAGTCATCCTCCATGCCAGCAACCATGTCCCTTGTAAGCTCGCGGCTCAGCGCATAGTATGCCCTGAAAACCCGAAGGAAGTCCTTGCGTTCAACGAAGCCATCGCCATCGATATCGTAGCCACGGAACACGCGTCGCAGCCGTTCGTCATTGCTTTTATTGTTAAGACTAGCCAGACCCTTCAGGAATTCTTCAAACCCGATAAGATTATCGCCATTGGTGTCATAGAATGCGAACATTCGGTCATAAATGAGACTGGGAGGCGGCGGCCGTATAGAAGTGTTAGGCACGAAGCATCGGTCGAATGTTTTGCGGTCGATGGCCATATGCAACTTGTTCGGGTCGTTCGCCCACTCATAATTGGCCAAGCAACGGAATTGATCCCAGAGCGCATCAAGCTCTGTGTTTTCGAAATTGCATTCTTTCATAAGTCGCTTGGCAAGAGGGCGCGGAAGGCTGCGCGGGAGCATTGAAGGCTTCCCAGGGTACCATACAGGCTGGGATTGACGAGGGCTTCCTAAGAATGGGGCTGGAATCCGCACTTTGTAGAACAAATGCGTCTTGATGTGGACCTGCATTGCCTCGCACGTCTCACACAGATCGTAGTCGATGCAATTGGCACATCGGTATCTGATGCCCTGGATCGGCATGGCACCGCAGCTGTTACAAGTAACTCCACGATGGATATAGCCGTCTCTTCGCGCCTGATCCTCAGCGATGTGGTAAAGTAGGTTGAGCAAGTTTTGACCTTCCCTATTCGAAGGATCGTTGTTTCCATCTCGCCAGGAGAAGACACTTTGGTCGTCCACCACCGTCTCACCGCCGTCAAGATTTTGTGGAGGCGCAGACACGTCTGGAAAGGTAGAGGTTGAGAGAGTGACACGTTCACCATTCTGTCGTCGCCGACGCAGCTCCTCTCCGTAATTCACATCTCCGTTGAACCGGACCAGAGCCCTTTCGATACCAGCTCGGGAGATGCCTCGGCGTTGAAGTTGTTCTGTCAAGTAGGTTCTTTCTGCGGTGTCCTCTGGGAGAATGTGTGCAGATGGGAAATCGAGTGCAAGGAAGGATTCAAGAAAGGTGTCCTCCATCATCTCGCGCATGCGCTCTGCATGAGCGGAAGGGACACCAACTTCTTCCATCAACTGGTCGCGTGTTGCGAGGAGTGATGGAAGAAGACCGCTCTCCACGCGACGCCCATCCTCTGTCTCAATGCGAAATGTCCCATATACACCATTCTGACGCTCCAGTTGTTCAAGGTGGGTAATAGCTCGATAGGACGGAGTACCAGCGACCCCAAGTTCTTCAGCTTCGGTTGGTCTCGCCCGGCGCACAGCATTTCGACGTCGGAGTGAAGTTGATGGTGGCGGCGAAAGGATATTATTGTGAACATAGAGAATCGCATAAGCAGCAGCGACACCAGTAAAGAGGTAGAGGATTGGTCGATATCGTGCTAATGAGACTGGCCCTGAGCGCGAATCGGACATGACGGAGGTTTGGCGGAAGTCGAGCTAGCGGAAGCTGCACAAAAATGTCAGGAGCACAAGATGCAGCGCATTCTGATCACAGCTGGATAAGCAGATCAGGTTAGACCCGCCAAGTGTCAATCAAGACACTCAATTATCCTGGATAAGACAGTCAACTTGGAGAAACGTCAACGGGTTGCTGACAGGGCCCGCCCAAATGCTGGCTTAGTAAGCTATGCTTGAGCGCAGGCTCGCGGGCTGCTCCAGAGGGCTCCAGGGCTCGGCAGAGCGACTACGGAAGCGACAACGTTTTCCAAGGTTAAAAATGCAAGCAGATGGAGCTTAGATCTTTAGTTGATCCGTGTCTCAGAAACCTATGTTCTACTCTTGATTGGGTTTTAGAAATAGATACGAACTTCTTTTATATCCAGCGTATACTTGGTAGCTTCTTTAGTGTATATGTGCGGTGAATATAGACAATTCTAAAGCCAACCCCAAGACTAGATAGACCACATACCATAATATCTTCTGTACATGTCTGTCGCTTTTCAACGCAAATGCCTTTTAAAATATGGAGCTTCATCTGTGAATTAGCGGTTCAGTTTGCTTTCACGGATAAAACAGCTGCTCAACAAAGCAAAAAAAACCACACAAACCAAAAAGGCGAATCCCTTGTTGGTGGACCAGCCATAAGAGTCCCGGACAATCCTGGCAGTTGCTGGATCGAGGGTTTTGATAAAATCAAGACTTTGTCGTACCCCTTCAACAATCTGATCGATATTCTTACTGTCACGTAGACCTGATTTCAATCGATTCCGCAAGACCTGCTGAACGACAGTTGATGATAAAGAAAGACCAATAACGGATCCCAATGAGCGGAACAGATATGAGCAAGCAGTGACGACCGCCTGATCTTCATAAGTAGCGTTCGATACTGATGGAGTGGTTAGCACACATTGGAAGTTTATAGAGCAAGATCAGGGGAAACTCACTCAATCCGATCAAGGTTGTAGTGACACCAATGCCATTGCCGAATGCTGAAATAACCATTCCGCAGATCATCGGGACAGTACTAGCCACCACACCACCGGAGAACAGGTATATGCAGAACACACCAGTTGTCAGGAAAGCATACGCAGCAACTGTCAGCCAGTAATACTTGCCATTCCATTTCATCAACACGCCTGCGAATACGGATCCAAATACACCAGATAGAATGCTTGGCAATAAGCGCAGTCCTGCTGTCGTAGCAGAGACACCATCTACCGCTTGGAAGTATAAAGGGATATAGAACAGGGCGGCAATCCATCCCCCAAAGCTGAAGAAGTTGCAGCCGTAGCATGCAAAGAATGTTCGGTTGAAGATGATGTGACCAGGTGCAAAAGGTTCGGCTGCCAGGTAGATCTCAACTAAGATAAAGATCACGAACAAGACAGCGGAGACAGCTAGCGACGCAATTGTCAGGGGTAATTTCCATGACACATTACTACCACGATCAAGACCAAGTAGGAAACCAAGAACGGCGCCAACAAGGACTACAGCGCCGAGAAAGTCGATGCGACGCAGCTTGGTCTTCCAATGGGCGCTCTCGCGAAGGGGCAGCTTGAGCAGGAACGATACAGCAATGAATGCAATAATGCAGAGAGGGAATTGCGCTAAAAACGCCCTAGGGAAAAACGTCAGATGGCGCAAGGACATGTGGGTCTTGCATCATTCATACCAGCGCCAGCCAATGTAATCGGCAAGAATTCCACCCAAGGGTGCACCGGTACCGGCACCTGTGGCATAGATGATATTGATGATACCCTGCCACAGGCCTCGATCGCGAAGGGGAACAATATCACTCATCAAAATGCTGACGACAGTGGTCATACCACCGCCACCAATGCCTTGGAAGACCTGTTCGAAAATAGTCAGCATTACATGATTCAGGCCTGAGAGTATATGCGAACATACACGAGCAGCAATTAACTCATTAATATTACGAGCCAGACCGCAGCCCAAGCACCCAATGCCAAAAACCGCATATGCAAAGAGTAGACATGGCTTGCGACCAAAGATATCGCTCAGCTTGCCATATAGAGGCTGGAAAGAGGTTAAAGTGAGAAAGTAAGAAGTAGCAATCCAGCTGGTCAGATTGAGAGCTTTGAGATCGCTACCAATCTGGCCATAACTGGCCATTATAATAGTCTGGTCTGCCGCAGACAAGAAGATCTATATATCCCGTTAGTTACAACTTCGATTTCAGAAAGCAATAAATAAACATCGAAACCATACTCCAAGCGAGATGGCAGGCACAATATATTTGAGCTGCTTCTGTGCATCAGGGAATGACTCTTTGCCTCGGTCTTCTGTCTGAACTGGATCCCCTGATTCCACATGGTGACTAGGAATCGTGCCGTCGGATAGAGCGCTGTTAGCGGATACAGATCCCAGCAACGGGGAATTCTCAGTAGGAGATGTCTCTGAAGCCATTGTCGAGACTTGTGTCTATAGCCAGATCGCTCCAGACTGTCTCAAAGTCAAAATGACTCGACTGAACGCCTACAGGGAAAGAAACAAAAGAGGAGAGCGAAAGCATCTAAACCCCAAAGGTCTCCAGGTGAAGATAAGCCGCCCCTCACTCCCAGGGCCCGACTTACCCGTTTCGCCCAATCAGATGTCCCCCATTCTTCGGCTTATGCCGCCGGACTTTCGATCTGCGACGACGCTATGGCCATATATTGCTCATTTGATACATTACCTCAATTATGGAACTATAATGGTAGGCATTGAACGTCATAGATTCGGTTGTTATACAGGTAGGTATCTGAGTAGATGCAAATATTTCCAATTAACTCCCAAATTCCCCCAGTTCATGCCGTCGAAGGCATAGGAACTGGCCCACCAGGTGAGTCAGCCAGACGAGCAGTAAGCACCTCGACACCATCCTCAGTTACGAGAAGGGTATGCTCGAACTGGGCTGACAGAGATCCGTCTTGGGTCGTGCTGGTCCAGTCGTCGGGCCAAGTGCGGTCACGGTGGGTACCAATGTTGATCATGGGCTCAATCGTGAAGCACATACCGGGCTTGGCAGTGCCTACAGCCTTATTCTTAGCGTAATGAGGAATGTTAGGTGCACAGTGGAACAGCTGGTTGATACCGTGGCCGCAGTAGCTCTTGACGACACTGCAGTTACGGCCCTTGGCATGCTTCTCAATGACATTTCCAGGTTCGCGGAACAGCATCCCAGGCTTGACCAGGTCAATTGACTGGTTCAGACATTCACGCGAGGTTTCCACCACTCGGACAGCATCGGGGTTCGCAAGTGCTTTGTCTCCAACATAGTAGGTCTCGTTGATATCGCCGTGGAATCCCTTGTGATACAGAGTGACATCAATGTTTACAATGTCTCCATCCTGCAAGGGCCGTTGATCGGGAATACCGTGGCAGATAGTCTCGTTGACCGAGGTGCATACGGACTTGGGGAAGTTCATGTAGTTCAGCGGCGAGGGGTAAGACTAGAGAAATGTCAGAATAGTATCGTGCGCCAGAGAGTAACTCCTCATACATCACGCTCTATACAAGCCTTGTGGACAACCTCGTCGATGTAGTCCGTTGTGACACCAGGCTTCAATTCACGTGCTGCAGCATCCAAAACCTCACGAGCCAACCGGCAGACCTTGCGCATGCCCTCTTGCTCCTCCTTATTCAGGATGGTGATGTTATGACGGCCGATAAGCTTTTGCTCGGAGCGGGGAATACCATCGCGGGCATAGTCTGGGTGCGGGATTGTCTTCGGAATCGTTCGTTTGGCGGACAGAGGATAGACGGGCCTCAAAGAACCGCTATAAGGGAAAGATGGGTACGGATTGAAGGTTCCGGTGGCTGGATCTGGTTCAGAAACTACCTTCGGAGGAAAAAGGTTGGTGAGGATATTACTCTTTTTGTGAATGCTCTTATGTTCACTCTGGAGTAGATGGTCAGCCATTTGTTTCCTGCCTAGAAGGACATAAAAGAGCGCCCATATGCGCAACTTCTAGTGACATCAGAATGCCTACATACCCAGCTTCGTTTGAAACAGTCCTGCGAACAGAAGAAACTGTCGGTGCCGCTCTTTAGACATGTCGGACATTGTAGGGTGCCTGCGTCGTTAGGGCAGTCCACACCCCGGCATTTGCGATTCGCAGTTTCAGCCATATTAGAATAGCGAAAGCGAAAAGAATAAGAAATATCAAGGAAATATGTAGCAAAGGGTGGATTAAGCCGAGGCCAAAACTTCAAAAAATCCCCGCTGGCCGCAAGGCGATATGGGACTAAGCTTCATTTGGAATAGGTATTTGCCTGAGGAATCAAGGCAACCTTAAAATGACTAATGTTGATCATCTCATTTTGGAACGTTGGAAGGGGCCGATCTCGCAGCACGTGATGACGACTTAATCTTCCGTTTCATCGCGTGCCTGTCTCTATTTTGGACATTGACCACCTGGGCAGTTATATGATGGCTATTCCGAGGCAGAAAGTGGTTGTTGTGGGTGCTGGCCCAGTAGGGTCCTTGGCAGCCCTATATGCTGCATCAAGAGGCGACGAGGTGGAAGTATATGAGCTCCGTGGAGGTATGTTCCAATGCCTTGTGTGACCTTTTTTTTTTTCTTTTTCTTTTACCTTCGTGTGTGACGGCCTTGAGAAACAATCCGATTGTCAAGAGAGGAGGTACATGCCTTTGGCCAGAAATGGCTGGCTTTTATCCAGGCAGCATGTCTCCCAAGGTCCCTATCTCATCTCTTCGATTAACAGAAAATAACCCCGATTAACCCATATCACCATCTGCTACTATCTTCAATACCCTTGCACTTGTCCTGGCTCAGTTGTGATTCATCGCGAATTCTTCCGAACTGACGCCAATAATCCCTGCGCATCCGTAGATCTCCGGGACCCTACAACTGTGCCATTGAACTTTACTAAGTCTATCAACTTGGCACTCTCCGAACGTGGAATCACGTCTATGAGACATTCTGGTCGGGATGATTTGATCGAAAATGTCCTCCGCGAAGCGATCCCCATGCATGGGCGGATGATCCACGGGCGAGACCGAGGAGATCTGTGGGAAGCTGCACAGGCCTATGACGTTCACGGCCGGGTATGCACCGATCACTTGCTTGGCAGTTGCTATTGCTATTTACCCTGCATAAGTTAGCTAACCACTACTACAAGGCTATTAATGCCATCGACCGAGGAACTCTCAATAATGCCCTCCTCGATGAGCTGGAGAAGACACCCAATGTCAAGCTATTTTTCAACCACAAGCTTACGGGGGCTGACTTCCGCACCAACAAAGCCTGGTTTGAGCGCCGAATCCCCGGCGAGACACCCATGCCCGATGATGCCGGTATAGCTGGTCGAGTACCAGAGATCGAGGTATCCTTCGACTACCTCATCGGTGCCGATGGAGCACACTCCGCCACGCGCTTCCACCTGATGAAGTTCGCTCGTGTCGATTATCAACAGGAGTACATCGACACTCTCTGGTGCGAGTTCCGCATCCCACCCTCGGAAGATGGAGACTTCCGCATCTCGCCAAACCACCTCCATATCTGGCCTGGGCGCGAGTTCATGTTTATAGCGCTACCATCAGCCGATAAGTCGTTCACGTGCACCTTATTCGCCCCATCCTTGCACTATAACAACCTAGAGACCTTGCCAGAGGATCTGCATGAATTCTTCGACTCCCATTTCCCCGGGGTATGCCCAGAGCTAATCGAGCCCGCGGCGTTGAGTGACCAGTTCGCGGCGAACCCGCATCTCCCACTGATCAGCATCAAGTGCAGCCCCCACCACTTCAATGCCAGCGTCGTCATTATCGGCGATGCAGCGCACGCAGTCCTGCCTTTCTACGGACAAGGACTGAACGCCGGTCTCGAAGATGTCCGGGTCCTCTTTGAGGAATTGGACAGACATGGAGTTTACGACCCCAACTCCAGCGTCTACACACGCGGTCTCAAGCGCAACGCAGCCTTCCAAGCCTACACAGACCAGCGCTGCGCCGATACGCACGCCATCAACGATCTCTCGAAGGAGAATTATCTCGAAATGCGCTCGGGCGTCAAATCGCCTCTCTACAAGCTGCGCAAGACGATCGAAGAAACTGTCGACCGCCATTTCCCGTTCTTTGGATGGAAAACGCAGTACGCCCGTATCAGCTTCAGTAACCAGCGATACTCGGAGGTAATTGAAGCTGTTCAGCATCAGAGCCAAGCGCTTGGTCTTGGTTTAAGCGGGGCATTGATTGCCACTGCTGGTGCTGTGTCCATCTTGATGTGGAAGTACCCTCAGTATCTCTCACCAGTGGGGCTGGTTCGGTGCTCGCAGCATCTGGCTTGTCTTGGGCTGAGGACCATTCGGAAATTCATTCATACGTAAAGCTGCGTTGTCGGATGGGTGGACTTTTGACTGAACATGTGACAATATGCATGATTTTGGATTTTTGGGGGGACTTTTACTGCATCTGATCTATTATGAGGAAGTAGCTTAGCATGGAGTAGACTATGATAGAAAGCGTCGGGGGCACAAAAGGGAAAGATTCTAAGATCCAAGTCTGAATTTTTGATCAAACTAATATAAACACCTGATAACCACAGAAAGCCTTTAATCCCAATATCTGATGGCACCGTCCAATCCACCAGTGACAACCTTACTGGATTCGTGGGGATGCCAGTCCAGACAAGTAACAGCACCACCTTCCTTCCCACCAGCCTGGATCTTATGGTACATCTTGCCGGTCTTCCAGTCCCAGAAGCAGACATAGCCACCGCTGTCACCGGAAACAAGGAACTGGCCATCAGGCGAGATTTTGAGATCGACAGCATACCCGGAAGTATTATGCCCAACGAAGCGCTTCTTCCGGTTTTGGCGGAATTTGTCTGTCGCGCTGTAGACGACAATCTGATTGTCGCCTGACTGGAATGCAACATACTTGCCACTCGGATGGGGCGTCGCACGGGTAAGTGCGAACATGTATGGCTCTGCGATGAACTTGATCGGGACGGGGATGCCGTATTCCCAAGCGCGCAGCGACTTGTCGTCTGAGGTGGAGATGAAACGGCGGTTGTCATCAACGAAAGTGAGGGTGTTGACGGCTGCCAGATGGTGGTCATACTCTTGTACCAGCTCGCCGGACCGGGTGTCGAATTGCACGATCTTCTTGTCGGACATACCAGCCAGGAACTCGTGTGAGTGATCTTCGCCGGGGTTGAACCGGACGACGTGCGGGGTCTTGCCCGTGGAAAAGCGGCCAAGGCATTTACCATATTCGGTATCCCAGAGCTTGATCTGTCGGTCGTATGAACCGGTAAGGAAAGTCTTCCCGGATGGGTGGAAGTCCGTGTCTGAGATTGCCTTCGTGTGGCCGGAGAAAGTACGTAAGAGTTCCCGAGAGTGATACACATCCCAGAGCTTGGCCTTTCCATCGGCTGCCGACGAAAGAAGCAAGTGGCCGGACTTGGGGATAAATCGAAGAGAGGTGATTGGCTTGGTGTGCGACTTCCAAGTCTGGACCAGCTTTTTCGGTACGTAGTTCTTGGTGGTGCCGGGCTCTTTGCGCAAATCGATATCCAGGTCCTGGGGCACGTGCATGTACGTCCGGCCCTGGTAGTCGTACTGCTCTGATCCGTGGAACTCGGTGGTTTCTTGCTTGGAAAGGTCGCCTTCGTAGGCAGTGGCATCCTTGCTCATGGCCGGCATGGGCGCCGTGGTAGTCAGAGTCTCATCTTCCTCTTCGACATATTCCTCGTCGCTAGCAAGCGCGCGCTCATCTCCTTCAGCCACCTCCACATAGTCATATTGCTGGTCATTTTGGTATTTCGCCCAGGGTCCCAAGTATGCGCCTTCTCCTTCCACAACACTGGAATCGCCCTTCTTTTGCCGCTTTGTCCGCCAGTCTGCGGACGCGCTCTTAGTCGGCTTAATTTGCACAGCATCCCGGCCTCCATATTGCGCCGCATTTTCGAGATTTCCGATAAATTGGTCCGGTTGTGTCGGATTGCGCGTGTATCCCAGACTTTGGAACGTGCGATGCTGCGCAGCAAATGTGGACTCGCTAATGGCTGCTTCTTCGGCAAATCCTGTCGGAACGTTCTTTCTTTTGATACCGTTTCCCGGACCTGTCGGCTTGAACGGATTCACAGGGCCCTGGGAAGGCTTCGTAAGATCATCGTATGTGGCATTGTAGGTGAGGGCTTTGGATGAGGCGTTGGCGAGAGCCATCTGCATATGCGCTTGGTCCTGTAGGATCGTTAGTCTTATCTGTTCGTCAGGGTGGAGGCGCAAGAAACAAAAGCAATTCGGGGAGGAGGGTGATTATCGGGGGACCAAACCTCTGTATTGACCTCTGGTGCAGCAACGACCTTGGTCGCGGTCGTCACAGACGAGTTGGGCATAGCTGTGGCGTCATCGTCGCTGGATTCATAACCAAGACCTAATAAGGCGGACATGACTGATATGTTAAAGAGAGTAAGAATGCGCAGACCTCAATGCCCCTTTGCGACAACGTTGGGGTTGAATGTGGTTGGTAAATGGTAGGTGGTGCCCAGGTGCAGGATGGGAATTTTACGGGCTTCGGGAGACTCCCGATACGAAGGCCGCGGAACAGCCACCGCAGCCAAGCTCTCAATGCAGCTTCGATCTTAGTTAGGTGCATGTGTCAATTATGCCTACAGTTTCTACTCTTGTTACATCTATTTGATGGCCGTCCTATTTCTTAACAATAAATCAGTTAATAGAGACCTTGGGTATCGTACGCTCTTCATTGCCAACCGCATGGGAGGTATATACAACTCAACAGGCCGAAAGACACAGCAAGATCAACACAGAAGAAGAATTTAAAACAAAACAAATGATAGAAAAAGAGCACATGCACCACCGCGAGTCAATCATACAGTGTCTCGAATCAACCCAGCTCACATCCCCAGCTCGAGACACCCAAAGGAAATATCTATTACTTATTGTCGCTGTAGTCCTACCGGCGAATATCTCAAGGCTGAAAGAATTCGTTGCTCATCCGTAGTCATGGCCGCCCAACAGATTAGGAACCACATCGAGATACCGATTTATAAGGTATAGCGGCCATCTTGGAGCTGTGGTCATATTCGAGGGTTGCGTGGCAGGCCGGGAATAATTAATTCCCAGAGGACACTGACCCAAGAACCCATGACAACAGCTCATCGACAGATGACTCCTTGATCTAGCCCGGACGACCATGATGCATCGCGTATTCGGTCTTTTCACGCAGTCAGTGGCCCTCATCACGGATCAGGGCAACAATCATGCTGTAGAGGTAGAAGAAGAACATAAGGAGGTGGAAGCCAAGCTTGATGAAGGATTCCTAAACACGGTTTCGAGTCAGTCACTGCGCTGTAGCTTGCGATCTGGAAACGAAACTGACTTTCTTGTGCACGTTCAACTTGCGGAAAATCTCGGTCGCATCCAAAAGGTGCTGGTTCTCGTAGATCCTATTTTTTTTGGAAGACGACTCGGTTAGCCTCGTGCGGTTTGCCACCACTCGGGGGAGTTTCGAACGTACTTCTTGGCGTTGAACAACACGAGGGGCAGGTTCAGCACGATGGCGAGCCAGTATCCGTTGATCACAAAGAGGAAGGTCAGGAACGCGTGGACAGCGGCTTCAGGGATGATGTAGGCGTTAAGGCGGTTGCAAAGGTCGATAGGGTTAATGTAGTCGCTGGAGGGAAAAAAGAAAGAAGGAAAATGTCAGCTCATATTCGGCGAAAGACTCAAGGGGTTGCTTGGGACATATGACTGGAAAGCACTCACCATTCGAGGTCACTGTACATGATCGTGAAGAACACCTGGAGGAAGAGGTTGACGGCGTTGATCAACACCGACAACAGGTAAAGCCATGCTTCGCCGGACATCATTGCGAGTTTGACGTTGCGTCAAATATAACTGGCAATATTTCAATCGCTAAACAGAAGATATGAGTAAACTGTCTGCGACAAAAGTGGTTGAGGTCAAGGTGGATTGAAGAGGCCGGAATTGGAGATGTTTGTGGGGTTCTGCGGCCCAAGGAAGACAGAGGAATCACACAGAGTCCTCTCCAAAGAGGGGTCAAAGCTCACTCACAATTAAGAAGCTAAATACACTCAAGCCGGTGGAGGTGAAAAAGAGCAAACTGGGCAGAGATGAGGTGGGATCGGAAGAGGGAGTTTCGATTAGCGAACAGCGGCCGAACCTGAAATGGGTCGGCGGTGTCGGGAGGGCTGGTCATCATTAGCGCAACCCGCAAACGGGGCTGGTATCGTACCTGTGTTTGGGAGTACTCGATAAGAAACTTCAAGGTATCAGATTCGAAATAGATTGTTGACTATTGTGTTGGTAACTGAATTCATTTGCCCAGGTTGTTGACACGAAAGACCAACATTGGAAAGTTTGTAGATGACGTTGACACGTGCCTCGTCTAGGTACATGGGAGGTACGCAGTACATGAGTTCTGGGCCAGACGTACCCAACTTCAATGCTGTTTATTTGAAAACATGAAATGCAAGGGATCGTCAGGATTACCTATCTTGTCTATATACACAATGACAAACTATAGACCGCAGCATACGGGCCTCCATGCGTCTTTGGAGCTCTTCAATACTCTTCAATCATCTTCGACGAAACAACGTCCGACAAGGTAAGGACCAAGTCGAACCCGAGGCAAAACACTGGATCAATGGAAACGCTCTCGATGATATCATACCAGTGTATAGTAACAGGAAATGACTATCATCGCTTCTCCACAAGTAGGAAATGCATTGCACTGTATGCGATGATGATGAAGGCCCCAGAAATGACGGCCAGCCCGATAACATCGCTCCAGTAGGCCTGGGTGTTAAAGCCAAATGCACTTAAGATAGAGGCACCGGGAACTTCAATATCCAAACCGTACTTGTGGTCAATTAGGGTGAGGTAAGTCACTTCATTGACGATCAAGGCCTCGAAGCCATAGTGGAAGATGGACAGCTGGTACTATTGTTAGTAGACGTAACATCACTTAAGCTATAGGGAAACTCACAGTCTGCAACCACAATGCTGATTTTGGGATCGCATCGTGATTCAGCAGGAGACCGGCGAAGAGCAAGCTGAAAAGCATGACCAAACTGCCGATAAGATTGGCGACTCCGCCATCCCGGAAAATTATGCCGATGAAGAGGCAAATGTTGGCTGCCGCAAGATTGAAAAGGACCAGAACCAGCAAAAAGCGGAAGAATTCAGGCCATGCCGGAATCAGACCCGTCATGGGGTATACGATGATGCCCATGATTATGGGAGGAATCAGCCTCAAAGGAACGATATCAAACACAACCTTGGACGCAAAGTATGTGACCGGATGATAGTAACCATTGGCACGCTCACGTACGAACAAAAGCCGCTCCGTGGAGAACACGTTGAGACTAGTCAAAGTACTGAAACCAAATAGAGCCAAGATGAAGAAGAAGAGACCAAGTCGATTCTGGAAGCCTCTGATATCGTCAGTGAGGCCATAGAAGAGGTATCCAGATAAGACTGCAAGAAGAATGGCAATTGCGTAATGGGTGAGCATCAGCATCGGGTTTCTATAAAGATTACGCCATGTCCGCTGAGACAGGATGATAAACTGCCGCGCCAGGCCAACTCGAGCATAGCCCTTAGACTGTATCACAGTATCCGACAAGATGGGCGAATTTGGTGAACCATTCGCAGCCTGGGCATTCTGAACGGCTGTTGAAATCTCATCATGCACAAGATGGCAAACGTCAGAATCCGCGTAGCTAGCCACCAGGACGTCGAGATCACTTTGTCCAGGCGCCGGAGGAGGTAGCTGATCGGGATCATCAAGGATTTGCGGAGGAACATTGCCTTGTTGACGAGAAAGACGCAGCCATTGTTGATGATTCTCAGCTACATCCAATGTAGCACTCTCATCGTCTGTCTTTGGCGTGACTGGGCGCTCATTATGTTGCTTTCGGGAGTAAAGTTGACGATCTTGTTGCTGTTTCAGAGATACCCGGCGTTTGCTTTTGGGCCTCCGGCTCGCCTCTGCGCTTGAGTTGTCTTCAGTGCTCTGAATCGTCGCGCTGGTGATTGACTTAACGGCCCTGAGGCTGCTTGATGCTGTCTTAGGGGGACCAGTGCGCCCACCCGCAGACGATTCTACTTCATCTGTATATGATGAATGTGCGCCACCGGCGTGCATCGTAAGATCGACAAGGTAATCTGCAATGTTGAATCCCGGCGGACAGGAATAGCCCACATGGTCAAAATACTGTTGACAGGATGAGAAAGGACCGGAATAGACAGTGCGTCCATCAGCAAGAAGGATGAGTCTGTCAAAGAGAGCAACGATGTTCGAGCGAGGTTGGTGGATGGTAAAGACAACAGTGCGGTTGTATGTCTTGGCCAGCGTCACTAGACACTCAACCACGTTGAACGCATTGTAGGCATCCAATCCACTGGTGGGTTCATCTAGGAAGAGGATACTAGGGCTGGTAACCAGCTCACAAGCAATCCCAACTCGGCGCTTCTCTCCACCGGAAATGCCACGACCATTGCCTTCTTCCGAGCCAATCAATTGATCTTTGATGTGGTAGATCCCAAGTTGCTTTTCGACCTCCAGGACTTTTTGCTCTTTAGCTGCCCGGCTCATGTCCCGGGGAAGTCTGAGTAGGGCGCTTGTCAAGATGGTCTCATGAACTGTCAAGGTGGCAAGCATTGTGTCTTCTTGATCGACAAAGCCAACCATGGCTCTGAAATCATTGTCGTCAATTTTCTCACCGTTAACATAGAAATCTCCATTCACTGAGCCACGCTTGTTCTTCCGTGCCAGGATATCAAGGAATGAAGTTTTCCCAGCACCAGATGCTCCCATGATGGCTGTAATCTGGCCTGGTACGGAGGCACCTTGAATGCCAGAGAGAATCTCTTTTCCATTTATACTGTAAGACACATTATCCCAGTACAAAGCGGCGGGGTGAGATTCTGCAAGGAGTTTGGCAGCTTCGTCGTCCGAATCATCCGAGAGAGACAGGCGGAGATAACCGCGGCGCGCAGCACGACGGGACAGATACCAAACGAGCAGAATGACAGCAACCACAAATAGTGAACTTCCTGCGATCACGCCGGCAATGAGTGGAGTGTTGATTTTCTTCACGGGGCGCTCGTATCCCGGTTCGTCAGTCTTGTACATGCACTCTCCTGAATCACATGACAAGAAGATGCTGGGATCACCGAAGACGTTCGCAATTAATCCATTCATCTGAGGCTCGGAGAAGACGCTCTTGGTACCCTCCAAGGTCGATTTAGTATCAAAAGTAGCCGGACCCTTGATCATTTGATCAAGGAAATCGCTCAGATCGATGGACCCGTTCTCACCACAGAGGAAACGGCCCGGGATGCATTTGCACTGAAGGTGCTCACACTTGTAGTGAGTTGTATTGGAGCTGTAGTCTGTTTCCATGTCCCACTCGCAAGTGTCTAGGCCGCAATAGAATGACTCTTTCTGGTCGACCCAAAATTGGAAGCTACATGTTTCATCCTCAGCTTCGCAGGAAAAAGTCACCTGAGGCTTGCGGCCGTCGAGCTGTTTCAAGATCGCACGGTTGGTCACATCGCACATTTGAAAGTTCTCCTTGACCGTGACACCTTGCTTATGACAAACTCCCCCTTGATTTTCTGGCATCATCGCATTGCAGGCATTATCTGAGTCGCAGACATTGCAGTTGATGCCTTTCCAACCATCCTTGCATTGACAGGTATTGGAATCACGCTGCGGTCGGTTCAAGCCGTCGGCCAACGAACCACATAGGGGAACGGAGCAGTCGTCGCCTCCAAAACCGGGGGGACATGAGCATTTGCCGTTGAAGTTATTGCACTCAGCAAAATGAGTGCAGTTATAGTTGTCGAGCTGGCAGTTGAAGCAAGCCGGGCACTCGGGACATCCGGATGGTCGATCATTGAAGAGGGAATAGGATTGCGTGAGGTCTGCGTCGGAAAATTCTCTCCATGCTGCAGCAGAACCCAGTAGGGGAGTTAATGTGAGAAGCGAAAGAGATATTGCGCCAGTCAAGCGCATCTTGTGGGAAGGATGGCAGCAGCGTGTCGTATTACGCAGTGATACCAACAACTAAGGAAGGGATGCGGGGCGGACCGCCGAATTAATCAAAGTAGAGGATCAAACCGGAGCATACGGAGTACAGTTGAAGTAAAAGATAGGGACAAGGAGGCAGGTTGAGCAGAAAGCGGAGAGGGTGAGGTTGGCCCCCGGACGATGACGCGGGCGGAGAAGCGAGAGGCCGGGCTGATGCAGAGGCCGTCAGGAACCCGTAGATGACCCGGACAATCTTATGCTACATATGTAGGCAATGTCGACCTCGATAATTTTCATTCTATAGCAACACCAACTAGACATTCCCATGAATGATAATATTTCTTCCCTATTTCTGTATGGCTACCTAGGTGGTTGCGAAGGTGTAGAGTGGCTATGGTCAAATGTCTGATTTCAAGAGTTGATGCCTGAATTAACTAGTTATCTTAACTAACTAGATGTCCCAAGTTAGAACGATCCATCACGTGATGGCACAGACACAAGGAGCTCATTGGCAAAAGCGACGGTAGCATAACGAGAGAGCAAAGTTGTTACCCATCCAGCCGAACCTTGGAACGTCCCTGGATCCGAGCTATTTGATCGTAGCTACTTTGCTCGGTAATTCTTACTGTTTTCAGCCATGGTGAAGATTGAAGCCTTCGCTGTTGAACAGGTACCTCCCCGCATTACCCCATGACTCGGTGGTGTTTGTCTGTTCCCTGTCCACGGGTATTGTTATAACTGTCCTTGCTAACCAGTTTGCAGTGGATGGACAAGTATGAGACTACTGCCAAATATAACACCGCCGAGACCTGCTGCGCATCCATCTCCGTCGATGATCTCCGCGTGCTCTCCGATGACAAGGAGTCCGACCCTTTGGCCCAGCTTCAATCCGCGAAACTTACATATGGGGCGATCCGTGGTTCCGATAAGTTACGAAATACACTGGCGAATCTGTACTCGGTGAGGGCACCAACTCAGTTGCCGAAGGATAATATCTTGATCACCGCTGGCGCGATTCAAGCGAACTTTTTGCTGCTGTATACATTGGTGGGTCCAGGAGACCATGTCATCTGCCATTATCCAACATATCAGCAACTGTTTTCGGTTCCTGCATCAGTAGGGGCCGAAGTCAGCCTATGGAAGTCTAAAGAGGCCGATGGATGGCAGCTGGACATTGAAGAGCTGAAAGGCCTTATCCGTCCAAACACCAAGTTGATCATCATAAAGTATGTCTGATCTTTATACGGCGCGCGTCTTTTTTCTGACCATCATGCTCGTCATAGCAACCCACAAAACCCAACTGGAGCCATCATCCCGCGCCAGACGCTCCAGCAATTGGTCGATATTGCTCGCGAGAAATCCATCATCATCCACTCCGACGAGGTCTATCGCCCACTTTTCCACAACATCAGTCCTGCAGACCCAAGATTCCCACCCACCCTTCTTTCCATGGGATACGACCGCACCGTGGTGACAGGATCTGTTTCCAAAGCCTATAGTCTGGCGGGTTTGCGTGTCGGTTGGGTTGCGTCGCGGGATAGTTCTGTAATCGAATCTCTTGCCAACGCGCGCGATTATACAACTATCTCGGTCGGGCAGATTGACGATGCAATTGCTAGTTTTGCATTAGCACCGGATTGCATCCACAATCTTCTGAAGCGAAATATCGAGTTAGCCCGGACTAATCTCTCTATTCTAGAGAAGTTTATTGATGCCCATCGCTGGGCGTGTGAGTGGATTAAGCCGCAAGCCGGTACCACTGCATTTGTGCGCTTTAACAAGATGGGAAAACCCGTAGATGATGTCGCTTTCTGCGAGATGCTTCAGGAACGAACCGGTGTGATGCTTGTGCCGGGAAGCCTTTGCTTTGGAGTCGGTGAAGACTTCAAGGGTTATGTTCGCATTGGGTATGTCAATGAAACCGAGGTCCTGGAGCAGGGCTTGGATGCATTGGGCAAGTTCATGGAAGATGAGTATGAAGATGTCCCAGCGGAGAAGTCCTTGCAGAATTGATATGCCTCCTCATGGAATTTGGCTATCAAAACTGCTGATGGGAGACAAATTAGTACATGTAGTACATATAGAGTATAGCCTTACTCTCCGAAAAGTGCGGGGTGGCGATCTCTCTAAATAAGCCGGCTCATGTGAAACTTGGAAGGTATAAGAATCACAAATTGTTAGAATTAACGTCTAATGGTATAAAGCGAAGTGCTAAATAAACACATAAATGTTGGAATCGAAGAGATAAGTGGTCTATGGGTTGGATTCCGTTGTGTGGCGAGTACGCGTTGCACGGTGTCGCATGTCGTCAGGGGATCGGCACACCCGTGCCGAGGCACGTTTCGATCTCTTCCTATTTCAATCTCACGGATTCCACTGTCAACCTTTATTGCTCTTGATCAGTGACAGGCAGCAAAGCCGCGGTATCAAGGAGCCTCTATAGCGCGTTCTTTGTTCTTTCTCCCAGAGCTACATTCAAATATCGCCCCTGTGATACAAGGGCGACCTTACCCAAATATCATACTCCTTGATCATACTTATTTGAGCTTGATCGTTGAATCTTCTTGGCCATAATGCCACTGCCATCTTTGCCCGGTAGGTCCTTGCCCACGGCGGGACTGTATGCATGGCTAACAAGCGGTCTCTTTACGCAGACATTCCCTTGAGTCTTGCACTCCCTGCCGCGGCAACTACACTTGCATATTTCAACGCAAGATGGTCCCTCTCCTACGATTTGAATCTCCTCAAAGGGATGCTGAAGATGTCCGCGAAGTCCCGCATCGCCGAACGTGGCGACCGCTTGAACCTCTTCTACACACTTGAAGCCTATGCACTCAATCCTAAAACTGCAGAAAACGATTTTATTGTGTACAATGGACGAGCAACGACATTCCATGAAGCCTACATCACGGTCCTTCGCTACGGCACGTGGTTCAAGAAAGTCCACGGCATCAAGCGCAAGGAGATCGTCGCGATCGACTTCATGAACTCTTCCACCTTCATCTTCATGCTACTGGGACTTTGGAGTATTGGAGCAGTCCCTGCATTTATCAACTACAACTTGTCTGGCAAGCCGCTCACCCACTCTATTCGAACGTCCACTGCGAGGCTCTTGGTGGTTGACGAAGAAGTTCGTCACTGCTTCCCGGCGGAGCAGGAGAAGATTTTGACATCCCCGAGCTTCCGTGATGGCAAGGGACCGATTGAAATTGTCTTCCATACCCGGGAGGTGGAAGCGCAGATTTTAGGGATGGAGCCTACGCGAGAGGATGACAAGGCTCGCAGTGGCTTGATCCCTCGCGATATGGCCATTTTGATTTACACAAGTGGCACCACCGGGCTTCCCAAACCCGCCATTGTCAGTTGGAAGAAGTGCTGGTCTGGTAGTTTGTTCGTTAAAAATTGGTTGAACATTACTTCCTCTGACAGATTCTTCACGGTAAGGTCTACCAAATTTACACATGTTACTGTCCAAGCTGACCTCTTAACTAGTGTATGCCTCTTTACCATAGTTCCGCTGCGATACTTGGGTTTATAACTTGCTTGATGGGCGGATCCACCCTGATCATTGGCCGCCGGTTCTCTGCGCGTAACTTTATGAAGGAGGCTCGCGAGAACAATGCGACAGTTATCCAATACGTGGGCGAGACGCTGCGTTATCTATTGGGCGTAGCACCTGAAATTGACCCGGTCACCGGGGAGGACCTTGACAAGAAGCATAATATTCGTCTGGCATTTGGAAATGGACTGCGTCCGGATATCTGGAACCGCTTCAAAGAGCGCTTTAACATTCCCACAATCGCCGAGTTCTACGCCGCCACCGAAGGCACTGCTGGCGCATGGAACATTTCGTCGAACGACTTTTCCGCAGGTGCCATCGGCCGAAACGGTGCTTTGGGAAACATTGTCCTTGGTCGTGGCTCTGCCATTGTGGATGTTGATCACGAGACCCAGGAACCGTGGCGTGACCCCAAGACTGGTCTCTGCAAGAATGTACCTCGGGGTGATCCCGGTGAGTTGCTGTTCGCCATCGATGCAGCGGATCCCACTGCCAATTTCCAGGGCTACTTCGGAAACAAGAAGGCGACAGAAGGCAAGATTATCCGCGATGTAATCAAGAAGGGTGATGCCTATTTCCGGACCGGTGACATGGTTCGATGGGACAAAGACGGCCGCTGGTTCTTCTCAGATCGACTGGGCGATACCTTCCGATGGAAGAGCGAGAATGTATCCACCAGCGAGGTTGCTGAGGTTCTGGGGGCGCATTCTGAAGTGCACGAAGCCAATGTTTACGGCGTGGCTCTTCCCAATCATGATGGCCGTGCCGGATGTGCAGCTATCCTCTTCAAGCAGCAGATAGCGAGCGTTAGCCTCTCAGATTCCGCACTGGAACCCTCGCGCGAGGTGCTTGATACTCTGGCTGCACACACTCTCCGGAACCTACCACGGTTTGCGGCTCCGCTGTTCTTGCGGGTTACGCCTGTGACGCAGTCGACCGGTAACAACAAGCAACAGAAGCATGTTCTCCGTACTGAAGGCGTGGATCCAGCTCTTGTGTCGAAGAAAGACCGATTGTACTGGCTCCAGGGTAATACCTATGTCCCCTTTGGACAGAGGGACTGGGAACGGTTGACTGGTGGTCAGGTTCGGCTTTGATTCGTCTGCTTTCCTTGGACTCATCTCGGCTTTGTGTATCTTCTTTGACTTACCCTATTATCTCGCTATCCTTTTGTGGTCCTATGCTTTATCCCTACCTTCATTTACCTTAAGATACCCTTGACAGCCCTCAATTCAACAATTTATATACGCCCGTTGGGGTTGGCCTAATATCACTAGACTAAAGTTTTCATGTAGGACATACTATAGACAATTGTATGGAGGCCTTGACTGGTATATCTAGCCTCCTGAGGTGCCCGGGAAATACATAGTGCGTCAGTAGGCCCTGGCTATATACATATGTATGTAGTAATGAGGAAGGTACATATGTACATATTTAGATATGACAGCTCTTAGAAGGCACCACCCGTTCTGAAATAGGAAGGAATGGACTGAAGGTAAGAGCATCCCTGGGGTTCTGCCTAAGGAAGAAACGATAAAAAAATGCGAGCATAAATGGAAAGGTTAGTTCAGGCACCAACCCCCAACCCCATAGCTCAGATGGGAAGCGCCCCGGGCAGGGTGATGTTAGGTTGCGAGTTCGAATCACAGCTAGGTCGGGTTGAAGAACTGTGAGTTACGGGCTGACGACAGGGAGTACACCAACCCCACCTTGAAAAGGGGGCTCCCTGATGCCTCAGAGCCACTGAGTGAGGCGCGTCCTAGGACTTTTGGGGCCATGCTTCTTTTCCACTTCGGGATCCTTTTGAAGCTATTCACACTTTTTGACCCCACAACCCCACCATAACCCCATCCCCACAACTTAATTTCTTTCAAGCTTCGCGCTTTTGTTTTTAATATTTCCACAACATGCTCTGGTATTTTGTCTGGAAAACTGATGGATTTATTTCTCTTTCTATGTGCTCATTCTAGGTTGATCACAAATGCTTTCTCACACTTGCCCAGGTGGACATAGTCTGCAATTTCCTTCTCTTTATGTTTTACTCTCAACATTTTCATACTAAGAAGCACCGTTGAAGGTGTCCAAAGGCGAATCAGCTTCGACAATCTTCCACACCTGCTCTATCCGTTCTGCGATGTCTGCGCTGAGAGGACCTTCGGTCAATGCAGCAAGCGTCTGATTGAGCTGCTCGGCATTTCGCGAACCAACAATCACAGCATCCCCGAATTCTCCTTTGAGGACCGAGTTATGCGCCACCCATCGATATGCCAATTCAGCCTTTGGGATGCCAGACTCCTTGGAGATCTTCTCCCATTGTTCCAAGCCCTCCAGCATTCTCGGCTTATTGAAAAGCGCATTGTAGACCCCACCAATTGGTGTGTTTGGATCCCATCGACCCTGGGCCCCGGAAATGAACGTCGCAACATCCTTGGTCAGGAATCCTCCTGCAATGGGCGAATAAGCATAGAAGGACATGTTATGCTTCCGCAGTGTGGGAAATATCTCTTTTTCTGTTCGGCGTGCAACGGCGGAATAGTTGCCTTGGTAGACACTTGGAACGACGTAATTCTTTTCGCGGCAGATTCGGACTACCTCTTCGACCTCCTCGGCCAGATAGTTGGACAGCCCGAAACGCTTGAACTTTCCAGCCTGGTACGCAGAGTCGACGCTAGCCAGCAGGTCTTCCATTGAGTTTCTGCGTTCGGGGGCATGCATGTAGTAGATATCGAGCTAGGAATGTGATCAGAGGCTGGGTCTTGCACAGCTTCGGGTTATGGGAAGCTCACCTGATCAGTTTGAAGAAGGGCCAAACTCTCGTTTAAACTTGTAACAAGAGACTCTGGAGTGGAAGGCTCGGCTCCAAGCCCGGCAGGGAATTTCGAATCAATTTTAAAGCGGGAATCGGCGTGAAGTTTTCCCAATAGCTCCTCCGAGTCACTGTAGCGCTTGGCAGTATCGATGTTTTTGATGCCTTTGGCATGCAGAATATCGAGAATCTTGCTGATTGATTCAAGGGTAGGATATGAGGCTTTGTCAATGATCGAGGCTCCGCCCCAGATGATTTTGATGCCAGCCATGATAGCTGGTTTAGAATGAGGAGATGGGAGATATGAATGTAAAAGCCACACTGAACAGGGTATTTATGTTCTATCCATGGATATTCCAAGAACCTTATCTTAGCTTTATAATCAGTATGTTTATTATTAAGTCTCAAGTACAGCCCTGGAGGATGAAGCCATCCCTAGTTCTCTGGATTATCAATCATCCAACGCGGCATCGGGTCCAACGTTACCCGGTACCGAGGACTGCCATCCCCACTTCCCGAAGTTCCGAGTTCTTATACAGCCTCTTTACTCCGTACTCCTAGTTGCTATAGGTAAAAGGTACGGATGCTAAGCAATGAAAATCAAGGAAAATAGCATGTAATAACAAGTTAGTACCTAGGTAATCCATTATCATTCTACAATGTCAAGCATAAAGCCGACTTGAGAGCAAGTCGGCTTCCCCGCATGCATATTTAGAGATCCCCGCTGGTTTTGTCTTTCTCTCTTTCCCTTCTTTGCTTTTCTTTTCAACACTCTCCCCAAATCATCATGTCTTCAAGTTTGTCATTACTCACACTTCTTCGCCCGCGCGTGCTGGCGCGAAGCCGACCGCGCGCAATTCGCAGTTTCACCGTCTCCCAGCGTCTCCGCTCAGATGCTTCCTCGGTAGCCTCGGCCTTTTTGTCGCGCTTCCAATCCCTTGGGCCACAAACCCGTACGCAAACGATAGATGCAAACCAGCTCCAGCTTCTCACCCTCACACTTAATCGCCCGAGTCTCTTCCCCGGTGCTCCCTCTCTGTCCAATGGCGCTTCCGCCCCGCAATCCACAGTACCCGTCCCGCCGGGCTATCACCTCGCGTATTTCACACCGGCGTTCTTGGAAAGTGAACTTGGCGCTGATGGAACCGATGCATCGTACAACCCCGATGTGCCCTTTACACGGCGCATGTGGGCAGGCGGCGAGGTGCTGTGGCCCCGTGTCGATGGGAAACCCAATCTGTTACGGGTAGGACAGCAGGTGCAGGAGACAACGCGGGTACTTAGTGCGGAGTCCAAGGTTGTGAAAAAGACCGGCGAGGAGATGATTGTTGTTGGGATCGAGAAAGAATTCGCCAATGAGCATGGCGTCTCAATTATTGACCGACGGTCCGCCTTTCCCTTTCAAGAATGTGGCAGACCAAAGCACTGACGACACCGTTCACATAGCAATTGGGTGTTCCGTAAAGCTCTACCTGTCCCTTCTGCATCAACCTCATCCAGCGCCCCTTCTTCGTCTCCAATATCCCATCTTGCGTCCCCAAATCCTACCTCGTCCGTCATTACCACCGAGGGCAACACCCATACGCGAACCCTGGTGCAGACACCTGTGACACTCTTCCGCTTCTCCGCTCTGACTTTCAACCCTCATAAGATTCACTACTCCCTACCCTGGGCGCGGGATATAGAAGGACACAAGGATATTGTAGTACATGGTCCGTTGAATCTGATATCCATTCTGGATCTTTGGCGCGACACTCGCCAGAATGTCACAGATGCTACCTTGGTTGTTCCTAAGCGCATATCCTACCGGGCAACGAGTCCATTATATGCCGGGGATGAGTATCGGATTGTGCTTGAGGATGGCGAGGGAACAAAGGTACAGATTGTTGGGCCCAGAGGAGTACTCGCCATGAAGGCTGAGATCCACTAAATATAAACTGCGTAAATAAACCAGATATAAATTGTGATGGTTGTAGTCTGTGAGGGCTATTCCTGACAGAATCGAAGTATTCGAGCTCCGTCCGGTGTTAACGGTGTTAGCGGGGCTTGGGAGTCCAATGTCTTTCCCTTTTCTACCCGAAACGTTCCTAGCCCCGCGGCATTATCCTCACCATTGCTGGTCACAACAACCATAATAACCATAAATAATAATGGACGAACCTCTGGACTCTGTTGTGGAGACATCCGCCCCCAAAAAACGGACACGAGTGCAATTTTCCTGCACGGCTTGCAGGTATCGAAAGTAAGCTCAGCGCATGGCGTACATATGTACCCAGCATATCGCAGCTACTGATCGATTGCAGATTGAAATGCTGCCGCAATCACCCTTGCGCTAATTGCAAGAAGCGAGGCGAGGCCACATCATGCACCTATGTCGGGCGCGGGCCACGAGCTAAAGCCCAAAATGGGCGCTTAAGCCCGACTCTAGTTCAGGACCGCTTGCATCATCTAGAGAATCTAGTGATGTCTCTTGCACAAAAGCAGAGATCTGGTCCCGATATCGATTTCAATGCAGTGCAACCAAAGAATCGGGACGGTTATGCAACGCCCTCACCGGGCAGCTCTGACCGTGATGCTGCGTTGGTTCCTGTTGATACGGGCACGCTGGTCGTCAAAAATGAGGGGACTAGTTATATTGACGGTGCAAATTGGCGCGCTATCCTAGAAGAGGTCCGTCTTGATCTGGTTATTGTTGCGCTCTGGGATGATTGTGCTGACGGGTTCTCGCATCTGAAGATTAATGACGTGAAAGAATATCTAGACGAGGATGGGGAAAACACCGACGACGAAGGTGTCGAGACAGACCCGTACGATGACTCGTCACCAGTTCTCCTGCTTGGTCGTGGTCGTCCGGTGAGCAAAGAGGAGGTGCTTATGGACATCCCTGCGCGGTCAATAGCCGATCGTCTGGTCGCTCGATTCCTCAAGACGTCTGAACCGGTACGAGGTATGAGATTCTCAAGAAAAGAAATGGGCACAGAGTACTGATAAACCTGTAGTGTCAATCCACGTTCCCACTTATCAGAAAGAGTACGAGGAGTTCTGGCTGCGCCCAGCAGATAAATCATTCACTTGGATTTCTCTCTTATATTCGATTATGGCTTTATCTGTCTCTCTATATCATCGAGGCTCAGAGCCGTTGCGTTCTAGCATGGCTGACCCTATTAAGTCATGGGCCATATTCCGGAAAAGGTCCTCGCAGTGTCTGATCCAAGCGAACTACATCACCCCCGGGCGATATAAAGGAGAAGCGCTATTCCTTTACTCACTCATCGAGTTCTACAGCACCCAGGATGCGCATATTGGAATGTCCTATTTGCTCGGGATGACTATTCGCCTGACTATGCGTATGGGTTACCATCGTGATCCACGTCATTACCCAATGCTATCTGCCATGGATGGGGAAATGCGCCGCCGTCTCTGGGCCTTGCTTGTTCAGCTCGACACTTTAGTCTCATTTCAAGTCGGTGTCCCTCGAACTATCCAGCCTTGGCAATATGACACGGAGTTGCCCTCTAACTTGTTGGACACCGACTTCGACGAGACTTCCGTTCAATTACCACCTGAGAGACCAACGAATGAAGGAACAGATTGCACGTACACGAGGGCCAAATCTCACATTATGAGTGTCTTTGGTCAGATAACAGACCTAGCATTTTCTCGTGAGCACTCATCCTACGATGAGATCATGGAAATTGACCGTCGTTTGGAGACCGCACATGATATGTTACCCTCCTGTTTGCAAATCCGGCCGATGACGCAGTGTATCGCAGACCCAGCAGAGCTGACCGTGCGACGCTTCGCATTGGCGCTCCTGTACCAAACAGCACGTCTTGTCCTACATCGCCGGTATATCGCTGAGGTCAATCCCAAATTTGCTTACTCGCGATCAATCTGTCTAGACGCAGCTCGGAAAGCGCTTCAACTCCACACAGAGATCTGGACCGAGTTTATGCCTGGTGGTCAGTTATACGCAGAACGATACTTCCTCAAGTCCCTCCAAAATTCCTTTTTGCTCTCGGCAATGATTCTTTGCCTTGAGATGTCCCGGGATGCTGATCGTGATGATGCCGCACGTCTTGAACCTCAAGAACGCACAGAGTTCTTGCTTCTCCTGGAAAGCACTCATCGCATATTCATGGAATCCAGTCACCGGTCTGTAGATACGCAGCGAGCAGTAAATGCTTTGAATATTATGCTCAAACGGGTGAAGAAAAGTGACTTTCAATACGCCAGTTCGACTGCCGGGCAATCAACGGCGCCCATGGGTAGTAAGTCTAACCTTTCTCTTCTAAAGATGGTGCTGACAACGTTCCCAGATGATATCCCAACCCAACCTACGGTTGCAGCCGTCATTGATCATCAATACTCAGCATACGAATCCAATACTGGCGAATTGCAGTCCGCAATACCCAACCCCGGCCAGACGCCGTTATACAATTCCATGGAGGTTATTGAAGACATGCTTGATATACCCGCTCAAGTCGACTGGGTAAGAGGCCCGACTTTGCTTGGTAAAACCGTAACTAATACTTTATACCTAGAACCTGTACGACAGTCACATCTCAGGTGTCCAAACGGCCAATAATAACATCTGGTACTCCGATGGTCCAGCGACTCCGGTGTACACTTTCGGTGCGTATCCTGGCGTATCGCCAATGGATCAACAGAGCTACCAACAACATTGAATGATGACGGTGAACTGTATATGTTATTAGCATATGCTACTCACTAAGGCGATTATAATGATCACGAATATTGTCAATACGAACCATCTCGTAGAGCTATTAGCTTTTTTTTTCAGTAAAAGAAAATTATACGAAGTACAAACTCCATGAATCAAATCCAGAGGATGCACCTAGGCACTCACTAAAACCTGCCGAGGCGGCTGTAGATCCTGCTCTTTTTTCTTGTCTGTCAGGGACCACTCAAAGTACCAACCTGTGGATATCTTCTTTATATCACCTTACTCAATGCGACCCTTCCACACCTTGCGACTGCCAAGTCGAGCAACTCTCCCCTCCCAGCGCCAGAATATGTGCTCAGTCTCCCACTTCTCCCACCAACTCAAGACAAGCACGAGGACAATAAGCATAACACAACGACCAGGTCTGCGCCGACCTCTACTCCCAAGCAATGGCGCCAAAACCACCACACGAGCGTTTGGTCTGCCTGACCTATCCTCCTTCCTCCCCGGTAGCAACAATAAGAAGAACAACAACAATAACTCCCCACACGGCGTCCTAACCGCCACCCGCAACCTCCCCTACAACCCAGCCCTACTATACAAAGTGATCTCCTCAGTCGAAGCCTACAGCCAATTCCTCCCCTTCCTCGCCGCCTCGACCGTGACAGCGCGGGATCTGGAAACAAGGTACCCAACACAAGCGTTCCTGACAGTCGGCTACGGCGCGCTCAGCGAGACGTTCACGTCGCGCGTGATCTGCGATGTAGAAAAGCTGACTTTGGAGGCTAAGAGCGGGGCCAAATGCCGTAAAGAGGGGCAGGATAGGCAGGCTGGTAAGAGCTCTTCGTCCAGGCTAAGCGGGTTCTTCCCCGGTGCGAATGAGGGTCTCTTCGAGTACCTAACTGCGAGATGGGAGCTGGTGCCGGTTTCGCCTGGAGCACAGGGTGGGCCGTTGACTAAGGTCAATTTGGAAGTGCGGTTTGAGTTCCGTTCGCAGATGCATGCTACTCTTATAAGTGCTGTTGAGGGGCAAATGGCTGGGTTTATGATTGAGGCTTCTGAGAAGCGGATACAGGAGGTTGAGGGTAAAGGATAGTGAGGGGAATGCCAATTATCCCAGAATTTGCATGGGTGACCGTCTTTGCTAGATTGGATTGTATATTAGTGGAGTTTTGGCATTCGGGCACAGTTGCATATATGACTACTGAATAAGACTCCCTGTTAGACTTGCATATCCTCTACTCTGAGAATAGAAGGGAAATAGAGAGAGCATCGCCAATTTGATTCTATTGGGTGGATCACTGTACATGCTTAATCAGAAGCCTGTGAGGATGAGCAATGGAGACCAAAGAAAAAATAAAAATAAAACATGATAGTATATAATACAGATTATCCAGACATAGGAATGATTTTCAACTCAAAGCATGCTCATACTTCGATGACGGTTGATAGAGCTGCGGGAGTTCTTCATCGAGCCGACAGCATTGTAGTTGTCGAAGACCACATCCCAGTTAACCCGGTCCCACCAGCGCTCGAGGTACTCGTCCTTGCCGGCAATACCGTAGTCCATCATCCACGCATGCTCCCAAGTGTTAACACAGAGAATGGGCTGCACGTCGACGGCGCCAGGCGCGAGGCTCTTCTGATTCTGGGCATGCGCACCCATCGAGCCGGCGAACTGGTTGCCTAGCTGGGTCTCCGGGGTATGGGTGGCCATATCGATGGGTTGCCGCCGGGAGTGGGCGGCCGGGTAGGGCGAGCCGGCGCTATAAGTGCAGAAGATATGCATCATGCCTTCGCGCTCGAGGTTCTTAGCGAGCCAGACAAATCCGGGGCCGAACATTGAGCTTGCTGTGGCCAGGAAATCCAACTTCAGGGACTCAACGGAGGAACAGGTGTCGACGATGTCCTTGGCGAACTTTTCGGGGATGGTGGTGGCGGTGGGAGACTATATTTGAGTAAGCTAGTTAGTATTGTATGTTATATATAGAGGGATTGATATGGCTACTAACCAGGCAGTTGAAGAAAAAGTGGTTGTTGTGGGCCATTGAGGCATAGTTAAATACTGAGGCCATCTCTGGCCGCTTGGAGTATTTGACCAGCAATTCTCCTGGTTTAGCATCTGCGTCGACGGTATCTATTGAATTCAAATGTCAGACATGTCCTCCAATGTGCCATGTCGCTCAATCATCTAATTGGGGCCGGATTGGATCGATATATCGTTCCATAGGGTCGGAGTGTCGGGCTCACCTTGTGTCAACAGATTGAGTTTGTTCACGAGAAGAGACTGGTACTGGGTCCAGGAGAAGTCGAACGCCTCAGGCGATAGGAACTCCGGGATACCATTCTCCTTATAGTAGGCGTCGTGCTGCAATTGGGGAATGCGATGGATAGCCCGCGTCTGGAAGGATGAGAAGGCGGAGGTAGGTTTCTGGGCAAAACGCGGTCAGTCAAGACGGATTATTGGGCGACGGACGCAGTGAGTCTCACTAGGGAGAAAGAGGAGGCTGCGCGCAAAGCGCTTTGCGGCCTGGCGAATCGGTTAAACATGACGAGCGGCTCTGTGAATGGTCGGGTTAATCGTGTAGAGCTTCCATGTCGAAGAATTTCCCTCCCGACGTTCTGCCAGATCGGGACTAGTGTGGTTATGTAAGACCCCTGGCATAACAGCCAATCACATCGTCTAGATCTGCTTCATCTCTAAGCGCCTTGTACTCTTCTGCACCCTTTGGCCCTCATCCAATCGTCGTTCTGCAATTCCCTAGTCCGATGTGGTCCTGTAAGAAAGACTTGATTTAGCGCCCACATTTTTGCCATATTAATCATGCTACTCACCCTGAAACATCCCGGTGGCTATTTTAGGACTACGGCGCTTGCAGTACTCTTTGTCTACAAGACCTGAAGGATGGCAGTGCCCAAGTCCCTTTCAAGAATGACATATCCTGGTTCTTTGACTGATTTGTGTTTCAGACAAGTCAATGCCCTTGTCTGTTAGCTATTTTCATTCTATCTCTATCAAGGTTTCCTCCAGTTTTCTACTTACGACTTGGGCTTGCGTTATACGTGATATTCTGTCAAGAACACTATCAGTCTATATCCTTCGGCGAGACTCTTCTAGATTTCTCGATCTACATACGCACCGGTAGTATGACGAGGTCGCAGCCATCCATTCTGCTGCTATTGACCCTGATGGCCAGCATCCGACCAGGACAAGCATTTAACTCTGTCGATCTCTTCTCAAGAAGCTCAGGCGCATGTCCCTCATCATTCACTCGCTGCGGCAATACGAAACTCCCAAATGATTTTTGCTGTCCTTCAGACTCCACCTGTATCAGTTTAGACGAGGGCAGCTCCTCCATCTGCTGTCCCGCCGGTCAAGATTGTCACTACATCTCGCCGATTACATGTGACATAGAGCAGCAGAATGTCACTGGTTACCCGGAGAGTGTCATCAAGACAACCCGTCTGGCCGACAGCCTTCCCAAATGCGGCGATGCATGCTGCCCGTTTGGCTACACCTGCCAAGGGGACAACACTTGTTCCCTAAACAAAAAGACCTCATCAACTGCAACAGAATCTGTTTCCAGCTCCTCGACCACTACATCATCATTGACAATGGCTACAAGCTCACCAACACCCGATACAACCATCACACCCGTGCCGTCTCCGTCATCCGAAAAATCCGCAAACTCCAGCGCAGCACTATCAACCTCATGTTCCTCCTTCCCAGCTGGAGCTATAGCAGCAGGCTTCTTCCCAGGCGCGGTCTTCGGTGCTGTCGCCGCCCTCTTAATAACATTCTGTTTCCGACGTGCCCGAAAAGACGAATGTGAAATACAAGAAGGCAAAACCGGACCTAATTGGTCCCAGCGCTCTTCTTCCGGCGCAATATTATACATATCGAACCCCATACCCCAAGACGATACCTCCTACCGTACAGACTTTCTCCGAAGCCCACCGCGAGCCAAGCGCTCTTCTATAGGAGGACGCTCCACTCGCACGATGATCCACCGCACTAGCAGCAGAGTGCGGAGTCTATTCTCCGGTTATCCAAGACAAAACCCCCGACTAGACAACGATGTGCCGCCTATCCCTATCCCAAACCCTATGGCATCGGCTCCGTTTACTCCGCCACGGCAGCGCCAGCCGAGTACGGAAAGCATTAAGGTGTATTCACCGCCTGAGTCGTCGTTCTCGCAGTCTCGCACTCTCTTAGGGCCTGAGCCCTTGGGGTACCCTGGTTCTGCCGCTAGGCCGGATACTCTGTTTGGCGACCTGATGCGGGATGTTGGGGCTCCTCGTGATGGTCACGGTAAGAGGAAGGCACCTTATCCGACTAGTAATGATTCTCGGGAAAATCCATTCAGGGATCCTGTGCGTTGATAATTGAGGGACGTGAGGTTACGTCAGGTTGGGTTGAGCTGGGCGCTCAGTCGTCTTGGTTTAGACGTTCGATTCGATTAATTCTCCATCTAATTCAAAATATTATGCACCGCTTTATGTGCAAGATCGGTCAGTCTACTGGATATATGGCTATCTAAGTAGACTCAAGATGCCCATAGATAGATACCTCCTCAGAAGGAAGAATGGTTCCAATGTGTATATGTATAACTCCTAGAAAAACATGAACGTCGAGAGGCTGTATTACTCTACGGCGCTCCCTTCGCCTTACGTCGACCCGCAATTCTCTTAAGTTCTTTGAGCAACCCAACAACAAGAGGGACACCAATTGGTCCCAGAAGGGGCAGATAGACCGCCACCTTATGCTCATCTGGGAAATAGACCTGACCCACCATACTCTTTTCGAAAAAGCTGCGCTCAGCTTCTGTCTCCGCGACTCGGGCGCTGGCAAGCGCAGCGCTGAAACGGCCCTCTCGCAAGTGGGCACAGGAGGAACTCAAATGAGAGAGTGTGGTGGAGACCGAAGTAGCTACAGTTGCCGGAATAGGGATAGATGGTAAAGACTTAGTAAGACGGGCAAGCGAGCCCATTGTTGATGAGGCGGAGAGTAGCAAGCTGGCTGCACGAATGCGGATAGACGTCTGAAGACGAAGTGGAAGAGAGGTAGGGGTACTTGGAGTACCGAGGAGGGTGAGGAGTTGATGAGAGAAGGTCATGAATGCAGGACCTAAAGAGTCCTGGGAGAGGTGGGTAGGATTGGACGGGCCACCCTGCTTATCGGTGTGGGAAAGCGGCGGGTTAAGGATGAAAACTCCGCCCCATTGAGGGACCATCCAACTAGAGGCACGGTTCTCCTTCACAAAGAGTGGAGACTGCGAAGGGTCTGGGATATAGAGGATGAAATTGATCGTCGGGCCACTACCGATGCTCGGATTTAGCGGCCACTCGGCAGCATTGACAAAGGCACTCAGACCTTCTTTCTTCAATGTCCATACCGCCTCGGACTCATCATACTCAGGCTTCGGCGCAGTGGGTGCGAAATTTGCGTAGAGCTGCACTTGCGTGTCGATGGTGAAATTGCTGATAGGAGACAATGCCTGTAGGAGAGGAGAGACATATTCGTTCACCGCAGCCTCGATGTCCCACGAGGAAGGTTCAGATCCGGGGGTAAATAGTGAAAAGGAGAGGTGGTAGGTTTCAGCATATTTTATTGATCGACGTAGTCTTCGGTCGATCTCTTCGGCGAGTTGTGGTGAGGTCGAGTCAAGCCCAGCCGTATTTCCAGACAAGATATACGCTATAGTAGCCTTCTCCTCGCTATACAATCGTTGAAGCTCCGCCGTAATAAAAGCGGAGAGGGGAGAGTTGGAGGAGGAAGGCACGGGGACCTGGTTCGGCGGGTAGAAGATATCGAGCTGCGTCGTAGCTGTTTGGAGCTCTGACCGAGGACCTACTAGGCCCTCCTGGGGTAGTAATCGGACGGTTAATGCAGTATCCGCTGTCTCTTCTGCAAGGTATTTGAAACTTTCCGGGCTGTCTTCCCCATTATGAGTTGCCGTCGTGCTGCCGTTGCTCAACTTGAGCCGGAGGTGATGAGCTGCGAACTCGTTCAGATCATCGAGAGCATGCTGCGTCGTGCGGAGGAGGTGCTGGGCCTCGAGCGATTGCATTGAAGGTGTCGCAAGGTGGATTTCTAAAGGAAAGACTGGTCGGCAGGCCTATCAAGACCATTATTAGCATCTACTATGTCCCCAAAGTCACCTAGGCAAAGGCGATTGATTCCAGAAGCCGTACCTTGCCGTCAGCCCAGTCCACCATCTCCTCGATGGGGAGAGACGCTCGATAAATCGATGTTGTCTTCCACCAGATCGGAAATCCGAGGAATATAATTACGGCCCAAAAGGCTGCTATCACTCGAAATCGCGTTTGAATGGCGGCCGGGGTTTCTGGGGGCGGAGCGCGCTTAACGCTGGGTTGGTGGGAGGCCGAAGCCTGAGGAGACTCCTGGTCTCCTATTTTTGTCGCCATGGTCGGGACATGCTTTGCGCTTTCAATCAGACCAATAGAGGAGTAAGTGTTTCCTAAGTCGATTGTTGACTTGGGGAGAGTCGAGAGCGGGCGGAGAAGCAAAGGGACCACCTACAACATAAGTGGCCGGAGCGACACCAGTCAACTATAACCCGGCATCAAGATGGATATGTACACGCTTTCTTTTTTTTTGATATGGACTTTAGTTTTATTATCTTTTATTTAATTGGTTTTGCTATCTTTGCACTCTACAGAATTCGCATCTAATTTTCCCTAAGCCTAAACCCTAAAAGCTGCGTTCTCTTTGCATGTTTTGTGACTTTGGTTGGCCACTCAGCTTGTTTTAGCTTCATGATTTTGTACTAGTCCTCCGGGTGATTCTTCTTAATCGTCTCGAGTGATGGTCCTTCAGGCTCTATTGGAAGCGCGGGTTGTTTCTCCGTCTTGGATTGCAGAGATCCCACACGTCGAATTGCTCAGCAATGTTTTTGATACTGGCAATCCATGGCTCCCATGATGTCTTATCCTTCAAGGTAACGCGAGAGGACGTCGCGGAGAGAGGGTAATCCGACATGTTATACTATATGTCATGATGAACTCATCTAAATCTTAATATCTACCTACTGCATAGTATACTATAAAGTACTATCATACTAATACAAGGATAATAATAGCAACGAAAAACCCACCCAAGATATACTTAACTAGAAGTGAAATGACTAAAAATGGCACTGGAAGGAAAACTAGCAGCCAGCTGCTGTTCAATGTTCCCTCCACCACCAGTGAATATGAGTACCTAGGCAAGAAACACTTCTCCAAAATCCTCCATAAAGAATACCACGACTTCCTCGAGAAAGACCAAAATCCAGACTCAGAACCACGCAGCGGATACATCATATTCTCGCACATTGACCAGAAAACATTCGAGCACGACTTTTTCGAATCCGCGGACAAGCTATTCAGTTCTGCACCGGACACCTACATCTTATCGTTGAAGCTACTCTTGGTCAAGATGACCACCAAAGCCCACGAAGCTGCACACGGGGAGCTCGACAAGCTTATTATAGCAAAGCTTTCTCAAATGAACAATCTTCACCTTGAAATTCGCGCATTAAAACAAGCCGAGATAACGTCTGGGTCGACCAGCAAGAAAGCCGATAGCTCTTACCAGCCAGTGAACCTCCCCGCAGAGCGCGCGGATAAATGGCACACTGCATTAATTGAATCAGGCTACTCGGAATCGAAGGCCAAGCTGGCTTGTGACGCTCGGTGGTGGTTGACAGAGTCCGGGGGCGACGTTAGGACCGTCCTCACGGTCTCCGTGCACCAAAGTAAGAAGGAGATCGTCATTGAAAGATGGGGGATGATCGATCGCCCAATGAGGAGAAAAGAGGGCAAAATGGTGCCGGAGGTTGTGCAGAAGGTTGTTATCTCACAGGTGACAGACCAGCCGGTTCGGGTAACTGGAGCGCCTTTGGTCGTCCCTTTCGAGAATCTGTTTCTCCGGTCGGCCAATGCCAATCAAGGCGAAAGCGACATCACTTTTAGCCAAGCGGAACTTGAGTATGTCGCAAGGATGGTGTTGGGAGGTTCATACCAAGCTCTGAAGATTAGTTCGGGGTGAAGGGACTTGACGAGACCTGTATCAAAATCTACCACAAGAATCAATGTGACTCGTGAAAGAGAGGCAACAGAAGCAGAGATAGTCTCAAACGGGCCCAGGATGTCATTGTCAACGCGAAGTACTCTAAAATCACAAAAACGAGGGTATATTGACCAGTAACGCCGATCCGATGTAGCAGTCAAAAAGCCAGGCCTCCTCCACATGCAATGCCTAATATTCCTTCTCGAAGATCTTTTGAATCGGCTTAGCGGCCTAGACGTCATGAAACTTATTAGCAGACTCGTCGATAGCAGACTTGGACCCACAGAACGACATACATCAATGAACTTTTCGAGATCTTGGTCGAGGTTGGCAAGGTCATTCTTCCTTTTCTTGTTCTCTGCGATCAAGCCCTGCTTACGCTTCAAAAGCTCTTGCCGCGCTTGCTCCAGCTTCTCCCGTTCAACATGCTCGTGTTCGATGCGGGCGATCATGAGGTCATGTTCGCTGGACTCGCGATGTTCGGGATGAAGCTCTAAGAATTCTTCGACCGGGATCAAAGGGAGGGACAGGTATTTGTGACTATTATAGTGAATACGTCAGTTTTTCGGCAATACGAGCGGGAAATCAGATTCACGTACTCATAGGCCTCGCAAGCCGCAATTTCGCCTGTTAGATGCTTCTGTTCATAGTACAAGTTCTGGAGCTGAAGATGTAGCCGGTCGATTTCCTGTCGAGCCTCTGCAGTTGACTGCTTGGTGTCGCGCACGCGAAAGATGGCATCCCGATTTTGCCCGCGGAGTTGGGCCAGTAGTGCGAATAGGAGTTTCTGCTGTTTGGATGCGGCTAAGGATAGTTCGCGGAGCTTGGCGCTGTCGTTGGGCAGAGTATCGGGGTTTAGTAGGGTGAGAAGGTGCTGGCACTGGGCCAGAGTCTCAGCGCTAGTCTGAAGCACTGGTAAGAGCGACTCATCGGCGACGATATCACTGATCGCCATGCTGTAAATTGTAACCTTAAGGAATTTAAAGGTGAGAGAGTAAGGAAAAGAAAATAAGTTGAGGGGATGGATCAATCAGGACGTTCGGCGCCGCAATGTGCCTCGGGGATTTTGTGTGGTTGGGGACTCTCTTTTCCCCCAGCGCCACTCCATTTTACCGTCTTAACATTCCCCCATTCCCCTCCTTTCTTTTTGTACTTTTTAGTTCCTTTAATGTGCCCCTCATTTCTTGTTTAAAGCTCGTTTCAACTCGAGCCTTTGTCTGAGTTCTTCTCCATTCTCCGGTACCCTTGCCTCTCAACGCTTTTCCCACCCTATATGGCGTTCGATTAAGGCTGAACGGGTTAACTCTCAACTACACCCCATGGCTTGCGGCACTACTTCAATGGCAGTGGAGTCTTATCCCGAGGAGGCATATGCCTCTGCTACTGCGACACCCGACGAGAATACTAGCATGCTCCGTGATCGGCGCCGACATTCGTTCCACGCTTCTAGAAAACTCTCGTGCGACTATCAAGATGCAGATGCAGTCTTTATCAGGGTATGTACATACATTATTGGTGGGAAATATCTCCGTATAAGAGTGCGTCTAATCAAAGTTTTAGGTCGAACTCTTCTTGTCTGAACTGGAACGTCGAATGCAATGGATCGAGCAATACCGGAAATCCCACATGGTTCAGGTCGATGCTAGTCTGAAACGAGGCTATGCCACACTGGAAGCCGTGAGGGATCAATGCTCCCTCGCCTCAGGAGAGCTGATGGGGAGTGGCAAAAAGCGGGCCAAGATTCTGGTCGAAACCCTCGAGGATCGATACAACGAAGCCCTGGTGACCAAGGAGACTTTGGAGCAAAAGGCGCAAGCCGGTGTGCGCTTGATGGAGTCATTTTTGGTCGAACTTGAGAACAAAATGCATGCGGTTCGCGATCGCGGCATCTACGGCACTTTAGATGATGGGTGGAAAGCGATGGATTCAGGGCTGGTTCATGCCCGGGAAATCGTCGATGAGGGCATGGAGCGTGCCCGCCGGACTCGTGATACTCTCCGAGATACTGTCGAAGAAGCCATCCGCCTAGCCAAGGAGAAGCGATTGATCAACTACCATGAACTGCCTCATCCATGGCGCGTCAACCCGCACATTATCAATGGCTACCGATTCACCACTTCCAAGGTGGAATGTCTCTCGTCAGTCTTCGCTTATTCGAATGAGATGTTCAACATATGGTCCCATATGATCGGCCTCGTCATCGTCCTAGCCATCGCCTTTTACTTCTACCCGCTTCACACCAATTTCCACCTGAGCACCAAATCCGACGTCACAATCGCCGCCGTTTTCTTCTTTGCTGCATGCAAATGTCTAGTCTGCAGTACTATTTGGCATACTATGAACAGCATTGCTTCGCAGTCATTGATGGAACGATTCGCTTGTGTGGACTACACTGGAATTTCTATGCTGGTCGCTGCCTCGATTGTGACGACCGAATACACTGCTTTCTATTGCGAGCCCTTATCCCGGTGGATATACATTCTACTCACCATGTCACTGGGAGTCGGCGGCATCATTCTACCGTGGCACCCAACCTTCAACCGCCACGATATGGCTTGGGCCCGCGTGGGCTTCTACGTGACCCTTGCACTAACTGGTTTCTCGCCCATAGCTCAGCTCACATATACACGTGGCTTCGCATGGACCATGTATTTTTATGCGCCAGTCGTGAAGAGCATCATGGTGTATTTTGCTGGTGCCGTTGTCTACGCCTCCAAGGTTCCTGAGCGCTGGAAGCCAGGTCTCTTTGATTACTTCGGTGGCAGTCACAATATCTGGCACCTAGCTGTCCTGGGGGGTATCTTCTTCCACTACCACGCCATGCAGGACTTGTTTGCAGGAGCCTTCCAACGAGCCCAGGGCGAGTGTCCGAATATGACGATGTGAAAATACCTCCCAACATACTCCCATAAATCTCTGCATTGTTGATCGCTCTATTGCGTTTTGCTCATGAACAGACCTCATGAGCTACATGGTTTCGCTTCTCAACATACAGTGATTAGTTGTTTAGACTCGCAGCTTGCTGCGGGTCATGACTTGCTATGGTCCCTTGCAATGAAACTTTCTATCTCTTTCCACGGGAGCTTTGTCACCGTTGATGCCCATTTTGCGCGCATGGGTGGAGTTCGTGTTGATTTTCTATCTCTTCTTCGATTCTTAGAGCATTGGCTTGTACATAACTCCGGTGTCTCTCTTTTTGCCCTATTGGCACCATTCGATTCGTCTAGACACAGTGCATACTTCTTGCTGTACTTAGAACTTACATGTTGTAGACTGCGATTGTTGATATTTGGCTAGAACAAAGAAAGGCTGGTTTCCATATGTCCCATGTTTCGCTTTCGTTGACCTATCTGTCGCCTGTCAGCTGTTGTCTGATCAGTATGCTTAGTCCCAAGGTCGTCCATCCGAATTCTATATAAAGACATTATATGGCATCCTCTTGGATGGTTTTACATGAATAGGTAGATTTAATCTTCTACATCAGCATCTTGCAATGATCCTCTATTTGGTAGTCATTGTTCCTTGATTCTATTTGCAAATTAAATGACATGGTCTAATGTGTGTCGTACATTCATAACGCCATCATGAAGGCGTTGCCCTATATCAACAGCAACACGAGCCATTTTCTCGTGGCTTTGAGGGTAACGCCTCGGCTTTTCCGACCAAAAATGCTCAAACAGCTTGTATGTTGATCCCGGCGTGATGGGTATTTGAGATACACCTGAAAACACGCACGGTGTTGAGTCCACGCATGGCGAAAACGGCGAGATCAATCTTGGACGGTGGGAAAGGCTGTCACAATCATCTGACTGTGACCCATACTAGTTGGCAGACAATAAATGTCCTGTCTTTGGTAGAGGCTTTGGTAAAGGTTGATAGCCATCCGAAATGGTCACCGCAGAGCTCGTGGTTCAGGAGTTTATTGGGTGCTCTCAGTGGCATCCTCCGCCCCAGTCTCAGCTCCACCGTGCTTCCGGAAGTTGCCCTGCATCCAGCAACGGTACATCTTTTGTTTGGTCCCACGGTTGACAATCAACCGCCGATCAACGCCCATATTAAGGACCTCAAACGCTCCACTATCCTTCGCCAGTTGTTTGGCCTCTGCAGATGGCTCCTCTGTGGGCTGAAGCTCATCTGTCTTTTTCTCGGACGCTTCTTCCGCGGGGTTCTCGTCACCAATTGGAATCTGCAAACCGTTTTCTGCGCTCCAGGTACCCCACATGTCAACGAGCTGGTCCTTCTCGAAGAAGTAAACGCGTGTGCCGTCACCTCGAATATAGAAATTCTCGGCCATGTATCGACCCTTCTTGAATCGCACTTGGGCGAGGTCACCACGGCCGTAGTCACGGAACAACACACGGCCACCGGGCTTCAAGAGACGATAGATGTTACGGATTGCATGGTCCCATTGGTTAGGGGCCAGAGCGGAGAAGATGAAGATTAGAATCACAACATCGACTGAACCTTCGGTCAGACCGGGCGGGAGAGAGTCGCCGTTCTCGCCTGGCACAGCAGCTGCGTCCCAGACATCAGCGGACATGTATTTCTCGTTGTAGAGCTCGCTCTCGCGCATCACCTTGACGGCATACTTGGAGAAATCACAGGCATGGACCTTCAGGCGTTCATTCTCGTTGTTGGCCAGTAATGGGAAGGCGGTGTTTCCGGCTCCCGCGCCAACTTCCAGGACGACCTGGGGACCGGCGTCCTTCTGTGTAACTTCAGCGAGAATGGGGAATTCTTGGCGCAGCCACTTTCGATCCTTGAAGAAGTTGGCCGTGTTGTTCTTATAGAAAAGGTCCCACCACTTGGCGGGGTCGTTGTTGAATCGGTTGCGATCAAAGTCCGACACCCGTGTTTCGCGCTGTCTCGCATATTGGGTCTCGGCGAAGGCCTTAAACTCGTCATCTGGCTCGACGTGGTCCCAAGCATTGAACTCAAAAACATCATCGCCCTTTTCAAGGTACCGCGAGCCGAATTGAAAGGGGTCGGTCCGTTTCAGGTTGTTTGCGGGATCGTGGGAACGATGGGGGGCGACCTGAGGAGGCTCGACATTCTGTGTCACTTCCTGAATATTGGGATCGACGGCCATGATTTTGGATGTGCTCTATAGTTCTGATTGACTCAAGATATGGAATTGGATGTGTAAAGAAAACCCTATCACTCAGGTAAGTGATCGTCGAGGAGAAGGCGGGGAGAACAAAAAAAAACCAGGCGGCGACGCGATTGGCGGGGTGATTTAGTCACATGATTGGATTTTGCCCACATATTTACTTGTCCCTCGACCCACCTACCGTTTGAACCAATCATGGGCTTTTTAGTTTGTACACCGCCTCATTTATCTTTAGGTACGCCGGATCTTATCTCCTATCGCTTATCGGCCTTTACCTCCACATGGATGTGTATAGGTGGGCACTTACAACGCCGTAAGATGCTCTACTGGGGGATCAATAGAAAGTCCCGCTTATATCCTGGAATCTCGTTCGATTTCTACTTATGGATACTGGTCCAAGCTCTCAACAACTTCAGAAAAACACGTGGATGTCATCCATTGAATGAGACTCATCAAGCAGATATCCTTCTGTTTCTTTGTCGACCCCTAATGGACTACAATGAGCCTGATTTGGTTCTGGCTGGCTTCTCCTGCAGCAAGATTCAATGTCAATGGACGCTCAACGGCGTAGTTACCTACCTAGGTAGGTATTTACATATGTATATTACTTCATTAGCAATCTTAGTGCCTCAGGCATCTCTGCTACCTTCTCGGGAGCCAATTAGAGTTTCTGGAAATCTGGATGCCTGCGGGTGCCTCGCCCGGGTCAGCTCTCATCTGGCCTTTCTTTCACCCCTCATTTTGTTCTTTAATTTCTCTGTATGAGCGTGCCTTTCTAGATTCATATTCATTCTTATTCTCCCTGTTTGTCTAGTTCAAGTCTGGGGCTTATCGACACAAGTGGGGTTCAGCCCATTATCAGCGTTTGAGGCTCAACAGGTAGACTGCTCATACGATAGTCCTTGTCTAGAGCTGTTTCTTGTTACAGATCTCACAGGCCAATTTCCCAATTTCCTCTAGTCAAATCACTATTGGCTTTAACACTGTCAATTAGCGAAAAGACACCTCGTTGAGTCATGTCTTTCCTCTCAGCACTTTGCGGGTGCTTCACTCGAGACGAGAAACCCTCGCAGTCCCATTCATCCCCAGAGATGATGACACAAAGGCCCAATCCCGGCGGCTTCCAGACAGGACGCTTCACACTCTCCGGGGAAGGCGAATTTATCCGCCCACCACCTTCAACTGGGGGCCATGGGCACGGACCCCCGCCGTCTGACTCGGAGGATGGGGGCTATTCCAGCGTGGTCCCTCTCCCGCAGTACACAGCCCGCCCAATGAGCCTCCACGAGAAGACTCTGGAAGCCCACATGCGTGACCCATCTATTTCCTCCGAGTCCCAGACCTCCTACCCCCATGATGAAAAGAACGCCAATCGTTACGACGAAGATGTCACCTCCGATAGTTCATCGGCTATTTCCTTTCCCAGCAGCTACGGCAATACATCCACCGCAACGAGGGAGACTCCACCACCGCCATATTCTCCTCGTCACTCTGCAGTGCTGTGTCGCTCGCGGTCCATTTCCATCTCGTCCGCTATGGCGGTCATCATTAATCCGCCACCTGCCGCCCGCATGAACGGCTCACGGACTGGACCTACATACTTTGAGGAGGATGACCGGTCCATTCGTCGTCACCGGCGGATCTCTTGGGAGAGCCGGTGATACAGCCTCGTCTAATATTGCGAAAAGAACGTTTGCTTGCGGGCCTTTGCTTATTAGCTGCCTGTTTAATACTTTTCCACATCGATCTTTTGGTCTGGGCTGATCTGGAATCGTCCATTGTGGGTTTACACTGCTGCATCGCTCTCCTTTCTGCTTGTCTTTTTCTTTTGGTACTGCTTTTATGGCACATGACGCGACGACATCATTTATGGATACTGATCGAATGTTTACGATATGACTGGGACTTGGTGCAAAACGAACTTCTTTTGGGATTTCTTCTTGGCTAGCTTTGGAAACTTAATATTGACATGCACATACTCGCCTGTCATGGATGCAGGAGGTCACTGTATCGATATCATCGGTTACCTTGGTCCTCGCTCCCATCCTGGCAGGTATAAATAGTGTAACAATTATGATAAACCGAATACATTAATACAAACATCTTGTCAAATCAAATACTCCACCTCTAGCTTTATCGCTACTAACCGTCGACAAAACAGCCCTAGATAGACAAACCAGCCAATAACGAAAGGGTATCAACGCAACAAATCCCAGATTTAAACAACATCACCCAAGACCGACATCATTCCAACTCAAGAATCCTAGCCCGTTCCTGCTCATGCCGAAGCAAATACCCACAACACGACGCTGGAAACTCCAACAACTTTAAAACCAGCGGATCACAACTATCCTCCAGAAACATACAGATAGCCGTACATTCCGAGCGAACCCTCATCTCAACCCACCATTCCTCAACATAACACATAAGCCCCAACCACCAAGCCAACAAAACCAGCGCGGGCGGCTCCTTCCTAAGCAGACACTCATAGAACGGATTCTCCAGCCTCCCCATCCAAGTATTATAAAGCTGAAAACTCCCCGACCCCCTCTCAAACGGCAACAACCCCATAAGCATCCGCAAAGGCCACAAACACGGATTCCCCTCAACGGTCGAATCATCTGTAACCCCACAAAGATCCGCTAAGTCCGGATCAAGACCCACACGACCAGGACGCTTATCCTCGAAGTCCAGGGATGGATGCCGCGACTCCATGAATACAGTCCACCACATGCTCTGCGGGAGCCAGCGCTGCGTGTGCTGGAGAAGGTAGCGGAGTCCGCCTTGGAGGCGGAGCCAGGTTAAGGCTGTTGGGTCGGTGGTGAAGACGAAGGAGGCGCGTGGGTTGAAGGTTTCTTGGATGAAGGAGTGCATAGTGATCATCAGACAGGTGGAGTAGAGCTTGTCCATGTTGGAACGGGTTATGTTTGTCGAGACTTCGGTCGAGTATTGGTGTATTGTTTGTTGCCAGTGGTAGGCTTCTGCTAGGCGGTAGTCTTCGTTGTCTGGGAGGAGGGTGCAGAGGTGAGTTGTTGCGGATGCTATTATGGCGTGCATGAGGAAGGGGGTCTGGGGTTTGGATTAAAAGTTAGTGTTTGAAGTATTAGGTGATAGGATTGTGTTTTGTTGAAGTATGGCCATGGTGGATACAGGGGAGAAGGGATAAACTATGGACGGGCTTACTTCAAAGGCAAGTTCGACCATTCTGCGCATTACTACGCCAATAGGGGTTTGGCCTTCGGTAAAGGCTGGGCCTTGGTGGAAATGATGCAATGCTTCCATGGTGCGGGCTGTTGATGTGGAATTGAGTAGTCTCGGCGACTGGGTACCGGTAGCAGAGGGTGATTGCAGTAATTCATTCAGCTTGTCCGCGACTGTCATTAGAGACATTGAAGAAGCCAGAGAATCAATCGATATCAACTCAGGGTTGGTTTTGATGAATTGGGAGACGATACTATTGGTCTTTTGAGGTCGGGCTGGCTGGCTCGTATAGTCACAGTCGATGCCATGCTTTTGGCATCGGAGACAACCGGGTTTCGCTTCGTCACACTTAATCAGTCATTATCAGCCAATAGTTAATAATAGGAGAAGTCGGAAGTACCTTGACTCTTCGTTGCTTACAGTTCACACAACCGGCGCGGGATTTCCGATGAGACCGGCGGGAATGATAGACCTGTCCAGTGGCTTCAGACCCGCACGCTATAGAATCTTTTGATTTGTAGTTCGGGATTCGAAAGGCCATATTCTGACCCTGCACGTGCCTAGACGTGCGTGGCCGGGTTTGGGTTTTAGGCCGCATATCGTCCATCTTTTCCATATTTGCTCGGTGTATAAATTTGACCTGGAATATTTGAGCGATGTTCTATTAAACCAGACGCACGCTGAACCTTGGAAGATCATACGAATAAGCTGGCATCGGACGTCTCAAGGCATCGAGATATTGGGCAGCGATATAGCTCTGCGGCTTAGATCCCAGGCCGGGCGCAGGGGAACGAGTTGAGCCTCAAGTCTGTGGAGCTGCACCTTGTTCCAATCAGCCTGGTTACTTTGTCCAAATAGAGTGCCCGGTTGAGAAACTGCCTTGTGGTGGCGGAGAATACGGGGGAGGCGAAAGGGAGGATCGACTAGAACGGGCACTATCCCCGATATGGTAATCCTCGTATTTCCAAAGGTTGGCAGAATAACTTGAATAACCAGAGAATGAGAAGTTGACAAGAGAAATTGAATGAAAAGACATATACTTCGAGGAATGTATAAACCGGAGACCCCTAGGACTTGGAAAATTGGATTGGAGAAACGCCATGCAATTCATCATTCGTCGAAGATCATCCACCCATGCATAACTTATACTTCATACATCGATACTTTTTGCATACATGTAGAGAATGAAGGGGTTGATATCGTTGGATACTAATAGTTTAACCTATCTTGGCATTAGAGAAATCCATCTCTGCAAGAGCTCACGTTAGCAACACAACATATCGAAACGAAAGAATGCACTCGTCTCACGGTGACAAAATGACCGTCAAGAGATGAAAGAGGAGAATGACAACTTACCGGGATGCTCGGCCTGGAACTTCTTCAGCAGTTCCATCTTCCGTTGCTCGTCACTGCTGGGACCACCCATCTCCTTCTGCCGCTGATCATACATCATCTTCTCAACCATGGCGCGAGTCTCGCCGTCCAGATCGCCTAGGCTAGAGTTCTCGGGTGTAATCTTGGTGACATCGATTTTGGGAGCAGTGGTCACAACATGAGGCCACCATTCGACCTTGTTCACCTTATCGAGATGGATGCTGATTTCCTTGCCGGGCGGGGTGGGGGTAGTCTCGAGGGTCCAAGAGGATTCATCGACAAGGATGGGGTGGGGGAGGTCGCCCTGAATAGTAAAATGGAGTAGTTAGCTGGCTGTTTTTGAGTTGACGTGTTGATTTAGAGTGTACGGTGTAATTCTCCGGGGGTGCCCATGTGGGGACGGTGGACATACCTCGATGAGGGGTTCTTGTCCCTTGATCGCGACGCGGATTTTGTTCTTGGTCAACAGCACATCCAAGTCGCGGCCCTTGAAATTACCAGGAATCGGTGCTGTCACGTCCACATCACGAATAGTTTGCGTCCACTTGTAGGGCAGCTGAGCTTGTTCCGCATCCTCGCGGGCTTTGCGCTCTTTGTCCTCGCGTTCGCGTTCGGCTAGGTCGGTTGGGGAGGGGTTGTCGAGATCGGCAGACATGATGGCAGTTCAAAAGAAGAAATGATAAGAGTAAGGGGTTATTTAAGTAGACGGTGTAACGGTGTACAATATTGTAGGTACAATAAATGATTGCCCAGGTGAGGATGGACAAGCAAAAGCCCAAAAAGGAAAAGTGGGGGGACCTTGGCTTTTCCTCCGTTGGCGCTTTTGCCGCCAACCCTAATCGCCTAGTCCGTACTCTACACCGCGATATCTCTACAATGGACTCGTACTCAGTATGCCTCTTTAAGACCCGTTTGACTGCATGATCTGAAACAGTAGTACAGTAGACGTCAGGTGTCAAAGTTCAACTTCCTGTATTCAACATCTCATGTCTTGGTAATTTGAGCCGGAATTTTGACGCTCTCGGAAATGACATTGCCCTCCAGAGGGAATATATAGGCCGTCAATGACAGATAAAGCGCAGTAGCGCTTTCCGCTATCAGCACTAATAAAGTCAGAGGTGTTACCTCCACACCGTTGTTAGATGCATACCGGAAAAGCGCTCAACAGGACGTATTGCCACAATAGACCACAACGGTAAGGTAAAGAAAAAGACTTGCAACCCCAGTGGGAAGAGTGCGTCGACCAAGCGGTCGTTCAGGCAGACATAGCGACGCAGCCAGCCCAGGTGAGAAGTAACAAACGCAAGCAGTGCGCCTAGAAGCACACCGCTTAGGATGACGGTAGCATTGTGAGCGACAACCTCGAGTGGTCTAGGATCAGTTAGGATATGTCTACTGCCATTTTGGGACAAACCTACAAGGATGGTTGAACCCGGTTAGCCATGACGTGCATAGGCTGAAAAGAGGATTCCGAGGATTGACAATGCAGTTGGCAAATGCACTTGGCAATGCAGGATATCAAATAAACCCCAGAGGGTAAGTGCCCCCCACTTGAGGCTCTCCCTTTCCTTTTTTTCTTTACATCCCAAAGAGCGTCTCCTTAAGTTGGATGTAAGGGAATTGTAGTATTCTCATGCATGCCTTGTAATAGAAAA